AGTCCACACTCTTACTCTATATTCCTAAAAATCAGGAGCTTTTAAAAAATGTTTTATTTTACATAATGTCTTAGCGTTAATGCTATAACTGTAGTAGAATTTTATCTACTGGAAATATTATAGTGTCAGACAATTATAAGACCAATACAGTCTTTGAGTGTTTCATATTCCAGTTTATTGGCAATAGTGAAGCATACTTATGGCACAAATGGTGATGGGGAATTTTAACATTGACCTTATTATTGATCTAATTTTGTACTTGTATCTTTGTTGCAAAAATAATTGTTTGTGTTTACGCCATAACATTTCATATATCAACTAGTGTTCACTGTTGACTGCTCTAAGCCCGCTGAAGTTTGCCATGGCCAGTCGGACACAGTTCACAACAACTGGAAATCCAGACGCTGACTATCTATGGGTGGAAAGAGTAGACTTGATAAATTTAATGTGGTCCTCTTACATTTAAGAATGCATGTCATGTTGTTCTTACAATATATACATTTATCTTGTATAGAAAATACTGTGTACTGATATGTCTTCAATTTCAATTTTTGGAACGCAAATTAAAAAATAAAATAAAGTGATATTGCTTTTATGAAGATCTGAACACTCCATTGCAATAGTACAGTTCCATTCAAAACATCTTTTCTTCATGTCATGTCATGTCACCAAAACCACTAAAATGCATTGTTATTTCATTATTGAACATCAAACTTTAACCGAACAGATCAACACTTACCGGGGTTCCTGTAGTCCAGCCCACATTACATTTATGGATTTTGTCCATCTTTGGATGGAATTCATTGGCTATGACTGTCCCCTGATGAAAACAGAGAACTGCAAATTTGAGAGTAGAATCCTCCCTTTCAGTGTGGCCAGATTGCAGGCACCCAGATGACCCAGGGATGTGTTAAACTGTTCCAGAATGATTTGCTTCTTAACAGTGGGCCAATGCCAGGGAATACCTGACACCATAAGGACTACAGCACACCACAGCTTATTGGTTTATAAAAGTAGTTTTTAACTTCATTGAATAATAAGCATGCACATCACTTTTTAAAAAAGAATATTTATTGAAAACTATTCAATCATAAGGGTATATCAAACAAGATAACTAAATTTAAAGGATTACTATGGAATTAGGAATACAAATAATGCCCTTGTTAGATGACCGGACCAGGGTTAAAAAAGGTGATATACTTACCTTTCAGCCCTCGCCTCGCCGGTCTCTTCTGTGTAGCTCCGCCTCTTTGGCTGAGATCATCAATGTTTATGATCTCAGCCAATCCAATCCTTTCCCACAGGGAGGTTAGTGCGCATGCATGGGATAACCTTGCTCTGCGTCAATCAGATGGTCTTCTTCTCATGAAGTTGTCTGGGTGCCTTGTGCCCCTTGTTTAATCCTGCAGTGGAAAACATTGCCGCTCTGCGTGCCATTCCGTGAAATCGAGTAATACTCTGCTATTTCAGTCAGATAGTCTCAGAGACTAGTGGTAAAACAACTAATTCTGTGCCAAGCAAACACCAGACAAGGCTTAGTACTGTATGAACTATTACACTTTAATGGCAGGGACTCAGAGTTTATATCCACAACTATGTTTACCGACAATCAAACAGGGGGCAATCTCACATGCTGCCCCCTTCTGATCTTACAGTTAGATATATTTGATAGCTTAGACGACAGCCCTGCCCACCCAATGTATGTCTAGTAAACTTACTGTTTGGTAGCTGTTTAAATCCCCAAATAACTCTTCATTAAGTCTCCCGTCTCCCCCTTGTCCATATTTCATAAAAAACCCTTCAAGGGACTAGCAACTGCAAAAAAGCAAGTTTAACTGCACTCATGACTTTGTTGGTTGTGAACACTGCCATACCTCCTACCTGTCCCAGATGTGGCAGAACTACCCTAATTTTGGGAACATGTCCCACCATCCCATGTTCATCCCCTGGTGTCCTGTATTTATGGACACTGGGTACTGTCCAAAGCAAGCACAGCATGATCACATCATTACATAAGCTGGTATTTTGCTACATGTTGTCAGGACACTGTAATCATGTATTGAGCATACAAGCAGCGCCCTGTTCATGATCTGCCCTGAGACGAATCGGCCAGAGAGGCTGTCAGTCTGCCAGGCATGCACCTAATCCAGGTTGACATGCTCCTTCTTGTCAAGGCCTATGCTATTAGATAGGCCTACAAGTTGTTTGCCACGGCAAGCCTAGTCCAATGGCTAGAGAAGAGGTGAACATTTTGAGTCTAGTACAGCACTAGCTATTTAGGGGGGTCTCAAGTGATGCAAACGCCTTCTCCTGTTGGGAGGTATGTATCGCAGGCACAACTCTCATCTCACAGAAAACTATAACACAAGAAACAACGCAACCAGATGGAGCTTTTTTGAGAAGATTTGCATTAGGGTTCACATATTACATTCCACATATTATTAAAGGGACACTCCAGACCCCTGAAGCACTTTAGCTTGCTGAAAAGCCTTTTGTGTGAGGAGTGCGTCTTTTTTTTTTCACGTTGGAAATAGTGCAGATTTCAATAGAAATATACACTTTTCTAAATGATGCTGGTTACACCACCTTGGCTTTTCAAGCAGACAACAGGTCCTGTTACTTCCTGGTTTGATTAGCTTAATTGCCCTGAACTCAAGAGGCATCAATTGCCTAGAGCACCTGCCTTACAAAGACTTCTCATTGAGCTGCATTGGGAAGTCTGTGATTGGACAGCCACAGAAAGTCTGGGAGGGGCTAGAAGGGGAGGGCTTGTAAAGACAGCAGACATGAGATCTGCAGGTTTGCAAGCTGTTTTAGATATTTCCCCAATGAAAAAAAAATGCATAATTAAATACATGCAAGGTTTCATTTCGGGTTTTTTTAAAATTTATTTTGTGATTTTCATTTATTGTGGGCAGTGAAGTGTCCCTTTAAACATTTACAACATAAAATAATATAAATGTCAGGAAACCAGAGTGGCTGGACTGTGGGAACACCACATCTTTATTTGCAGGTTTTGTATCAAAAGCTGGCAACCCAGTAGCTGACCTTTTATATGAAAATAGACGAGCTTTTGTTCTTTGCACATTGCATGCGATGTTCTTTGTGGTAATGTTTACATTCAGGATAATATCAATTTTACAAGGGTGAACATACCTGTGTCTACTAATGTGTCTTATCAGTCACAGGTTTCGAAATACAAATAAATCAAGTGGAATAAAGTAGCTGAATTCTTAATGTGGCTCTAAAAAACAATAAACATTGAAATAAAAAAATTGTAGAGCTTATTCACGACACATTACATTGTAGAGAAACCTTAGTGAATTAAATTAAAATCCTAACAAGTATTTCGACCTAAATGTTGCAAATAGTTTTCAATTTACCACAACTCTTTGTTTAGTGACAAAACAAACAGTTTTCCCATTTTTAAAGAAGGCAAGTTTGCAAGAATTTGAAGGACTGACTAACAAGGTCGTAGCATAAACAGGTACAACATTTTTTATTCACAACCTGACTGCAGGCAGTCAAACTATTACAAACAATTAATATGCTTGGAAATATTTATGTGGGTGTGCAAAAAAAAATAATTAAACAACCCAACCAGCGTGTTAATGCGTTAAAGTTGCATTGGTGCTTGGGGTGTCCCTTCAAGGACTAACAGGGTTTTATTCACTAGAAAGGGAATTGTTTGGAAATCAAAGTGAATTCACAGAGAATCTCCATGTTAATGCCACAATAGACGCATTAAAGAAATTCTTCAACCAGATGCATTGCTGGGTTGCAGTTGTAGGCTGACCAACAGGTGCAGGTGGGACGGATAGATAAACCTATTGACATTGTGTGTTTGTCTGCAGTAGTTTGTGTAGCAGTATGGGCAATAGTTTGTGTGTACAGTGTATCTACCTATCATTTCAGTGCAGTCCTCTTCCCCCTACAAATCACTATGTTCACTTTGAGGGGGCGGGGCCATGCACAGATCACTGTGTTCAGTCTGAGGGGGCGGGGCCATGCAAAGATCACTATGTTCAGTCTGAGGGGGCGGGGCCATGCAAAGATCACTATGTTCAGTCTGAGGGGGAGGGGCCATGCACAGATCACTATGTTCAGTCTGAGGGGCGGGGCCATGCACAGAGCAATGTGTTCAGTCTGAGAGGGGGGCCATGCACAGATCACTGTGTTCAGTCTGAGGGGTGGGGCCATGCACAGATCACCGTGTTCAGTCTGAGGGGGCGGGGCCATGCAAAGATCACCAAGTTCAGTCTGAGGGGGCGGGGTCAGGCACAGATCAATATGTTCAGTCTGAGGGGGAAGGGCCATGCACAGATCACTATGTTCAGTCTGAAGGGGCGGGGTCAGGCACAGATCACTATGTTCAGTCTGAGGGGACGGGGCCATGCACAGATCCCTGTGTTCAGTCTGAGGGGGCGGGGCCATGCACAGATCCCTGTGTTCAGCCTGAGGGGGCGGGGCCATGCACGGATCAGACTTCTCAGACTGAATACAATGAATCCAGAGTCCCGCAGCCAACAGACAACAGGCAGGTGGTATGGAGGGTGATTTAAACAAGGCGGAGGAGTCGTGCACCAACATGTTCAACTTTTACCAGCTGCCACTTAGTGAACAGGTGCCTATAGGCAAGTACCTACTCTGTCTAATGGGAAATGTTGCCTTGGTTAAATGGGTAGAGCATAACAATTTAGGGGGAGCAGTGCACTAGACATGTGCAATTCGTTTCATTCCAAATGTATATTTGCATGAATTTCGTGCAATTCGGACATTCGGATGCTTACAAATGTCTGAAGTGCTGAAGTGCCAAACTGAACTGAGTTGCTGAAGTTCCGAATTGCCGAAGTTCCGAATTGCCAAAGTTCCAAAGTGCCGAAGTGGATTACTGAAAAGTGGAAAAACAAGAGAGAGGGAGGGAAAATTACATGAATGATGACAGGAATCTTGACCAATATGCTAATTCCTGGCACTGGGAGCCCTATAGATGTGTAAGTGGTTGTGGTTGCAGTCTTGGCACTAGGAGCCCTACAGATGTGTAAGTGGTTGTGTAGGGCTCCCAGTTTCAGGATTGCCCCCACAACCACTTACATATCTGTAGGGCTTCCAGTGCCAGGACTGCCACCACAACCACTTACACATCGCCGCCTCTGATGCCAATACAGCTACAAGGCAGGGGTTCCATAAGGTGGCCTACAGGCAGGCAGGCGCCTACTCAGCTTCCGTGTCTGGAGGCAGGGGGGAGGGATCGAGGAAGCAGCTCTCCTGTCCTCCCGTGAGCAATCTGTATGGAGCATTTCCACGCGTTACCATGGCAATGCTCCACACAGCCTCAGGCGGGAGGACAGGAGAGCTGATTCACAGAGCCATACTTACCACCACCGGATCACCAGGGCTGGCTGTGTCCCCCCCTCCTTCATGAAAGGTAAGAGGAAGGGCACAGATTTAATATATCTTTTTTTTATGTCTCTTTACCCCCACTCCCACCACACACAGCACCCCTATCCCCCCCACACAGAGCACCCCTACCCCCCACACACACAGCACTCTTACTCCCCCACACAGCACCCCTACACCCCTTATCACATCATTGATTTTCCACTGACTGTTCTTTTTATATACTTCAGCATCACTATTCTTGTCCCCTATCTCCCCACAGCACCCCTACACCCTACACACACAATACCCCTACCCCCCACACACACAGCACCCCGAGCCCCCACACACACAGCACCCCTAGCCCCCCACACAGTACCCCTACCCCCACAGCATCCCTAGCCCCCACACACAGCACCCCTAGCCCCCTACACACTGCACCCCTAGGCCACACACCACCCCCCCACACACAGCACCCCCTAGCCCCCGCCCATCCCCTACCCTCACACACAGCACCCCCCAGCACATACACAGCACCCCTACCCCCCAAACAGCATCCCTCACACACACACACAGCAACCCTCACACACTCTGTTTAATGGGAAATGTGGCCTTGGATAAATGGGTAGAGCCTAACAAGTCTGGGGAGTCATGCACCAACATATTCAAATTTATTTGATGACTGAAGTCCTGAATGTGGTGCTTCAAAGGTGAATGAGGGTCAGCAGGTCTACGTGTTAACGGGCGCAATACTTGCCTTGCCTCAGGTTCTGGCAAGTCATGCTACGTCACTGCTGGTATCTGAAGCTCGATGGAGCCTTACAGTCACTGACATTGCAATCAGAGAAATGGCTTTGAAAACAGGTGTTTACAGGTGTTTAATATCACATAATCAATAATAATCAATTACCTAAAAAAAAAGGTTAAAAAAAAACATTAACCACGAAACAGTGAATTTTAGTGATCTAAAAAAAAATCACATGGTAAAATTTAAACAAAAATTACTGGTTTGAAAAAAATTATCATAGTCAGCTATAATCAAAGGATGTATTTTTACAAGTCATGGCTTTCAATTCACTTCTACAATTTGGTCTTTACAGAATAAAACCATAAGCACCATTTTGCTACTTTGTTACAGCTGTAACAAATTTCGCAATTCTTAGAACATCAAATGGTGTTTTCCCACACAACAAACCTGCTTATCCTCTAGACATACCATCAGGTTGAGGACAACATCATTACGGCATGCAATAAACTCCAGAGCAGTAAGGTGTTGAGAATGAGTTATTGGCCAAACTAACCCATTCTAGACACTGTAAAGTGAAATGTTACTTCCAAAGCGTTTAAAAAAGTTTACTTATTCTAAATATTTAACAAATATGTATTTGTAAGATGAGAAAGATAATATATCCACACATATTATCCTACAGCTGGGGGCTTCCATTTTAGCTTCCTTCATTCTTGTAAATTCTGTTTATCGCTAAAAAACAAATATATAAATACACTGAACAAAATTATAAACGCAACACTTTTGTTTTTGCCCCATTTTTTATGAGCTGAACTCAAAGATCTAAAACTTTATCTATGTACACAAAATATTGTTCACAAATCTGTCTAAATCTGTGTTAGTGAGCACTTCTCCTTTGCCGAGATAATCCATCGACCTCACAGGTGTGGCATATCAAGGTGCTGATTAGACAGCATGATTATTGCACAGGTGTGCCTTAGGCTGGCTCATCACATCATTGATTTTCCACTGACTGTTCTTTTTATATACTTCAGCATCACTATTCTCGTCTAAGCATATTTTTCACAGCACAAACTTTTTAAAAAGGGGGGGGGGCCCCCACCGATAACATTAACAACTTTGACTTTTATTCAAGCTTATTTGTTTTCTATACATTTTACTGTGTCTATTTACTGAGCGCTGTTCTTTGAGTAGTTTTATTTTATTTTATGCTTTAACTATTTTATTATTTTTTATTTTACCACAGTCTTTCTCTTGGGGTGCTTTTTTACCCTCTTCTTATGCTGATTTCATATTTATATATTTAGATCCAGTCTATGACATTTGTACGCTCTAGTTTGACTCCTCCCATTATCTCACTACAGTTTTAGTTGTTTTTTTCTACGGCATTAGAACTTGGAGTGTGCTAATATATCTCTGAGTGTATCTATTTGTATTTTATTTTTTGTGGTACCCCATTTGATTTTGAGTGTTACAGTTTGTTACACATTATATAGTTGCTTTCAGATTCTAATTGCTTCTATGGCATTAGTATATTGAACACTGCTACTTGTTACAACTTCAATATATACATTGTTATCTACTTGGAACTGCGTTTTTAGGAGATTGCTGATGATATATCAGATTATTTTGTTACCTTATGGATTTTATTAATTAGCTATCCTTTAAATTTTATCATTAAATATATTTTATCTGTTAGTGACAAACACAATATATAGGAGACCAAGTATGACTACACACAGAATAACCAGCAAAATGGTTTATAATTGCCATGTTGTGAAAGGCTGCTTAATATGCCATGCTTTGCCAATCAGCATCTCCTCATAGCAATGCATTGACTCATTGCATCTTTATGGGGAGCTTTCAGGGTCTCCGTGCAGAGTTTGCAGACACAAGACTTCAGTCCTACAATCATTGCAGGACCTTGCCCAGCAAGTCTGAGTGATGGTCACTAGAGTTGGCATTAGGCAGCGATGTAAGCACTTGCTCTTTCAGAAAAGGTGTAGTTATACTTTCCCCCCCGAGCAACTGCATTAAGCTGTAGTGGCTCTGGTGACTATAGTGTCCCTTTAATTCTGCTTTTTATCGTTTTCATTAGGGATGTGCATGGGCAAAAAATTTGGTTCGGTTTGGAAATTCTGGTATTTAACAAAATTTAGCTCCCTCGGTAATTCAGATCAATGGCATTCGGTTCGGTTCAACACTTCGGCAATTCGGACCCTAAACCTAACTCTAAACTCTAAACCCTAGCCCTAACCTCTTGCTCTAACCCCTAACCCTAACCACTTGTTTTGCCCCTAACCCTAAACGCTACCCTAAACCCTAACCCCTAACCCTAACCACTTGTTTTGCCTCTTTTCAGAAATCCGAAGCAATTCGGAACTTCGGCAATGCGGAACTTCAGAATTCAGTTCGGTTTGGCATTTCAAAAGTTTGGCACTTCAGCAATTTGGAAACTGGAACTTCGGACATTCGAATGCTTACGAATGTCCGAATTTCACGAAATTCGTCCAATGTACATTCGGAATGAAACAAATTGCACATGTCTAGTTTTCACAACAACGTCAAATTCAATGGAATACACAATTATAATACAGACATCTAGAGTCGCTGAGGCAAACTAGCCATTAGTTCTACAGTAATTCTATTGAGAGAGAGGTCAATTCTGGGAAAAATTGAGGGACATTTATCATGAGCCAGACTAATTTTCCACTCAAATAAAAATAAACATATTTTTTAAAATTAAAAAAAAAATCAGAAATGTCTTTATAAAGCATCCAAAAAACATATCACTAAAAACATGTATTATTGTGCTCTTCTATATTTAAGGGTTACTCAAACCCTTATAATAACATCTTTATATTCAATATGTTACCCCCCTCTTATAAACCTGCAAAAAGCAAGCCTGCAAATCTCCCCATGCTGGTTTTTACGCCCCACTCTAATATCCTTGCTGCCCCCTTGCGGTCCAATAAAATTAATTTCATAGAGAATCACTTGATTGGACCATTCTACTGGTTCAGAGAGCTTGCGCATGCCCTAAGCTGTGTAGGAGAGGGTGCTTAAAAACAAAAAAACTGAATTACTATTAATGCAGTAAGGTGGGGAGGGAGAGCATTTAGGGAGGACGAAGCGTTTTAAGTCACCCCTGGCAGCTTATTACGTCTGCTGCCTGATGACATTTTTGCACAAAACTCACATTAGTTAGCCCAGAACAGAGTTCTACCCTGCCTAAGTGACTTGTGACGAGCGGTGCAACTGGACCGCATCACAAAAGTGTAGATTTCAAGCAGGAACACAGCACATACAGACTCCAACCACCATGACCACTTCTAAAAGCAGAAATGGGCTTGGATGTTGAAGTAACCCTGTAAGCTGTTCTCAAAAGAGAATCTCGCTTCTTGATTGACGGCATAATTAGCAGCTTAGAAAGATGGGCAGGAAAGTAGATGATTTTTTTTTTTTTTAGTAGTATGTTAAGAATTTGTCGTCAGCTACGTGAAGGGTAGAATGTGTGGGGGTGTTTTGACTGAAAGTAAAAAACTGTTTCAATATTGCCCTGCCCTCTGCCTCTGACTATGAATGCCTGTGAGAGAGAAATGTACTCACCTAAACAATGTACTGCATTTTAACAGTGATCACAGGAGGGTAAGGATGGACAGGTGCAGGAGATACCCAGTGGACATCAAGGCGGTCGGTCTTATACAGAATGGAAGACAACGGGTAATATATCTATATATTTATGCATGCATTATATTATATTTATTTATAGTTTGTAGGGTAAGTTTTTGGGGAATTTGTTAAACATTTATACAGATTGCACAGACTATGGGGAGATAACATCATATGAAAACCCCATGTAATTTTTCCTAACAAAACTCCAATTTTATAACTCCACATCATATTGCAGTGAATTGAAATCCAATCTGTACAATTTATGGTAAATGAGACAAGATGTGATTTTTGCAAAATTTGTGAATTTTTCCAAATCAGCAATTTTTTCACTCTAAATGTGCCATTTTACTTTCAGCTTCTTCCAATTTAGTGATTAATGAATAAGCCGCCTCGTCCCACCTCTGACCTTATCTACATTTCTCAAAGTTTTTGGAATGTATGCATGTAGGCAGAAAGCAGAGTCAGCCCTAGGTTGGGGTGCAATATTTTTATAATGACTGCGCAGAACAAATTTAAAAAAGTATTTGAAATGGAAATATTTTTTTTCCTAACAAACAGCAGAATGGTGTCAGCATATTTGCACTTTCATGACGATAATAAAAAAAACAAAAACGAATATGTATATTAATAATATTGCTATTTATTTAATTTGTATTGAGGGATCTATTGCCATTCTGTTCATACACTCATCCTAATAAATGTACATATACCTTAATATTAGCTGTACTTCCTCCATCAAAATGGCACATACTTACTCTCATAAGGCAAGCTCTCTCTGTAGTATACACACAGATACATGCACATACTTTGCACAACAAAACATGAATGCCAACACCTTATCCATTTATAAATACAGCACACACTATTAGACATAAACACGTGCATTCATGCAATAATTTTAATAATGTGAACACTTAGCCTTGAACATGCATGTACATGTGCACACACATACGTACACACAAACTAGACTGGAAGAAACATACAAGCACCCTGACCACTGCAGGCACCTGACACCCCCTCTCTCCCAACGCCGGAGAAATGAAAGTTCCTAAGCAAGCACTTCCACGAGCTAAGCCCTGCATTGCAGCATCAGCCTTTACTGTTTGAATGTGCCATTGGCCGTGATAAATACACATTAAAAATGCATTTCCTCACACCCTGCGATATGTTCTACTGACACACTACATCTGTTTGCCAAAGTGATTTTTCTTTAAGTCTCTTTTTTTAATTTTATCTTAACTTTGTTTATATTCTTTTTGTTTTAATTGCTCTTGTACTGGTTTATAAATGTATCTTTGCCTTAATGTTGCCAAGACATATCGTGTATATTGCTTTCCTCATTACCATGTTTTATGTCTAATAAAATGTAAAATCCAATAAACTTTGATTTGAAAAAAAATAAAATAAAAAATACCCTATATTACGGGAATCATTATGTTTAAAAGACAGGTTTATATATATGGCTGGGACTCAATATTACTTATTTTGAGTGAAATTCCACTGGGTTTTGTGGTAGTGGATGCTATATTTTTAAATTACTTAATCCAAATGTCTGCAGAGCAGTAAATACGTCTGGTTTGTCTGTTTTTCAGATGTGCATATTTTCAATTTTTTGGTCAGATCGAAATAACATTCTTATATATCGAACGTATGAAAACTTCAAGAATCTCGCAGTAAGTACAACAGCTATTACCCATAGCTCAATCCTTAACATGGCTGGGGATGTATAGTGTTATTTAAGTGTATTTCTCAAAGTGAATTTCCCATTTAAAGAGGACCTGTCACTTTTGGGGGTCTTTATATATTTCCCAAAGATACCCGAAAGTGACAGATCCAGTATGGGTCTGGTATCCATGGGGTGAAGCTGTCCCTCGCAGCCGCAACCATCTTTATCTTGCAGCCCTTTTCAGCACCTTGTGCTTCAGTTGCCCGGAGTTGAGTCAATACTCTACTCTCGGGCATGTCTAAATCCCACGGCAGTCACTTGTGACGTCTGCTGGGATTGGAGAAATGTTGCTGCTTTTTATCAAACTTTGTCAACCTCAAACTTGTCCATAACACAAAACGGTCCCTACTTTGACATTAATTTATATTTGGATTGTGATGGAATTTCAGTACAGGTCCAACCCAGTCTTGAGGTGCTGCATAGAGTTCTGGTGACTATAGTGTTCTTTTAATCTCTATAGAGTCCAGGGGTTCAGTCATGTGCAACCAAACCCATGTGGACAGTATCACATGGGCACTGACCTTCGATCATTCGTGGCCAGGCTTAAATGTACATGATACGTTAATAAATCCCGCTGGTGGGAATAATGTTATCATATGTTATTATATAATTTTAATGTGTCTATTTAGCATTACCTTTATTATATTTTTAGTGAATTAAGTACATGATATTAAGGGGGCTTGAAAATCGCGCACTTTTCCAGTTGCTAAGAAACACACTGCACTACTGACTATGTTGGTGCTCTTCAGATAATTCTGCAACGCAATTGTAAAATATTTGACTTATTTTTATCATGCAGAAAGAACTTAAACAGAAGTTCCCCTTGGAGTCGGGACTTGTTAACAAATCTGAGCGGATATTACCCATACTGAGAGGTAAGTGGGTGAGGGAAGTTTTGTTTTTGGAAAAATGAAACAAAACATTTTTTTGCATACCAGGTTTTTTTGTTTTTCTTTATCAAAGTGAAGGTTAATTCAAAGCAAATTAAAAATGTAAGGGCAGAGTCGTTGAAATGAAAGCACATCTGACTTAGAGAATGTTTGCAGTTCGGCTAGTTTGACTTTAAATTTGAATTCTCACTTAGTGGCTAGCCCTATTCGTGTCAATGAATGGCGGGTTAGTTTGACACAGCTTCATGCATCAATGCAGATAGTATTATTAAGGATACACCTGTTTGAACATAAACACGGGAAAATCAGATTAGTTTTAACTAAGGAATCAAAACTCTATTCATTATGAGGGCATTTAAAGTAATTTAGTACCAAGACGTCTAAAATACCAGGTCCTTATAATTACAGGTCGGTGCTACAATTGCCTGTGATATATACCCTTTTATTTTCTCAGAAAAAAAACAACAAAAGAGCTCTTCAAAGCTGAATACCAGAACTTTTAGAAATTCATTCAGCCTTGTTTATTGTGCTGTCTTGTATAATGATGTTTGTGTATGAATTATACATGGAGTGGTCTTTGTAAGCATCCATTTTTAAATGGATAATTTGGCAGTCCTACTGACCTTCTCTGTGTGCCCTATTAGTAAACATGCTCACCAGCAATTGTGGGGAGCAAATATTATTTGTATGGGGTGATGGGGTTCAGGACCAGTGCAATCATCCATGGGGTGAAGCTGTCCCTCGCAGCCGCAGCCATCTTTACCTTGCAGCCCTTTTCAGCACCTTGTGATTCAGTTGCCCGGAGTTGAGTCAATACTCTACTCTCGGGCATGTCAGAATCCCACGGCAGTCATTTGTGACGTCTGCTGGGGTTGGAGAAAAGTTGCTGCTTTTTATCAAACTTTGTCAACCTCAAACTTGTCCGTAACACAAAACGGTCCCTACTTTGACATTCATTTATATTTGGATTGTGATGGAATTTTTAGTACAGGTCCAACCCAGTCTTGAGGTTGTTTGAACATAAACAACCTCAGTTTCAGACCAGTTTCATACCCCCTTATCCCACATCTACCTTTTGCCTATTTTATCCATTAACTTTTTGTTTTTTGCTATCTCTCTATCAATTGGTGTTTTTCATATTAGCTATATGCAGAGGCCTCAATATGTAGATTGTGAGGGGTAATGACTACTTGTGGTGTTGTGTTTGTGGAGGTTGCAGTGTGTGGGCTTTAGAGGGGTTATTTGGGAAGTTGTGTGTGGGGGGTGGCTATATATGTTATGTATGGGCTGTGGAAGTTGTGGATATGCTGGCTGTGTATGTGTGTTGCCTATGGGATGAAGTTGTTTATAGGCTGTGTGCTTTGTGTGTGATGCCTGTGGGGTATTGTTGTGTGTAGACAGGCTGTGTGTGTTGTAAGTAGTGTCTGAGATGGCACGCGCATTACAATAAAAGACAGTCATGTTTTTGTTGCCCCCTTCTTGTTACCTTTGGATATCACTAGTGGTGAGGTGGGGGCTGGGATTCTGCTTCTTGGAGATTTTATTGGAGAGCGATTGGGGTCTCCACCTGTGGGTGGTGCAGCTCATTGTAAACAATGTTTGATATGGAAAAAACTGGTGAGTATAAGTGCTCAATATCTATAATTAGCAGCAAATCAACAACAAAGGGTTCTCTCTATCCTTGTGAAGTGGATAGTAAAGATAACAGACAGGAGGTGATCAGCGCTTATAGGGCCACTATAGTGCCAGGAAAACATACTCGTACTATAGTGCCCTGAGTGTGCCCCCACCCTCAGGGTCCCCCTCCCGCCGGGCTTTAGGGAGAGGAAGGGGTTAAAATCTTACCTTTCTCCAGCGCCGGTCGGGGAGCTCTCCTCCTCCTCTCCTCCTTCCTAGCGACATCATCGGCTGAATGCCCATGCGTGGCAAGAGCAGCGCGCGCATTCAGCCAGTTCATAGGAAAGCATTTACAATGCTTTCCTATGGACGCTGTCATCTTCTCACTGTGATTTTCACAGTAAGAAGCACGCAAGCGCCTCTAGCGGCTGTCAATGAGACAGCCACTAGAGGCTGGATTAACCCTCAGTGTAAACATAGCAGTTTCTCTGAAACTGCTATGTTTATTAAAAAAAAAAAAAGGGTTAACCCTAGCTGGACCTGGAACCCAGACCACTTCATTAAGCTGAAGTGGTCTGGGTGCCTATAGTGGTCCTTTAAGATTATATATACAAACGGTACAGATGATACTCTTAGTATATGAATTTATAAGTACAACGCAAGAAACAAATTATGGTGCAGTGCAGTAGATGTTTGTGATGGGAGTAAAAATGTTCAAAAGTGCAAACTCACACTTTTTAGAGCTGTCTCAGCTCTATTACGAAGGCCTGGATGGAATAATCGCGTCTATAGATATAAGTGGAGGGTCTTTGGAGCTTGTTTTTAGGATGGAGCAGATATATGTGAAAAAAGACAAAATAGGAAATCCAGTGGTATTGTATATACAAACAATTGGTATTGATGGAGGAAGATATCCTACTTATGTCACCCATTGCCACTGGGGGCAGACTTAGAACTGCAGTGTAAACATTCCAATTTCTCTGGAACTGCAATGTTTAACACTGCAGCACTAAGTTCAATCGGGACCCTGCACCCTGCAATGAGCTTTTTATTATTGCAAGTATTATTATGTTACATGTTTATGTTTATATTGTAATAAATTGCTTTATTTTACCAAAGTCCTTTTGGAGCCTCCAGGAATCTTCATAGGGGTAGTAGCGTCCCCACATAATTGGCACAGTACCTTCATACCTCAGAGCCGGGATTGCTAGGCTCACAATAAGGGGAGCACCCTATTTTACTTTCACTTTTCCACCTGGTTTTAACAGACTACATATAGTCTTGTCTCTTTTATGTTTTCTTTCTGATTTTCATTTAACTACACATTGGAGGTGTGGTACCAGCTTGATTATGGAGACAGTATTCATACACAGGCTCTTTTAAATGTGAGTGTCCTGACTTCAATATCATACATTGTGTTCCACGCAACGTGCCATCTGCACTATACTGTATATTTTGTCTTTTATAATTTATATGTATCTTAAGCCAAGTTTTTAATCAAGTTACGTGGGGTAAGTTTACCTCAGATATGCACTTAGCGCTCCACTTAAAGGTGTAGGCCTACACTTACACCGGTTTATAGGAATATGACATCAGTCTGGCTCCCAGCATCACTAAGCGGCGTGCGAGGGAGCTGAGCAGGAAGATCAAAGCTCCCTCGCCGCCTCTGACAGTTCACCTCCTACATGCCTGTCTGCCTAGCAGCACAAGCAGCCCCTGCAGCCCCACTGGACCCCAAGTGAGGAATCTACTCCAACTCTCCCACGGAGGCTGGGTGGAGTTAATTTAAAATTAAAAAAATAATAATAGTAATTTGTGAGTGTTGGGGGAAATGTGTATGAGTGTGTGTCTGTCAGTCAGTGTGTGTATCTGTGAGAGTGTGTGTGTCTGTCAGTTAATGTGTATATGTCTGTGAGTGTGTGTGTCTGTGAGTGTGTATGAGTGAGTGTGTCTGTCAGTCACTCAGTGTCTGTCAGTGAGTGTGTGTATATGTCTGTAAGTGTGTGTCTGTCAGTCATTCTGTGTCTGTCTGTCAGTTAGTGTGTGTGTGTGTGTCTGTCCATGAGTGTGTGTGTCTGTCAGTATGTGTGAGTGTGTCTGTCAGCGTGTGTGAGTGTGTCTGTCTGTCTGTCAGTCAGTGTGTGTCTGTTAGAGTGTTTCAAATTAGTGTTTGTGTATGTCATTGTTTGTTAGTGTATTTCGGTGTGAGTCTGTCAGTGAAAGTGTGTGTTGGTTAAACAGTGTGTATTTCAATGCATGCTTCAGTGAGGGAGTCTCTGTAAGTCAAAGTGTATGCCGGCTTGACAGGAAGGGGTGGGGAAAATTTAAATTAGGGGGTGCCCAAGTTTGTTCATGCTTAGGGCAGCACAGATTCAAAAGACACCCCTGCAGTGTCCCTTTAAAGTGCTTTTTTGTCACTTTGTAGAGTCATAAATGCTATTTATTCCACAGTAAGCTTTCTGGAAGTGCAGGTGTCTGGTAGCACAGTAAAGGAAGGTGCCTGGCAAACAAATATAACACAGTCCATGGCTTAACACTGGGCACTAAATCTCTCAACACAGCCCATGGCGTAACACTGGGCGCTAAATCTCTCAACACAGCCCATGGCGTAACACTGGGCGCTAAATCTCTCAACACAGCCCATGGCGTAACACTGGGCGCTAAATCTCTCACCTGGTCTTTCAAGGATCCTATTCTAAAAATTTTAGTTTGACCTTAAAGGGACACTTTAGCCACCAGAACAACTACAGCTTAATGTATAATACAGCTTATTGTACAGTATACAGCTTATTGTATAATACAGCTTATTGTACAGTATACAGCTTAATGTAGTTGTTCTAGTGAGTATAATAACTCCCTTCAGGCATTTTCCTGCAAACACTGCCTTTTCAGAGAAAAGATAGTGTTTACATTGCCCCTAGGGACACCTCCAAGTGGTCACTTCTCAGATGGCCACAGGAGGTGCTTCCTGGGTCAGTGCTGCACAATAAGCAGCCCTGCCGTTCAGCGTCCCCACGCTCTGCATGGAAACGCTGAATTTTCCTCATAGAGATGCATATATTCAATGCATCTCTACGAGGAGGTCCTGATTGGCCAAAAAGGCATTTGGCCCCACCCCTCTGCTGATTTTAGCCAATCCAATGCATTGCACAGGGTGCGGAGCTAGCACCGGCAGAACCGCACGGCGCTGGAATTAAGTTGAGTTTTAATTTCTTTTTAAAGGGGCTGAGCGGGGGACAAGCCACCTAAATGGTGGGTTTAACACTGTAGGGTCAGGGATACATGTTTGAATTCTCACTTTTAAGAATTGCAACCCTGCAGAACTAATGTTACAACGTCAATACAGAGTGCAATCCAAGCTAGCATATTGTAGTTATGATGTTATGTGATGTTGGCTAACAATGTCATTGTTACTAAGGGGTTAAATGAGATATTTTGATTTTTCGAGTATCTACTTCTGAAATCAGTAACCCAGACACAGGTATCGTTACATTGTCATGTTAAAGTTGAACATTCCTTATGAAGATTTTCTTTTTTCTTCTGTGTGTGATGTAAGGCAGAGTAAATTGCTCTCAATACCAAACCTGTTTATCCAGCTCTCAGTAAGATTGACAGGTCAATGAGTAATGCTCCATGAACTTGCATCAATCACAATGTTACACTCAGCAAGCGTGACTATAACTGATGCTTGCTAAGACATTCACTAAAGAAACACAACTACCTAACATGCTTTATGCAAACCATATTACTTCCATCCTTTCACCTGTCCCCAAAAAACCCCCACAGAACTCTTCATCAAGGAAACAACTAGTTCACTCCTTTATCGAAACTGAATATTCAGCTTTAAAGGAACACTATAGGGTCAGGAACACAAATGTGTATAAAAACACTATTTAGCCCCCCGTGTCACCCTTAAATAAATAGAAAACTTACCTTATTTCAAGTGCTGTGTGGTTTCAGAGACACTGTACAGCACTGAACGTCGCACTGCGCAACACTGACCCAGGGAGCACCTCCAGTGGCCATCTTAGGGGTGGCCACTAGAGGTGTTCCTAGACTGTAATGTAAACACTGAAAATACTCTGAAAATACAGTGTTTACTGCAAAAAAGCCTACAGGGACTGGCAAAACATATCCAAATAACTACATTAAGGGCAGTCTATAATATGATTAGGACCCTGGGCAACGCATTTTCTTGGGCCCCCTGGAAGGAAGTGACGCTCGGCACTCACTTCCTCCCAGCTGGCTGCCGAACAGGAAGGGACCCGATCGTACGGTTTAAGCGTCACAGCGCCCGACCGGGCCCCTGCTGACACATGCCCACCTTCTTAGTGTGCGGGCCAGAGCCTGGTCCATGGAGGCTGCGCAAATCGCGGGGCCCACTGGGTAACTGCTCTATCAGTGCCTCTATCAGTGTATATATGTATGTGCATGTAATAGAATGTGTGTGTCCAAAGAAGCAACATGACTTCAACGGTTGATATCGTATGTGCAACATCATGGCAATATGACAACATATATTATATTTATACAATACATATAGATCAATTTACAACACTGTTTCCTTATTTGATACTTCATTATTTGACAAATCATTTTAAAAAAGTTTTTCTGTCCAACCAAAATTTTTGTTATGTTTCCATATAATAATGTGCTATCTACACTTGCTGAAAGGAAAAATATCTTTAAACGTTACTTCCCAGACACACAAATAACTTGGATTCTGGAGTAGTTTTATTTGCAAACTGCTTGGTAGTGAAGGTCTTAAAGAGAAAGGATCGAATAACAATAGTGGCACTCCACTGTAGTTTTGTTTTGTTTGTTGTGTGTGTTACTATCAGAGAGTGAAGTATGCTAGAGGCTATTTGATATGAATTACAGTTTAATGTTTTAAAGGTATACTATAGGCACCCAGACCACTTCAACTAATTGAAGTGGTCTGGGTGCAGTGTAATTGTCCCCTTAATCCTGCAACTGAACATTTTGCACTTTTAGGGTTGACTGCCTCTAGTGACGCTGATATTAGGTAAGTAAAACCGAGTAGTGCAGAAAAAACCCTTATGTCACATACCTAGCTCCAGGGCTGACTCGAACCCACCTTCACTCCTCCCTGCCAACGTCAGTCAATGATTTCCTACAGGGATTCCAGTGATGCTGGAAGTGATTGTCCATAGCGTGAGGACGTCCAGCGTCATTTAAGTGACCAAAAGTCGCCTAACCACCCAGAAGTGATCTAGTGGCTATCTGGTAAACAGTCACTAAAGGTTAACTCTAGCAGGTTTTATTGCAGTTTATTAAAAACTGCAATGATTACCTGCTCAAGGTTAAGGGTGCTGGGACACTGCACCCAGACCACTTCAATGAGCTGTATAGGTCTGGGTGCCTATAGTGTCCGTTTAAAGATGCGCCAATTCATATGGTGTGTATTTTTGGTTGGTTGGTAATTACCATCACTTGTTGAGGAAGACTGGGACAGCAGAAGGTTAACATAGCTGCGGTCAGTTGTTTGAGAGAACCCCCTTATTTCTGTCAAATTCATTCATACTTCCTGAGACATGACTGTCCCCCTCTTTTACAGCTACTCCTGCTTTCTTATGTTATGGTGGGCTACAATTCTCCCACACTCCTAGACCAAACTGTAAAAGAGATAGGCATCCTTCTCTCCCCGCAATGTACCTTTCAACCTATCCTCCCTTCCCCTGCCCAATCCTTTACTTCCTTTGAAGTTCACACTGCCTGTCTATTTAAACCCACCCGTCTATGAATTGCCATAATTTATCTAGCACCCCTCTCTCCCGCCCCACCCCAATCCTGCTGGTCATCCTAGGCTATTCATTGAACACTTTTCTTCCTGGCTACCCCATGTCCTCTCCTCTAGCACTCCTTCCCTCATTTTTGGGGACTTTAATATCTCAATCAACAACCCTAACTGCCATGATGCCTCTTGTCTGCTCTCTATAACCTCCTCCATTGGACTCACACAGTGGTCTAATTCATCAACTCATAGAGCAGGAAACACTCTTCATCTCAACTTTATCAATCTCTCTACCATCTCTAATCTCTCCAATGTTCTATTTCCTCTATCTGACCATTATCTGCTGTCCATTGACATCCGCATACCCGGTACCCAAAGTACACAACCATCACAACATCAGTCTTGCAGAAATCTCCATTGTCTTGACCTACAGGAATTCTCTACCAACCTCCAAAGTCTCCTTTCACTCATCTCAAATTTCACAAGCCCTAACACTGCAACCTTCCTCTACAACTCCACTCTCTCCTCTCAACTAGACATCATGGCACCTCCTACACTTAAAGGCATTAAGCGCCCCCAATTACAACCCTGGCACACAAAGCTTACCCGATACCTTCAAAAATGTTCCAGAACTGCTGAACGCTGCTGGAGAAAGTCTCACTCTGCACCTGACTTCCTCCACTATAAATTTATGCTGCACTCCTACAGTCTGGCACTTTCCTCTTCAAAAGAAAACTACTTCAATACACTCATAACCACACTCTCCTGCGAGCCCAAACAACTGTTTCATGCTTTTAACTCTCTTCTGCGCCCTGCTGTGCCTCCTCCTCCTACCAACTTGACCGCCACAAACTTTGCAACTCCCTTCACTGAGAAGATCTCTCCAATTAGGGAAGAGATCTCTCATCTCTCTCCATCCACTACCAACTTTTCCTGTGACCACACTCGCTCAGATGTCCTATGTTCATTTGCACCCACTACAGCAGGAGAGGTTTCTGCGTAGGGCGCTGCTTAAAGAGGCGTGCCGCTGGCCATGTTACCAGGCACTAGGGACACTTACATGTCTGCTGACTAGCGCCTGTGTAACACTGGTCCGGCGCCATCCACCTCAGCCTGCTCATCCAGGGCCCCCAGAAGCACTCCCACTGCCGTAACAGTGCAAGGATGCTTCAATTTCTCACTCGCAGTATGGGTCGCACTATGGGTAAGCTTGTGTCTGCATGTATCAGTGTGTGTCAGTGTATGTGCCTGTATGGTCCAGTATGTGTGTCTGCATGAGACAGTGTGTATCTGCATGGGTCAGTGTGTGTGTGCACATCAGCCTGCATTCATCATTGTGTGTGTGTCAGTCTGAATGGGTCAGTGTGTGTCAGTGAGTGTGTGTCAGCCTGCATGAGTGGGTGGAGCAAACGGGCGGCAAAAATTTTTTGCCTGGGGCGGTAAAATTCCCTGCACCGGCCCTGTGCGGATGACACACAAATTTATCTGTCCTCCGCTGATTTCTCACCACCCCTCTTGACTCGTGTCTCTGAATGCCTTGCTATTTCCAACTGGATGGCTGCTCATTTCCTTAAACTGAACCTGTCCAAAACAGAACTTCTGGTCTTCCCTCCCTCAAGTGTTGCTACTCGCATGTCCCCTTTAAGAGAAAGGATCTACAGCTCTACCTCGAGGTATTCTCTTTGACTCTGACCTCTTCTTCACCCCTCATGTCCAATCAATCACCAAATCCTGCCACTTCCATCTCACAAATATTGCGCACATCCGACCCTATTTAACGCCTGATACGGCAAAGGTGCTTGCCCATGCCACTGTCTTCTCTCGCCTTGACTACTGTAATCCGCTTCTCAGTGGTCCTACGTGTTCCCAACTTGCTCCGTTACAGTCTATAATGAATATGGTGGCGAGGTTCATCTTCCTGTCCGCATGCACCTCCCATGCCTCCCCTCTTTGTCAGTCCCTACATTGGCTTCCCGTAAGATATAGGACTCAATTTAAGATCCTGATACTTGCTTACAGATCTCTACACAATGCTTCTCCAACCTACTTACCCTCACTATTACACAAATATGTCCCGTCTAGGCCACTACGCTCTGCCGTAGACCTTCATCTAACCTCTGTTCGTACTTCTACCTCTGATGCTCACCTTAAAGACTTCTCTGGGGCTGCACCGTTCTTAAGGAATGCCCTTCCCCTCTCTGCTAGACTCTCACCCAATCTCTACTCCTTCAAACAATCTGTGAAAACGTACTTCTTTAGGAAAGCATATCAATTAAACTGTGAACCGCTTTCCCTCCCTGCACCCTGATTTCTCTCCTGAAACTGTAATCAAAACAAAACACTAAGCCCTCAATGGATACTATCCTAGCAACCTACTTTTCTACCCTACCCTTACCTTTTGTGTCACTATACCCCACTCCCTCTAGCATGTAAGCTCATTGATCAGGGCCCTCAACCCCTCTGTTCCAGTGCGTCCAACTCGTCTGGTTACAAATACATGTCTGTTCGTCCACCCATTGTACAGCGCTACGGAACTTGCTGGCGCTTTATAAATAATAATAATAATAACAATAATAATGTAGAGGGAAATACATATAACCTGTGCACCACTGGTCCTTTGTAATTATTAGAATGATAGATTATTTGAGTCCAAGAGATTGGTAACCATTAGGCCCCGGGAAGGGGCAGAAACATTAAATCCACCCTCACTGAACATCTAAAACACTTGTCAAGCCCTAAAAATGCATTCCTTATTTCTATTTTTTTCAGTCCACTTTCTGTGTAAGGTTCAAATGGCAGCAGGGCAGTAATTGTCTTTCCACTCTGATTTAAAATTGGTCCTTGGACTCCTCAATCATTTTTTATATTCTGGTATTTTATAATATATTATAATATGATATATTATTGACCAGCATGCTTTACAGAAATTCACTGTAAAGTATTGCCATGAATCAAAGATGGACGACAGAATGTTATCTAAACATCTGGAATGACTGTTTAATAAATGTAACCGGCATATGTGCATTTTGATGAATGTGGCAAAACCTTTACCTATCCCTCAAGTGTGTAATGAGCCTCTAGCTGACCTGAATTCAAAGGCTCCATTCTCCTGTGTGCTCCACAACTCACAACCTGACGATGAAGTTACAAATAGGCCAAAAATGTCAAATTTGGCCTACAAAATCTGGTCAGAGATTGAACATTTCTCCAAACATCATGTAATTGTCACGTATTCATCCGCACATACAAATGTGGTTAATGGCATTTACTCTCCTGATAGAAAACGTTGTGCCAAGCAACATTACTGTCCTGACAGGAAAAGTTGTGCCGAGCAACAATCAAATCCACAGGTGGGTTTGTGCTGAGCAGCAATCATGCAAATGGAAACTAGGTAATTGCCATTGGGGTCAAAGGCCTGCTACAGCCAATCGGATCCACAGGAGGGGTATTTAGGTCCAATTCGCCTCTTGCTCAGTGCCCTGTCGTGGTTTCATGCCTATGGTTATCCAAGAGTGCGTTACTGATCTTGATTTTCTGGTATTTGACTTTGGCTTTGTTTTGACTTCCCTGATATCTGGTATCCTTGACTTTTGGCTTTCCCTCGTCTTTGTGTCTGATTCTGTGTCCCTGACCTCGGCAAGTATTTTGACCATTCTTGGAGACGTTAAGTCCGGCCATTCTAATGTCCGGTTATACGTTATTCTTAGTCCTAGGTGTGACACAGTAGGCGTGCTGGATCAATTTGTAATCCGGACAGTAATCAAATAACTCTCATTGTGTATCTCAGAGGAATGTTTCAAGTGTTATCAAAAATTTACTGTGGGTCTTTGGGTCATGATGTTTTTTATTGTGATACGTATACCTTAGTCTTGGGCTCTGTTGTATTATTTTTCTTATTTTTTTTTAAATCTTTTTGTTTATTTAGTAGAGTTTTATGAGTTAACTAAGGGAAATTTTACTATATGCCTTTAGATTTAGTGAGTGGAGTTTACGTTGGGTAGATTATACTGTTGCATCATGGACATTGCAACAATATGTATCACATTTCTACTTGACTCAATGGTAATGTATGGACATACCTTTCTCGGAGCAGTCATGGGACATATAATTGTTATAACTAATAATCAGAGTTCTCCTGGCTACAATCCAGCGTAATGAATCAAGAAGTATGTCTGTAATTAAAATTACAATAATGCGGAATATTATAGTGTAGTATCACTGAAATTGAATCTGAAAGTCTGGTCACATGTGGCACTAATGTTGTGATGGCGAGGAATTGAAATGTTGGTGTCTAGACTCTCGAACTTCATTGATATTTAAAAAATAAATCATTTGTCGATAAAAAGTTAAAAAAAAGATGGCAGCCTTGGGGAAAAGCACATGTGAGGCAATCAGGCAGTTGTTTCTTTTGGCAAGATTGCTGGCCTGTAGATGTCCATTGTGGAATAGTATATTCAGTTTAGCTTGCAATGATCCATTCTTTACCATAAATCAGGCCACATGCCAATTAACACAATAGAATTAAAGACTTTTTGTGTACAGTACACTCACAGAGATTTTTGTTACAAAATATCAATGTTGGTTTATATTCTGAAATAAGAAGAGGTTATTTTTGGTGTGACCCTAGGCTTCAAGGGGTCCGACAAGAAAAAATAACTAAGAGGAACTTTTGTTACTTAAGTAAGAGATTTCATGGGTGCCAAATGTTAATGAATAACCTTTCCTAATACTGTTAAAAAAAGCTTTTATATTGAAGTACTTTGAGCGCCCAGTTTATACAACCCCACCCAAGCTTTGCCCAGGGAAGATAAAACAAAGGTGAGGGAAATGTCCTTATTGACATTCTTGGTTACAGTGTATAAAAGAAAAGCGCAAGTATCTTTTTAATAATGACACAATAATAAATGAAAAAGTTCAAGACAAATAAAAAAAGTCAAATTTATTGGTTTTCTTTGATGTTTGACCAACAGATATTGGCATGATAGTGTTCTCCCCACTGCCCCCCCCCCCACCCCCTTTTTTTAACAGGTTTTATTGACAACAAGGATTCTTTTGTGTTGAGCACTACTTTTGGTTTTATTAAATAAACAATATCAAAATGTCAGCTAAAAATACAATCCCTTCCCTTTGTAAAGAATGAAACTTTATTGCATTTATCTACCTAATGTTTATTGCATATAAATATTCGCTGCTATTTAACTTTGTGTCCCTGTAAAAGACGTCATAGAATTTTATTTTGTTTGTAACATAACACGCCAGAACCTCAGGTATAGTCCGATTTCCCAGATAAGCCCCGTACCACCATCTTAAGCCTCTAGGATAATGGGCAATGTATTTCACAAATATCTGCTTTGCTAAGATAGATTAAACAAGATGAGGTTACACAAGATAAGTGTAAGGGAATCCTCCGATACCGTGGTACTTGAGAGAGGACTATGGGCTCAGGGGAGGCAGGTACACGGAGGCCCAGGGCCGCCATCAGAAAATGTGGGGGCCCTAACACAGCTCAAGGTCTGGGCCCCCGGGTGCCCGCCTCCAAGCCCCACCTCCAAATCCCGCCCACAGGAATACACACACACAGACACAAAAGGACACAGACACACACACAGAAAGATACACACATACTAACAGACACAAATACTGAAACAGACATACACACATATAGACACATACACAGATACAGATACACACACACCCACATACTGACATACAGACACACACACATACATACAGACATACATACATACTGACAAACAGACATACATACAAACTGACATACATACACATAAATACATACTTACGTACATACATAATGGCATACATACACATACATACTGATATACATACATATACACACACACACACAGATAGATAGATAGATAGATAGATAGATAGATACATACACAGATACATACAGACATACACACAGACATACATGCACACTGACATATATATACTGATAGACATATACATACACACATACATACTGACATACACACACACACACACACACACAGACATATATATACTGACATACACACACACAGACATACTGACATACATACATACACACATACATACTGACACACACACAGACATATATACATACTGACATACACACACAGACATACATACTGACATACATGCATTTTGACATACACCCACACACAAACATACATACATACTTGCAGACACATACACAGACAGGATGCCATTTGGACTGCTTTCCTCTCTCCCTCGCTCCGTAAGTATAAAATTATTCTGCTGCTTTGGTCATTCTATTTTCCCAAACCCTTTTTCTCTCCCTGTCTCCTAATCCTAAATCCTCATACTATACTTTAACCACTTTCCCTATTTCCATTCCCCTCACCCTGTGCTAGTGACTCTTAGCCTGTTTTTCTTGTCAATCATTATTTTATTGTATTTTTATATGGAACAATACAGAAAGGAAAAGGCAGTTAAGACAATGAGCGGTTTTCAACAATGTCAATTTTAAATCCGTGCACAAGCGAAGAGATACTTAGTGTTTGTTTTTTGTTCGTTTTTTTTTTGTTTTTTTGTCATTCTTGCTTTTATGAAGGAGTAAACAGTGTACATGTTAATACAGATATAACAGATAACAGGTGCTACATGTTTATGTGGGTGTCAGATTTTCTGTAGTTGGTATAGTAGAAGAGTAGGCATTGTGACTTAGCCTGTTTTTAATAGTCTGTGGCCTGTAGGAATATGAGCACTGGCATACAGGTATATACGCCAGTTTGCCAGCCTCTCCTCCTGTGGGGGGCCCAGGAGCTGGCCACCTCAGGGCCCCCCGAGGCTGGCAGTGGTGTTACATGGCGGGTGCGCGAGGGAGCATTGTGTGTGTGTTAGTGTGTGTGTCAGTGAGTGTGTTACTGTGTGTGTCTGTTACTGAGCATGTTAGTTTGTATGTGTCTGTTAGTGTGTGTCTGTTAGTGAGTGTGTGTTTGTCAGTGAGAGTGTATGTTTTGTAAGTGAGTGTGTATGTCTGTCTGTTAGTGAGTGTGTATGTATGTCTGTCACTGAGTGTGTGTCTGTCAGTAAATGTGTGTGTCTGTTAGCTAGTGTGTATGCATCTGTTCATGAGAGTGTGTGGTTAAAACCCCTTCAGCACTTACCTTTCTCTCTGCCCCGATCTGCCTCTCAGCTCCGAATGCGCATGCGCGGCAAGAGCCGCACGCGCATTCAAACCGCCCATAGGAAAGCATTACTCAATGCTTTCCTATGGACGTCCAGGTCTTCTCACTGTGATTTTCACAGTGAGAATCACGGAAGCGCCCCTAGCGGCTGTCAGTGAGACAGCCACTAAGGGCTGGATTAACCCTCAGTGAAACATAGCAGTGAGCTGAAGTGATCTGAGTGCCTATAGTGGTCCTTTAAGTGTATGTATCTGCATGCAGTGGCGTACATACCGCAGTCGCAGGAGTCGCAACCCTGCAACCCCTGCGACCAGGTGCCCCGCCGCCATGTGTTGCGGCCCCGGCCCGCGCAGAGTAAACGCGGGGGGGCACGGATCAATTTTCACACCAGGGCTCCATGGATCGTGCGTACGCCACTGTAGCCTATAGTTGGTTTTCCTTCAAACGCATCAAGTTTTAATGCCAGAATGTGCACGTCTTGTGTCACGGAAATGACGCCGATGTCTGTGGCTCCAAAACCGATGCAGACAAGACTGGTCATAAAAGGATGCAAGGTCTGTATCCAAATCGACAACAAAATGACGCACAAGTCAATTCCTTAGTAAGCTTGCTGTATGGTTAGTCCCCACTAAGGTCTCAGACAAGAGACAAGGGGTCCCTATCTGGATTACCCGTTAGACTTTATTCCTTTATCCATCAGATATAAAAGGAGCATGTGCTGCTCATTAGAGCCAGGCCTTCCATTGGTTCTGTCAGATACCTTTTTAACAGCTTTCCTTTGTAGAGGAAAGGTATAACAATATTAAGACAGTTTCAAAGAATGCATTGTTATGTATAGATCTATACATTTTGATCAGGGCTACTTACTAAAGTGAGAATTCAAGGTTAATTCAAAGTGTATTCAAAGTGAATTTAAAATTTAAGGCCAGAGTAGTTGAACTGAAAGCTGACTTAGAGAATGTAGTAATGTGCTGCATGCTATTTTGGTAACAATATTTTGTGTGGACAATTTTTCACGATCAAAGAACAAATAACCACAATTATATATTTATTATTTATAGTTTTATACAGTATGCTATTTAGAAGACTAAAATATCTTTATGTGGCACCCAGGTTTCTGTTCCTTCCATACAATGCTGGCATTTTTGGAAAACGCGCTATTTGCTAAATATTCGGATAACTTCATGAATTTGTGACTGTAATTCAGCATTATCACGCTGATGTTACTAATGTCCAAGTGCCGCTAAAATATTGTTACTTAACATTCTGGATATCTATAGTTTTCATGTAGGAGGAAGTTCAGGGTTTATGCAGTTGTACGTCAAACAAGATAAGGAACATTCCAAGCTGTAACGAAATAGAATAATGGTCATGCAGTATAAACAATTAAACCTGTTTCATTTTATTCCAATGCCAGGCATGTCAAACATTGAGCCTATGACTTTCCTAAATTCCACTATAACTCTAGGCACATCTCCTCTAGACCAGTGGTTTCCAAACCAGTCCTCAAGGCATGCCTACCAGGCCAGGATTTAGGGATTACCCAGATGTGTCAAGGTGTTTTTTTTTCTTTTTCTGAAAACACATTAGGCACAACCGGGTAATTCATAAATCCTGGACTAGTAGGCGCGCCTTGAGGACTGATTTGGAAACCACTGCTCTAGACAGTTTACGCAGCAAGATCTATGTTGACATCAAGTGTAAAACAAAGCCTAGTGCTTATTACTAAATCTATACAGTACAGTACTAACTAAACTTGCGCCTAACTTCACACAGGGCCTAGTGAGCATCACAAAATGTATTTTGTTTTTTTCTTCAAAGATGCTCCTCTGTTGTCCTGGGGAAGAATCACCAGCCGTTTTGTGGAGAGACTCTATCTTCTAGAAACGTACTCGCGGGAATTGCTGCAAACAGATGCCAAGCTCTCACAGAGTGACGTCATCATACAGTTTTTCACTCCGAAGTCAGAAGATCTCAACCCTACGTTTCCCGAAAGCAGGTGTGGTGTCCAACATTCACATCTGGGAATAATTCATGCTGTGTAACTTTGCCAAAGACCTAGTTTTGAAAATACTGCATTTGTTTCTTATTTGCATCAATATTTTATCATTAATACTTGAATAATGTTAGAGGTCACAAAGCACTTATTGTCCCGTCATAGCCTTGTGTACAAGGAGTTCTCTGCCACTCTCTCTTCAAAAATCCATACATATCCACTGCCCTACATCAGTTAGAAGCTGACAACTTGGCATGTTGTCCTTGTCTGCTTATAACCTTTGCCTTCCAGATCTGTCGCCTGGTGCCGATCGCGAGAAGGCAGAGCCTAACTTGAGGGGGCAGGGCCTAGCACTGCACACCCTGTCGATGCACCTCTATCTACAAATGGCATGGTCATTGTGTACCTACCCAGCATTGACTTTGGTCAGCTTTAGCTTAACTAGTTTCATCTTCAGCCAGTCCACAAATTTTGTTCTTCTGCATCCTTTCACAGCATGGGAAAAGTTGAAAAAAAATAAAAAAAATAAAATATATATATATATATTTTTTTTTTGTTTGTTTTGTTTTTTTATGTTTTAATCAATGGGCCTATTCTGTGGGCATGGACTTGGAGCATCAGTTCCATTAACCCATGTGTCAATCCAGCCCTGCCCTATATATCCACCCACTTGGACACCTTCAACCTGGAGATTTAATAGATTTTCTTGGTATTTTAACTATTTGAGTCATGCTACATACCTAAGTTACATAAAGCGTAACTTAAAAAAATCAACAAAAGGTATGCAACCAAAATTTGTTGGTTGCATACCTTTTCAACACTATTATGATGAAACCAAATGCCTGCATAATAACATAATCTGTTTAAAGGAATGCTGTGGTGTTAAGAATACAAACATTATTCTTAACGCTATAGTGTTCTGTTCCTTATTTAGATACAGGGCTCCCATAAATAAAATTTAAAAAGAGAGGGAAAGGGTTTTACTCGCCTTTTTCCCCCCATAAAATCCACTGCTTCTCTTTGATCAGCATTACAAGACATGCTACATCCTCATGCAACGTGTGAGGAAGTCTAGCGTCAAATTAATGAGTCTGACTTGGTTATTGCACTGGAGGCGCCTCTAGTGGCTGTCTGGGTCTGGAAGACAATCACTGCAGGTTTTCCTAATGTAAATATTGGGGTATCTACAAAACAGCAATGTTTTACAATGTAGGAGTAAATTGACAGGGTCGTGCACCAGGACAACTTCATCTCATCTGGGTTCTGATAGTGGTCCTTAATTGGAGTCCACCCATGTGAAGTGTTCATTCACCACACAAAAGATGGGTTCCTTCTGGTTTCTAGAGCACTCCTTGTGAAAATTATTGTTACACCGTAACATCGGGGTTATTCACAGTTAGATATGGACTTTATTGACTATAATTCATAAACAGTTGGAAATTAATGTTGAATTTAGTATGGCTTATTTCACAGCATGGTGATAATGCCTTCAGAAAATGACAAAGAAAATAAGGAAGTCAAAACTGCTCCCCAGCAAAACCTTCAAACGATCACTCAGCCAATTATATCTCAGAGCTACTTCTGTCTAGAAAGCTTCGAAACTAAAGATACCAAAAACCGACCATTCAAAGTCAAGAAAGACGACACCATCGATGTCCTCATTAAAGACTCGACTGGTGAGTGTTCTGACTTTTTGTCCATCCTTGATGTAACCACTATGAGTGACCACAAGTGGCACCATAACATCGTACAGGAATACAAATGTCAAATGATTATGTTATCCCTGGCCAATCAATGGCCCATGTAAATATTTTACCAGGAGTGTACATGACCGCAGTTACAAAGTCACATTTGCTTGCTACTTTGGTCACATGCAAAAATAATGATAAACAAAACCAGGTGTTCTTTATAAGGTAATATAGAAAACCTAGTCTAAGTATTACATTTTTGCATATTTCCATTAAAATATTCTGTTGTACTGACAGGTAAATATATGATACGGTAACATCTGGATTACGTATTCTCTTGCAGGATGGTGGTTAGTGGAGAATAAAGATAAACAGCTGGCATGGTTCCCCGCTCCATATCTTGTAAAAAGCAGAGATGAAATTAAAATAGACTCAACGAGCACTGGTGGGTAATTCGTATTGTACGTCAAACTAGCCTACTCTTTGATTAAGAGACTGACTTTAATGCTTTTAAATAGCATTGTCCTTTGCGTCATTGCGTCCATTGATCATTCATGGTCAGGAAGTGGCAAAATGGAAGAGGATTAGAGCCATTATTGGGAGTTGTATCATGAGGGTGGAAGGAACGTGAAAGTGTGCATTATGTGTTAGAATGGTCAAGATGTACAAGATAAACAGATTTAGAACAGGGCAGAATAATCGATTATCACATACTGAGTCTTGGCAAAATTATCTGATTAATTTACGTAATTAAACATCTGATGATCGTATGTGTTATTGCCAAGCCCAAATAGATAAATTAAAAAAGAACTGGAGGCCCATCCAGAGATCTTTAAACTACAGGAGTCCACGTGGCATTAAAAAAACCTACCTTCTTTAAAATCGTCTTTCCGCCATATTGTAATGATTCAAATTATTTACTCATTTACATTCATAAAATGCATGGTTTGGTTCATTAACTTAATGCAGTGATTTGCCCAAAGTCCTAAATGATGACACTTTACCTATACATTGTTTTTTACTCACAAGCAGATTCAAAGGTAGAGCAAGCATTTTGTCCAACATATCTTTATAACAGAATGTACCAAACATTCTGTAGGACATCTTTTAAATGTAGGCCAGCTTCATAAGGATGAAGGCAGTCACTCTTTTACTGCAACTCAGTTTATGTTCACTGTTGTGTTTAACTGGTTGAAAATGTTTTATTTGTGGTGCTTTGTACAAAAGCCACTGTGGGCTAAAGAGCGTGCACTGTTTAAATACAAAGTAACTGAATTTTTTTTCTCTCCTTCATTTAGGGACATGTTACTTTGCGGCCAAGGGTTATGAGGCGCAAAGTGGAGATGAGCTCTCACTGTCAGTTGGAATTGTTGTAGATGTAAAAGAAAAATCAGACATTGGTTGGTGGTATGTCTGGTGAGGACTAGTTCAATATTTCTAAAAACGTGGCACAGTACCCATGGCTGTAAACCAGGGCCGACATAACATGTCTATATTTAGTAGCACAGGTCAAATGTGGGGATTCTCCCCCACCCCCTCCAGTCCAAATCTGAGAACTTCATGTTAAGTTGTCTAAGCCAAGCTTAAATTAAGATATCATTCAACTGACAGTCAGGAGCCGGAAAGACATTTACAAATAATATCTCTCTATTTATACAGGCAGGCAGTATGGGCTTTCATTTGATTCCAAAACAACAAATATAATTATACATTATAGGATTATTAAGGTTTTTTTTGCTTTCATACTGAATATTCAAAATAATGTTAATTTACCTTTTTGCCCCATGGCCCCATGGCCCGATGGAATAGAGGCATTATTTTGAATGGAGCTTTCCCACTATCAGACCAACTCCGTACTGATAATTGTAACCCCACCTGTAGCAACAATAGCCAATCAGTCTGGATAGACCACTCACGCACACTCAATCTCCAATTCCCATAGACCCAAATGAGCTGTGCCTTAACTAGCGACGGCAACAACGTCTCACCTACCCCACTAAAAACTAGGTTCTTAATCGCTAGCCACCATGCAAAGCAAACCTTATCGACAACCCTCTAGACACAGGAAGCTACCACTTTCCATCCACGGGGAGTTAATCCAAGGAGTATCTAAGTGGAATAGCCAGCCATAAGTACCGAGGCCAATCCCACTAGGCCCATTGCCCACTTCGCCTTACCAATACTAGGTTCCAGATGCGTTGTTAGCGAGCACAGTGTGTTACACACTCATAATATTAATATACCACTCCTCGTTACTACCTACCAGACTAGTTAAAAAAAAAAAAAAATGTGCAAATTGTATTTTGTCTATGCCTTATACATACCATGTTATCCTGTTGAATAATATGTCATTGCTGTTGTGACAATACAAACGCATATGCTCTATATTTTGTACAGAAAAATTTAAAGATTTAAACTAATATTTTTTTTTGCATGAAAAATTTAAAGATTAAAAAAACAATAATAATAATTGACAAATGTTTAACTAATCATATAATTATTACAGTAACATGCAAAATATGAAAAAAAATTGTCTACAGTGAGCTGAGGTAAAATGATTCCTGGTACGCTCATCATTTTCACTGAGAGCTTTTTGGATATCATAAATCCCTTTGTAATCCACATGTCCGTTTTATACAGGAAGTAATACAGTGCCGCCTGGTAGGCCCAACCACAATTAGCTTAATTCATTAAAAAGTTCTATTAAGCTATTTGTGTAAGCATGCACATTATTTCATGTTTCGCTCATAAATAATCACACAGTGTATATATATATATGGAATCTATATAAACATTTTCCTACCACACAGCCCAAACAGACTCTCAGTATAGTGCAGGACTATGTAAATATGTTAGTATTAATGTACTGTAATGTGTATATATTACTAAAATCCCTTTCATATATGTGTAATTTTTTTTTTTTTTTTAAATGCATCAAGATACAGGATATTCATGGCATTTTGATTCAATGTTAATTCACAGTTATTGTGCCATTCGTATAAGACCTTTTAACCACGTGAATATTTCCCATTTCTTACAGCTATAACGGGAGGTGTGGATATGTCCCGTCCATGTTCCTTAAACCGTATGTAAATCCTCACCAGAAGCTCCAGGCTAATAACGTTAAAAATGGGTTTGGTTCGACTCCAAACATCTTTGAGGCAGCGAGAAGTACCGATGTTAGCAGGGAGTTGGTATCAGAAGAACCATGTGTTTTTAATAAAGACATGAACGGAAAAATAATCCTGGACAAGAGAAAGTCTCGATCCTTGAGTGGGCTCCCAAACTTCGCACAATGTTCTCCAGGCATCTCTATTCGGTCAAGTAGACAATCGGCTCAATCTGCTGTGGCCTGGAATCACCAGAATTTGGAAAACAGAATGGAGACAAGAAAGGACTCTGGCTTTGATGAACCTCTTTCACCTTGTTCTCCCAATTTATCTCCTCCTACACTTTATAATGACAAAATGATGACACCGAGGGTGCCACCAAGGCCCACGAGTCAAGAAATACATAACAGATGTACCACTGTGACTAGGAAAGCAGCCCCAAATTCAAAGATCTGAGGAAAACTAGATGGATAATTAATCACTAAACAACAATTTTTCATGAATGTACAGTGTATATAAGTGCATCTCAAGGTATCTTACAGCTCCGTGTCAATAAAACTCACAAGGATGTGACGTGTAGCACGATAAGACTCACAATATGAGAGTGTCGCAGGAATCCAATGTAATAATGTGTCTTGAATCAATAAATACATTTTTTTTTGGTTCTCAATTTATCTATTTACCCAATGGTGAATGTTTTTTGAACTTGCATCATTTATTTAGTTGCAAATTTTCATCTCAGAGCACTGTCCAGACCAGTGGTGGCCCATTTACGATATGTTCACCATTGCTGAATTAGCATTAGTCTGTGAAAATGTACTCTTGTTACACTAGTAAAATCTCTCACATTTCTGGTTGAGGAACAGAAGTCTTGCTTACGGAATTCTTATGTCAACAGTGTCTCCACCTGTTACCGCGTTCTCAACCAGCCTCTATGATGGCACAACTTTGACATTGCATCTTCACAGGTGACCATTGAATCTAATCCATTGTTACCGAAGGCCAACCGTTAGTTATACACCCAACACACCATTAACACAGAATGTATTCGTTGTTTTATTGAATGTGTTCACCAGACGTCTACAGTCTATTCTCTGTTCTGTGTATTTACTTATATTTCTAATTTGTTCTCACAGTGACCTTTTAATGGGTGTACTTTGGTTTTTACATTCTTGTGATTATATGTTGATTCAAATAATTCTATAAAATTTTACGTTAAAATAAATAAATAATTTTTTTTTAAAGATGAATCCATGTATATATATATTTTTATATATATATATATATATATATATCACTCCCTTTAGAATGTAAGCTCATTGAGCAGGGCCCTTCACCTCTCTGTTCCTGTACGTCCAGTTGTCTGGTTACAATTACATGTCTGTTAGTCCACCCATTGTACAGCGCTACGGAATCTGATGGCACTATATAAATAATAAAATAATAATAATAATAAATAAATATATATAGAAGGCTTGGCCTGTAATTGTGGGAGGTACATGGAACCCTACTTAAACAAAGTGAGCCCCTGCTTACCTGTCGTCGACGATCTCGGAAGTGATTCGCTTTACTTCTGGTTCATGTGATCCCGATGTCATTTCCCGCCCGCCGGCAGTTGCTTTGTGTTAGGCCTGATGATCTTCATGTGTGTTCCAGTCAGCTCTGCCTGGCTGCCAGCAAGACCCTCAGCCATCAGGTCCGATACCTGGTGGGGTCAAGTGTCCCCTCTACTGGAAGCATACCCGTGGCTCCACGTTTCCGGTTTCCGGCTTCTAATCGTAAGTCACACTGCGGTACCGTTACCCCAGCTCGTTTTACATCCAGGGTCAGGTACACACGTGATACCTTCCTGGTTCCCCGTGCCCGGCTATGTATCTCTCTGCAGCAATCACCACGTGGAAGCCGGTGAGGGGGAGTCACTCATGCCATGCTTGTCATTATGCTCAGGTGAACAAGTCACTCGTTGTGGGAGGAGGGTGTTTGTAATAATTAATCGACAATAGGTAATCAAAGGTTAATCAATAAGTTCAGTAAGAGAGAGGGAAGTTTGGGCACTTGTTAATACATAATGTACATATCACATCGGTTGCTTTAGCACTAAATTATTGATGTCAGCATTTAATGGTAAACCGCTGCATCCAGGATCACCCTGTACATTTGTTACAGGAGATAGAGCCAGGCACAGTTCCTTACCTATACATATGCTGCCCGAACACACTTGCAACTCTTCAGAGCCAATTTCACTTTCAGCTGTCGTCACAGGCTTTCTTCATTAACCTCTACACTGACAGCTCAGTTACAGTTGTGGTTCTCGCCATCTGGTGGCGGTGGGTTGCATGACTAAACGGTGCATCAAACACACCATATGTACCATTCACTAGGTGAACCCTCTGACTCTCTGGGGTCCCCGGCAACGAGTTACAACCATATTCACCCCCCACGTACACACAAGGCTCAGGGCGTGTAAAGGGATCCCCTTTGAAATTTGCCATGTACCGGCTCCGTTTAGCCAATCAAGCGGTTAATAGATTAACTCCTCTACAAACGTGCGGTCCATTTCGTGGACATCTCCCTATTTTGTGCTATTCCCCCCATTTAAGCTTGTTTCAGCTTTTCGTTTGCCAGATAGTCATTGTCTGGCTGATATCGCCACATTGTGGCTTTTAAAATGTTAATTGGTTATTTGCATTTAATGTTTTGCAAACTTTTGTTTATTCCACATTTATTCACATTACAGTAAAAGTTAAACTCCGGTCGTAACAGAGCTGGTAAAGCTTTTCATTCAATTTAAACAGCTTTCAATGGCAAAGCATTTATTTTGTCACTCTAAAAACATCCTTGTTATTCTATTCTCTAAAATATACAAAATCAGTATATCCTGATGGCAGTTAAGGTATAATTTTATTAAGGTATTTCTTCTTATGCATAGCTAATGTGTTTTATATAATTATGCTAAACCGGGCAAAATTATGCTTAGATTCTGTCTTGTGCATTGCTAACTGGCGTTTCGGTTAAACTTTCGTATGTATTATCCATTCGCATGCAACACTTATGTTTTTCCATTAGTATACACAGAGTATACACAGAGTATACACACAGTCACACTTTCGCACAAACTTTTGTTTATTTGTATAAACTGCCTCATAAAGTATAAAGTTCATTCCGTTTATACAGCATTATGAAACTTTTTTTTTTTTAAACGGCATTGCATGTTGCATTTCGTTTAATTACCTTGTTTTTCTTTAAGTCATCCGTTTCATGGTATTTATGTCTTAATTAAAAAAACGAACAATATCCTAATCAGGATGTCCTATGGCAATTAAGGTCATACTTTCACTGTGTTTTTTCCTTAAACCATAGCTAAAGCATTTTATTGGTATATGAGTGTGTTAATAGGTTTATATTATGCTCTACTTCTGTCTCCGGCATCTCATGTTCCTAATTACACTAGGCTGTATATAAATAAGATGACAATTAAGTAAGTTTTTCCCTCCTGTTAAAGATCGTACAATTACTGTTACTGATTGCTAAGGGGCCTTATGGGTTAAATACACCACAAATATATATATATATATATATACACACACCCTCTAGTGGAGGGACATGACTATCAATAAACAAACGTTACCCAACTGATCGCATAACATTTCAACGATTCGTCTCTGCCGTCAGTAGTCATGGTACGGGTAGTAATTATTGTACAGTTAGATAATCATGGTGTTATAATTGAAATATCAACTGGTAATGGTTATGGTGTTACAATTATAATGTCGTACAGTAGTTTTGGTGACGTCAATGTAATGTCGGTAGTTATGGTGTCAGTCAGTAGGTAGGGGGTTGTGCGAAATTATACACTTTACACACTTTTTACTAGACCGCTAAACACCAAAAACTCAAACCTGTTAGCCAGATACGGATCGTTCTTTCCACTACAGTATACGTTATACAGGACAATCAGCAGGTACGTTAACGAAATTAAACCAGTTTGGGTTAGGACAAGGTTTAAGCTCTCGCTAATTTAGGTATGGTCCCGTAGGCCTCCTCGCCTATAAGTCAAGTGCTCCCGCAAGGCATACAATCAGCCTTCCGTTCAGAGGTTCGAGCCCAATCGGCCCAACGCATAGTTATAGCCTTGCATCAAGTCATAGTTAGGGCCTCACCCGTCACGGCCAATCAATTTTACAATCTTTTACATGGCACTCAGAGGCCAACACCCCGCCACCCACCTCAGTGGCACAAAGGGCCCACGAGCCAAATCGTAGGTAGAGCCTCTCAAAGCCACTTGGCAAGTAGTCAGGGCGTCACCTGTCGCCAACATAAGCTAGTTAATACAATTTCGCCTGTAGGCACTACTCTAGTAAGCTGGGTCACTACAGATCTATACGGTACCTTACTAAGCAAGTCATCTGCCGCACTTCCTTAGCATGTCTAACGCTTCTGTACAAAGAGACGTTCTGTCAGTTACCAGCACCCATCTCAGTTCAGGCTCGCAGAGAGTACTATACAAACACCGACTGGGGTTCAGTTACAAACGGAATGGTTTCTAAGGCATTTTTCGGGTCTCAAAACACCTTCCTGCGCCATAAGCTCAGCAACAGCCATATAATCAAATTACGTCCTGGAAACGTAGCTATTCCCTCTACCAGTAAGCCAACGCTGATTATCAGTCCAACACATCCCAGAGGGATTTTGTTAAGACAAAGTAGGCAGCCAATTTGTTTTCTAGGGAAAGCACAAGTCTGCAATAATTTCAATGCCGGTGGTTGTAGTTAGAGTACTGGTAGGCTTCTTCACGTGGGCTCACTTTGTTTCAGTGCACACGCTAAAAAACAATGTGCTCCTACAGGCGGTACCCTAAAATCTTCCACCCCAATAAACCTTCCTAATCTACAACGCTACCTGTCTACTCATCCTTCTTTACATCTGGTAGAATTTCTCACGTCTACTAACGGGTTTTACACAGGGTTTGTGTCACTCCACATAGGTATTTGGAACACCCATCCTACAGTCAGCACTCACAGTTCCCATCAGAATACAAAACTCTTACTTAAAGGGACACTGTAGTCACTATAACCACTTTGTCTCTTTGAACTGGTTATAGTGCCTGGAGTGCCCTGGCACTGTCCCTCCATTCAGTGTTGCACCATGTTTGTGCAGTATGCCAGAAAATAAGAGTCCCTGGCCACCCACAGTCCGGCCCCTTCAGTATGTGTAGCTAAAGCAGAGATTACACACTTCCTTGTTGTCATACCCATCCATACCGTCAGTTGGAGCTCTGACAGGTTAAAAGCAGTCAGCTGACACTCTCAGCCAATCACAGCTGCCCATTGCCTCTCAGGGTAATACTTCCTTATTGGCCAAAGCAGCACAGAGGGGATGGACTGCCGTGGTCTCTTGTTTAGCATTAAAATATTACAACATTAAAAACTGTTTAATGCTGAAAGAAATGATGGCACCAGGGGACTCCATACACTATAACCAGTTTAATGAGATGAAGCAGATACAGTGCCTACGGTGTCCCTTTAATGAAATCACCAACGGTTTCTTGATAGGGCCTTTCACAACACTACCTTTACACCTCCTGGAGCACAAACCCCTAGGAATCACCTCAGGAATTTTACATTTTAAAGAGACTTCTCATTGATTTTTCTGCACCTCACTCACCCACTTCTCCTAGCTTAAAGGACCACTCTAGGCACCCAGACCACTTCAGCTTAATGAAGTGGTCTGGGTGCCAGGTCCAGCTAGGGTTAACCCATTTTTTCATAAACATAGCAGTTTCAGAGAAACTGCTATGTTTGTGAATGGGTTAAGCCTTCCCCCTAATCCTCTAGTGGCTGTCTCATTGACAGCCACTAGAGGCGCTTGCGTACTTCTCACTGTGATTTTCACAGTGAGAGCACGCCAGCGTCCATAGGAAAGCATTATGAATGCTTTCCTATGTGACCGGCTGAATGCGTGCACAGCTCTTGCCGCGCGTGCGCATACAGCCGACGGGAGGAGAAGAGGAGGATCGGAGGAGGAGAGCTCTCCGCCCAGCGGTGGAAAAAGGTAAGTTTTACCCCTTTCCAGAGCCGGGCGGGAGGGGGTCCCTGAGGGTGGGGGCACCCTCAGGGCACTATAGTGCCAGGAAAACGAGTATGTTTTCCTGGCACTATAGTGGTCCTTTAAATACACTTTGTCTGTGGGTTTACACTCAGTTCTATTTCTATGCAGGCCAACCTGCCACAAGGGTAAGTAGATAGAATTATTTCTTACATCAACATCTGCACGTCACAAGACACTTGCACCAGGAATCAGCTACAGTCACTACCCGGTTCACTCAATTTTGCGGGGAGAATAATTCCACAAGGTAAGTCTTTAAATTCCAGAATCCTCTCTCTCTGGCATGGTCTCCCTGTCGACGACTCCACAGCTCCCTTAGACAAACCAGCTAGAGCCGATATTAAGAAGGTGGCGTCTGTTCCTGTCCTCTTGGAATGGCAGGTCTCTACTTCCCCGTTTCTGACGATTCCCCTGTGGTCCGGACTGACGCATCAGGTGCCGTAGATTAGGCAGCAAATTTTGGTTACAAATGGGTACACGTCTCTTGGCTTGAGTCTACCTCGCTAGTAAATTTCAATACCACCTCAGCAATATTTGAATCTAGGAGTTTTATCTGGCTAGCGGCAAATCTTCAATTCTGCATAACTTATGTTCACTAATCCGGGTATTCAGGATAATGCAGCTGACGCTCTCCCACACTCTAATCAGGCCTAATTATGAGTTAAATACTCTGTTGCTCCATAGTAGGTCGCTCGCACAGGCTGGTTATACCTTAATTTAAGAAAGCCTATTCCAAGAGCGTATCAGTTGTTTAAAGATTTGTTTGTGTTTATTGTGTGATAAATGTTTCTATTTGTAACTATGGTCGCATTTACAACTTTTGCCACTTTTCTCCTAAATTAGTTTACAATACTATCAAACCTTACTTCACAGGCATACACATTTGTCTATTACTCATACCAAAATGAGCCATACTGGTCCTCCAGTAGAAATGAAATATTACCCTACCTCTACCAAATCAGGTCCTATCCACGTTTTGGATAATCTATTGGAATCTCAACTCACTTCCATCCCCGATTCCCCACTAGTAGCGGAAACCCCTAACCAATAAACGTTTTATGCTTTACATTCGTACGATATCACTCTGACTAGGACATAACCCTCATTCCTTCTCGGGCCATTTATTCCGCTTTGGACCAGCCACAGCTGCCTCCGGTAATAGCGTACCAACTCACATCATTAAAATATGGGTCGGGGGAAATCATCCGCATACAACAAATACATCCCAATCCCGAGAAATAAATAAGATTGGCTTTCTGTGAAATGTCTAAATAATGACCTGCTGAATAAATGTATCTGACTTGTAAGATTCGCTTCCTATAGTTTGACATTTTTTACAGGTCTAACCTCACGTCAGTTTCGGCACACCTCAACTGACTTTGCTATTACTAATATTGCTTCTTTATTATTGTTCCTTACGTCCTCGAAATGTGCCGTACACAAATATATATATATATATATACACTGTACAGTGTGGCATATGCTGAGTATCAATTCATTAGCAACATAGTTGTGGAAGACTAATAAACTTGAAATAAAGTGCCCTGAGTGAAAGATGTTTTATGTTAAATTTGTGAATACAGGGGAAGGGGGATCCGATGAGTTCTATGTGATTGGATAACAGAACATCTAGGATAAACGACTGCTCTGAATGGACAGTAACATTGATTTCTAAGAAAGACAGTCAGTACAGTTACTCCTTGCCTTTACACTTACTTAATAACCTTGGGCATATTATCAAGGCCTATCCCTGTCTGCCCAGTACCGTGGTAATGTGTGGGGCCTCAGTGGTTAACCTCTCAAGTAACCATAACTTGACACACCGAAATCTCTTTTATGTTTAACTCACCCAACCCTGTCATTTCTCTGTGACTGAATGTTTGCAATGATTGTCTGCGTGCAATCAAGGGGGCGTGTAAGTAGCCACGATCCCCCTTGCTCAGCATACCATCCCCATAATGACTTGGGGCTGACCACGTGATCGCAATATGATCATTTTTCCAAACTTTGTTACTAAAATCCTCACATTAAAAACACTTGTTTTTATTAATTAAATATATTTTAGACACTAATTATGTTGCTATGTTACTTTGCTTTTATGTGATTTAGTTTGCTTTTATGTGATTTGTACTGTACCTATGTCTTATGCAAATGACGTCATTTTGGCGCCAAAATTTGAATCAACAATTGATTACAAAGCTTATAAAACTCTTCATGATCCATGTAATATACTCATCCAAGAATCCTTAGGTGGGGATTAAACCACCAATACTATCATAGTGAGCAGTATTTCCTGCTCACTCGAATGTGAGTATAATACCGTTTTATTATCATCATTTTATCTATTATATACAGAGAGCACTATTTTCTGCTGTTTCTCTCCTTACATCGAGACCTTCTTCACCTCAAGCTACATATCATCTACCACCACCTACATCCTACCAGTGGGGGATTGACGCCACTGAACGCTATCCACACCTGAGCTTGGAGTAGCTCTAAAATAGGTGAGTGGAAATACCACCCTGCTGTGAAGTTTCCCTTTCCATTCCACTGTTTGATGCAGTATACACTATTGGAGTCTCTCTTTTTTATTCACATATTTCAATCTGAACTATGAGAACCTGACCACAATACAAACAGACATATATCTAATTCAAGCTCCTGCAAGTCAACCTGGTTTCTTACCTGCTCATTTAATATAAGGACTATTGTATATTTTGCTCTGCCTGATATATGTAAGTACATTTCTGCATTTCATATTACTTTACAGTTTACTTGTGGCGCGACCTATTTTCGTTTGTATTTGTGTATACCTGAACTAACTCCTCTTCTTTTCTGTATGGCCTGAATCAAATGCCTCAATAAAAAAAAAAAAAAGCAGATTGACAAAGAAAGAAAGTCAGGGATATTTACTAAAGTGAATTTCAAATTCAAGGTAAAAATAGCCCAACTGGAGACCGTCGCGAAGTCAACTATTCTTCAGTTTCAGCTACTAAAAGATAACATTTACTTGGAATTCTCACTTTCATTAATAACCCTTTGTACTCCAGAAGATGGAAGTTTGGGAGTTATGTTGTTACCTATTCAGGAGACACAGTAACAAAACCTGCCCAAATTCTAGATGTAAAATTCGTGAATGAAGGTGTAGGGTGCATGTAATGAAGGGAGAGTCCTTGATTTACAAGAACTGGTATGCTGATTCATAAAGAACTTGCCAGGACACACAGCAATTGATGGCACTAAGCAATTCCTTATCTAATTATTGAGGGAGGGAGATGTAAACCTTCCAGTAATTTTAATGAAAGGTTACCTCTTTCCCTTTTTTTTCCCTGGTGTGGCAAACATAAAAATTAAATCAACAAAATATTATTGATATATCTGAATATGAAGTTAAAGTTTTTACATAGACAAAACGTAAGAGCTGGACAACTAAATGTTGTATTATGGATGTAAAAGCCATCTCTTCTGATTGCTGAACAATGTGTGTTGCCAAAGCAACGGGAAAAAATTCTTCAAAGTGTCTGAGTTGTTAACATGAGCTTAAAATTGTCGAGGAAAGAATTCATCAACACACCTGTTTAATATGTGAGATCTGGGGTATGGAACGTTTTTTTTTTTTTGGGAGATTTGGAGACCAAGAACATTGGGACATTATTATTATTATTATTTTATTATTTATATAGCACCATCAGATTCCATAGCGCTGTACAATGGGACATACAGTTAAACGACATAGGAGTATCCTATTTTAATTCTTATTTATGAAAGTGCCAATTTCTAGGAAATATCCAAAATTTTATAATTAAATTATGAAACACCATGAAAGATTAATATTTATTTATTTATAAAATATTTCACCAGGAAGGATACATTGAGATTTCTTTCGCTTTCAAGTATATCCCAAGATATGTCTATCTATCTTTCTGTCTGTCTATCTGTAGGTAATTTCAAGTAGCCTTGTAAAACTTAAAACTGTATTTTTGTTTTTGTGTGTGCGCTGTTCCTTAAATTGTATTTTTGTCTGTCTGTCTCTGTCTGTGTCTGGTTTTCTTCCTGCCTCTGTCTGTCTTTCTTCTTTATCTGCTTCTTTGCTCTGTCTTTCCTGTCTCTCTTTGTCTGTGTATATCTCTATGTGTCTCTGTGTTAGATCTTCTGTCTATCATCTGTCTGTGATCATCTTTTTGTGATCAGAGTAACCTGCTGTTGTTTATAGCTTATGTAACTCTGTATACGGAGGTTGCAATCCCCACACTACTTTGTTTGTGATTGCTATTTTAGTAACCGTCCAAAAATATATTCTGGTTGCGACATAAAATGCCTTCACGAATGAAGGAAAGTCCAGATTTAGAGGGAAGTTGATTTGCACGTATAAAAACAATAAATGATCTAACTGCTAAAGACTGTTTCGAATAGTTGACTAATTGAAAAAAAAAATATTTCCTATTGGTCAATACCTTAATTTATCAGAAGTTTTGCATACAATGGAGAGGATCTCAGCAAAAAGAAAAATCTAGGTTTACTCACTAATATGTGAAATGTTGGGAAATCAAAGGAATTAATTTGCTACATTCGTTGTAGCGTATTGAAATCCTGAAGGCACAATTTAGTCTAAAACAGTCAATTTGAAACCATAGTCCCATTTTACATTTTTGCTGAATTTGTTGGCGCTTTATAAATAATAATAAAAATAATTATTGCTGGTAAAATGTTCTATTCCACTACAGACTCTAAGTGAATTAACCCCTTAGTGAATAATCCTGAATTAAATCACAGTCCCTAAATCCTGTTATTAGAAAAGGCTTTCGGTAATTTTTAGCGATCAAACAATATGTCTTTAGGGTATAAAGAATAGTCAATACATTGTTAAACACAGATCCACACACACCAGTCAAGCCATGAGACTTGCTTTTCAAACAGAAATCTTGAATTTGCAGTGATATTACTACTGCAAAGGATTCTGGGTGAGCATATGCAAACCCATATATTGGCAGCTGTGTTAGGCCACTTTGTTGGGCACCCTATAATCCTGGCACGCATGCAGACCACCAAGATAACGTGGCCCCCTTATAGCGGGCACTTTACTATTGGTGCAAACTGCGGTTGTGCAAGTCCTGTTCCCACCTGTCCTGGTCTCAGAGATGCCAAACGTGACAGAGACATTCAATGGGATGCCTGCATGCACACATATGTTTACGACACTTATCGGGAAAGAGGAAGGAAACTTTACATATGTTATAGAATCTCTGAAGAATGTGTCAACATTATCCAAAGAGTTTAGCAATCTGTGAGGGTACTTGTTATCTGCTGACCTGAAAGTGCACTCCTCTTATCTGATCAATATAACCCGTCCCTCCCAATTTGTTTTATACATGGGATTGAAGTAGTTACACATTCTGAAAACATATTTAATTATATATATTAACACAAAGCCTTCAAACCCATTAGACTTGGCACACACTAACAAGGATTAAGATCAAACACGATTCCTCCTACTAATCCTGCAGCAGTTGGAATAAAAGTTGCATTGAAAAAGGAACTGTTGCTCACTAACTTGTGAGGAAGATAAATGTATAACCTGTTGGAAGATTGTGCCCCTATTTGAAACAAACTTTCAAAAAAAAATTAAATGCATAACTATTATTATTGTTGTGTTTATTTATATCATGGGTAGTCAACCTTTTAATATCTACCACCCACTTTTGTATCATTGTTGATGGTAAAATTTCCTTACCGCCCACCAGTGCCGCAGTAACTAATTTTACGGCACAAGTCTCTATATGTACTGAAAATAATCTATTTTCTTCCTTTTTTTCCTATTTTCTATTCTACTTTTTTTCTATGTGTATCTGTGAGGTGCTGTGTGTGTGTGTTGGTGTGTGAAGAATGTAGTGTGTGTGAGAGGTGCAGTGTGTGTCTGAGGGGGACAGTGCATGTGTGAAGGGTGCAGTGCAAGGTTTACCACCTCTGATTTATATAGTTCCAACATATTAAGCAGTGTTATACAATAGGCATCCTGGTCCCTTTGTGTGTCTTTTATTTCCCAGATCCCCTTTGTATGTCATTCTCCCTCCAGCCCCTCTGTGTGTCTCTTTCTACCATCAGCTCATTTGAAATAATAAAATGATTTGGGGGTTTACTCACTAAACATTGAATTTAACGATTTGAAAAACAAATTGCAAATTGTAGGTGAAAATACCCAATTTGGAACAATTATCTAACTCAGATATAGTCACAGCTGATTCACTACATTAGCCTGAATTTTCCGGGGATATTCAATATACTTTGAGTTTTAGTGAATTAAATCTGAATAGCTAAATTCAGACTTAAATAGATGATTTCGTAAAATTCTCCAAACTCATATACAGTTGCAGACAGAGTTTGGCTATTTTAGCCTCAGTGTTACCATTCAATTTTAATTCTCTAAAATGTATTTCAGCTTTTAATATCCTACAATTTGCTGTTTAGTGACTAAAATATTTTACGGTTCATTTACTTTGACGGGAATTGCAGAGAATTGAAAACCAAATCGCGAAACGTATTTATTAAACCTTAGATAAATTTATCAAAGTTTTTTTTTTTTTGCCAATTGTCATTCTTTATTGAATAACCCCCTTTCCCCCTCCCACCTCCCCTGGTCGATGTAGTATATCCTATTAATAAAATAACAGGAAATCAACAATTAAAACATGTTTGACTATAAGGGGAAAACCCTGGCTGCTACACTATCAATCAAGCATAGAATTTCCTCCTGCTGTCATTGAGGTCGGGCTTGTACATCACCGTATGTGTCACTGTATTATAATTGGTGAGGCATTTCCAAATTCTGCATGAGGTTCTTAATAAAAAGCAGATCTCGCCTTCCCTGCTCACAAACAAACACGAGAGATTGGAAAGATGCCTCAGAGAGACAGGAGTGGGAGCGACCGTCATCCTTTGGAAACCACAGCCATTGGATACTTACAGAATGGGAAACACAAGGTATTGCCCGAAAGACACCGACCTCTTCAGGATATAAAATATTATTCTCCGCTTATGATGGTTGTATCTTTGTGATAGCATGTTTCTTATATTTTCTAGGTTAATGGAAAGGCATTAGCTTGGTGTCTTTGCTTATTCACCATGTGTACTGCGCTGTGGCATATGTTGGCGTTTTGTGAATCATAACAAATTGGCATTTTTGTGCTTTATCAGAGTTATTTACTAAGTGAATTACAAATTTAAGGACATATTTAAGTAGCTGAACTGAGATCATAGCTAACTGAGATAACTCTTCCACTTTGGCTATTTTTAACCTTACATTTTAACTTACATTTGAAATTGACTTTGAACTGACCTTGACCTATTCGAATGTAGGGGTTTATACATGAAATATTGTGTGTTGGAAGGACCTGGCGAAGAAACAAATACTAATATATATATTTGTGTTTGTTTTTATATATAAAAGCATTTTAGAGAATTTGTTTTAAAAAAACTTTGAACTAAATTTCAGGATTATTTACAAAAGTTTGAATTGTGTGAAGTGTGTGTGGGGATTTCTTTCTGTGAAAAGTGTTTTTTTTGTTTTTTTTAAATTTGGGGCAGGATAGCCCAGTTATGAAATATAGTCGCTTGGAGACATTTGCAGTTTTTTCTATTTTGGTCCAAAATTTGAAAGTCCTATGGATGCCCAACCACTGTTTTATACAAACCGTTCTTGAGTGGTTAAACAAATACAGGTTTCTCCTGGTACCTTCAGCCCATCGCCGCCACTGCGCAGGTAATGCATATATTACATTTGCATTAGCCCATGCTAATGATAGGTTGATAGCGCCGGGGGTGGGTTAGCAAATTAATTTTTTGTTAAACACAAAAATTGTATTTCTGTTTTTTTACTAAATCACTAATTTTAAGCCAAAGTAGTTGAGTCTGGAAAAAAACCTGTTGCAATGGATAATTTTCTAGCTTTGGCAATAGTTACCTAAAATGTCAATTTAAGTGAATAAAACGTATTTCTACTGAAAGGAAGGCAGTGCCGCTTGTATTAGCCTTGTATATATTTTGTCATTATATTTACCAGAATGGGTAATCAACACAGTACTATTATCTTACTGAAAAAGGCAACAACTCCTATCATGTTTAGCCAGTCAAATTAAGGGAACGACTACTTCCAACTACTGTTCTATTCTAAACAATTGGGAAAATGCAAAGGGTACATAAAGTTGTCATAAATGCAAAATATATAGAAAACAGTCTTGTTAAAAAGTTAAAGGGACACTAGTGTTTAAACACAAAAAATAAAAATCACTGTTTAGTAAATGTACCCCAGTGAAAATCTACATGTATTTAATTATGCATTATTTTCATTGGGGCTATAAATCTAAAAACATCTAGCAAAAGACTGCAGTTCTCTTGTCTGCAGCTTTGCAAGCCCTCCCCTTCATCACCTGCCCAGACTTTCTGTGGCTGTCCAATCACAGGCTTCCCAATGCAGCTCAATGAGGATTTTTTGCAAGGCAGGTGCTCTGAGCAATTTCTGCCTCTTGAGTTTAGCTCCACTGAGCTAACCAAACCAGAAAGTAACATGAGCAGTTTATGATTGACAGCCAGGGGGTGTAAACAGGTTCATTTGTAAAAGTGACAATTTCTATTTACATTGATCAAATGAAAAAGAAAAGAGAGCAATCTTTTCACAAATGAAGCACCACAGCAAGCTGAATTGTTTTAGGGGTCTGGAATGTGGCCAGATTAGAGAACTTTTTATTTAGTGTATAGTTTTCATTTCCAATTGCCATCTCATCCCAAAGTGCACAGTTATCAATAGCACTATGTTTCAAGTCTGCATAAAAACCAAGGTAAATGACGTTTCAGGAAAAATGTATGTTGCGCCTTAGTATAAAATTGTGTCAAATTCACAAACCTTAACCTTTTCTGCTGAGACGCCCAGCTATGAATCCACTACTTTCCTGTCATCCATGCCTTTCCACTCATTGAATCTGAATCAGAATTCTTAATCTTGTATCTGAGGGTATAAATTGTCAGTAATTTTGTGTTTTGTTTTGTTTTGTTCCTGTAATTAATGTTTTATTGAGATTTAAATGCAGTACAAGCAATGTTGAGTCATGTTGTGCTTTTTTTCTTGCAGTATAACATGTTCTCGGTACTCTGGTCTGACCGTAATGAAATCCTTATCTATCGCACATTTGAAGATTTCAAGAAACTCAGTGTAAGTTTGGCAAAACCGATGCTCTCCCAAATCTGGGCTACCGAAAAGATATTAAACAAATATAAAACTTTGTAAAGGGTTTCACATTAGACCATTATTGTAGAATTGTAAAAAAAAAAAAAAAAACGGGCAGGAAAATACTGGAAGGCAAAATAGTTAACGTTAATGAATTTCTCCAATTTTACTACTTTCTCACATTCGCTATTTTGGCCAAGAATCTACAATGCTCTGGGTGTTTCCTGACAATTTTCTGATTCAGTTAATAAACCCATTACAATTAATATCAACCCTGAATCAAAACCATCAGATTTATGTGCTAAATATTAAAACCATGAAGTATTCTTTGAAAACAAACATCAAGATTTTTTTTCTTTTTGCACTACAAATAAAGGTTTTTCTATGGATTGGGTTCTTCTCGGTTTTAATTTGGACTAAAAGAATTAGAATCAGCTATATATAAATTTTAGCAATTTAGTTTTCAATTCACTATTACTACTGCCTCTTTAAATGCTCACTTGTTATGCGTGTGTTTGTGTCATTTTGAAATGTATTTCTAAAAAGAGATGAATAAATTCTACCTCCGCCCTTTCAAGTAGCAGCTAGTACATTTCGACACTCGTAATTGAAGAAAAAGCAATGCAGACAATTAACTGAATTCAAACAACAACATATATCAAAGTTGCTGAAAACTAAATTAAATATTTAACGCCCTTTAATAGTTTCCTCAAATGCAGTGATGGGCTGCAGAGAAACAGATTTCTTTGCATCCTCCCCTCCCATGTGTGCAGGAGCCTACATGCCTCAATCTGGCTAGGGAGGTTACTAAGGGTTTCTCCAACCATGACTACTTTAGTAATTTGAAGTGGTAATGGTGGTAGGAGTAAGTATGTGCAGTGTTCAGCTTGAAACACGGCACATACTAAATTATCTGCCCTTGTGTGCCGCAGGCTAGTTGCACCCCCGGAGCATATGACTTAGGATGCCCAGAACGCTGTTCCAGACTGCCTAATGTAAATTCTGTGCATAATTTGCGTCTGCTGTCAGCGAGCACAGTGCACTGGCGACAGAAGTGATGGCTTTAACCCCTTAAGAACGTCTGGAATAAAAGGGAATCATGACATGTCCACACATGTCATGTGTCCTTAAGGGGTTAAGGTAACTAAAATTTATTTCAAAACGATTTTCAGCTATAATTTTTTTTTTTGTGCAGGAGTGGGTGGGATCATATAGAATAAAGCCCCAAAAGTATTATTTGCAGATGGGGAAAAAAAGGTTGGAGAGGACCTTTAAGGCACGTTTCTGGGTTTTAATAGCAAAAACGTTGTTTACGCCAAGCATTTGTCCCTAATTATTTGTGCTTGTATAAAGTCACAAACTTTACAATAGGATGGCATTTGCAGTATTTGCATTTTCCGAATATAGATTAGTCCTCACATACCTGTACACAGGGTTTCAACCATTTACATTTTAAGATGCAGTTTGTCTTAAAATACCGTTTTTTTGTCATTTATTTTTATTTCATATGCCAAGAAAATACATATTGTGCTTCGTTAAAAAAATGCACAATTAGCTATGACAAGTATCCTTCTACTGTATGTCATTAAACTGTACTATATTATATTGCCTGATGGTACATTTAATCTACGCATAGAGACGCCTCTCACTCTACTTAATTTAACTTCTCGGCAACATGCACGCATTCTCTTTTAGAACACACAAGATTACCAGCACTAGGCTTACTCAGCTTGCTTTAGCCCATACTGTTTGAATGTTTATAATTTTATCTCATTTGTATAGACCTTCTTAAAAGATAGCTAACTGCCATATGTTCACTTAACCTAGACGTACCTGACTAGCATATTATAATCTCTACATACATCTTAAATTCCGTCATGGAGATTCATCAGTTAAGTTAAGCTTGTTTATATATAACAAAAAATGTGCAGCTACTCATGCCCCTGTATAACCTGTATATCACTATGTACGCTGTTGTGGCGTTTGTTGATGATCTGTATCCACCTGCACACAAAAAAACAACAAAAATAAAACCTGTGTACAATAGAGTGGTTAAAGAAGCATTAAATGATAATGTGACAAAAATATACAAATATTTAAACTATATCAATATTTAACATGGTCAATACTGCACCTAATAGTATGACACTAACGCTTTGGTTTCATTCTCTCTTTTAGCGGGAACTAAGAAAAAAATTTCCACTTGAGTCAGGACTCTTCCGCAAGTCAGATAATTTCATTCCCAAACTGAAAGGTAATTTATTTTCGTCTTTGTAAGTTAAAAAGGTATTACATCACACTTGATTTCCCCAGCTGCTTATGCACTTCACGGGGAATAGTAGGGTATTTAATATATTGATCCACCTACTTTGCTTCAGAAATAATTTTTAGTAAATAACACTGATAATCCAAAAGGCGAACGTGTGGATGAAATAGCCAGGCCGTAACCTAAACTGAGTGGCATGGATTTTTTCAGATTTTTGCGGGTTAAATAGCCCTGTGTGTCTCAAAGACTGCCAGAGTTTTTCACTAAACAGTAAGTTTTGGGGAATTGACCAAGGAATTTATAATTTTAGGACAAAATTGCAGAGTCAAGACAAGTTCCCAATTCAACCATAAAATGTCAGTCAATGACCAGTTACCTTCAATTTACGGCTAAGTGAAACACAATAGAGCTTAGTGGGCTGTAATGGTAGAAATGTCTCCAGGCCATCCAGTGATTCACAGCCACAATTAGAGTAAAACCGGTTCTTAAATGAATATAATTCTTGTTTATGAGGTTTCTCACATAGCTTCACACCTATTGGTCATCACGTATTAAATCTATTTGTATTCATTTCTATCCACAGATGTTCCAATATTCAGAAGGAATAGGAATTCAAGTCGTTTCATTGAAAGGCTCAGACTGCTGGAGAAATATTCTCAGGAGCTTCTCAAATCTGATCAAAAGATCTCCCAGTGCGAAAATGTTGTGAAATTCTTCACTCCCAAGAGCCATGATCTTAATCCAACTTTTCACGAAAATAGGTCAGTTGGTAGTTTGACATTTTATTCCTAGTGCTAATTATCACTCAAAATCCAAAAATAATGGTAACCATGTTCAGATTCTAGGAAAGGTAGTTGTCCAGAGTAGGACAAAAAAAACCTTCAGAGACCACCATCAGTTGCATCAAACCAAGATTTAGGAAATACTCATTTCTGTCCAATTGGGGATTCTGGTAAAACCTGGACCATTTCTGGTACTTGGTGATGCATTTTAGAACCATTTTCTTGTAAAATAATACCTTAGTTTTGTAAAAATTAACAAAAAACACCTACAGAGTGAACTGCTGTTTACTTCAATGATAACTTTACATTTTAAATGGACATGCATCTCTCAACATTTTCTTTAACCCCTTAAGGACACATGACGTGTGACATGTCATGATTCCCTTTTATTCCAGAAGTTTGGTCCTTAAGGGGTTAAACCAGTAGGCACTTTTAAGCAAATATACAAACCAAAAATATGCTTTGAAAAGTATGTAATAAACATGTATAAATTTACTATAAACTTGGTCATATTGCATTGTTGGACATTGATGCCTCTCAGCAAGTGGTGTTCCTACACCCCTTCCCATCTAACTCACCCCATAATCCAGTCCAGACCAGTCTACTAATGACATAAACAGGACATAATTGTGTAGCAGCAAAAGCTCCTCATTCTCCCCAAAATGACTAACATAGCCTTGAGAAAGAAACTTGACCCAGGAGCCTGCTCTGCATGATCACATTGATCAGACTTCCTCTCTTCTACCCCTATCAGGATGTTGCAAGGTGAAGAGATCTGTCATGAAGACCTAACACACTCTTCCAGCATTCCTAGGGATAGGACACCGATTGGTTAGATCAGTGCCTCTCCTGGAGAGGGTGCACTGATCTAAAAAATGAACATATTTACCTGATTTTCTCAGCTTGCATTGTGATACAACTGTCTCAAAGTGAGGCAATTGTCCCTTAAAAGGATATGATTTTTATTTTGGCATAACTGATGTAAAGTTTCTAAAATATTTTACTAGTCCTCATATGTCCTAATATAATATTAATGGCAATTGCCCCATTAGTAACTGTGTCGTAAAAGAACTGTAGTCATACTTTAAAATATTTTGTAGGTCACACAGCTATGTTTAAAGAGAGAGAGAGAGAGATGATAGGCAGATAGATAAATGGTTCCTAACCTAGTCCTCAAGACATTTCATTTAGTTAGACATTTCTCAGATCTGTTCCAGTACAGGTACTGACAAAAACATGGATTGTTGGTGTGCCTTGATTACTTCACTTAAAGCCAGTGAGACAGACAAACAATTAATTAATTAGATCTAGAACTATTATATTATATAACTTAAGCAGACATGTGTCTTATGTGCTAATTTTTCTAAATATTGCTTTGCAGCTTGGTGATCATGCCCTCAGAGACAAGGATACCAAAAAAAGAGATCCCAAGACTACCTGCGGAGCCCCCATGCCCTGGGCCTATTATATCTCAACAATACGTGTGTATAGAAGACTACGAGACTAAAGACACAAAGAACAGAGCCTTCAAAGTGAAACGCAATGAGCTTCTGGGAGTTCTAGTGAAGGAAAGCTCAGGTACTGGTTCACAATTACTACCAGGGTATTAGTAATCCAGGATTAGAACATTTTTTGTTATTCATAGACATCAACGTCAACATGAACCAGTTGTTGACATTTCTCACTTTCCTTTTCAGGGTGGTGGTTGGTAGAAAATGAGGAGAAACGGGTGGCTTGGTTTCCTGCTCCGTATCTCAAAGATCCTGAAAACAATGAGACCGCAAACTCAACAACGGATTCTGACTATGACGGTAAGTTTAGATTATTCATGAACGCTGATAATTGTAAGGTAGTGTTTCAGAAAATCAGATTAGTCATCAATAAATCAGGTTTTATGTTTAATTTCATGTAATGCACATTGCCATGCTTCATTATTTATTTATCCCTATAATAAATGTTATTCTTGGAGAATTCAATCCAATATGGCAATGGTTCCCAACGCAGCCTTCATGACATGCCAGTGGTCCAGGTTTTGTCATTTTCCCCTTTGGAACATAATTTTTAAATGCATAAATTCTGGACTGCTGGTGTATCATGAGGACCAGGGTTGGAACCCACAACGATATTGTATGTAGGTGCAAGGTGACTTTCTACACATACCATTTTTAGCAGGGCTTTTTACGTCCATTCTTCCAGCTGTTTTTAACTCAATACAGTGAGATAATGACTTGTTAGAGTTTTTGACCAGACTGAGAAAGTTTAGATACTTGCCTACAATCAGTTCAGAAAGAAACAAAGAATACAGTTAAATTAAATCTTTTTAGTAGTTTTCAGATTGGGATCGTTTTCTTGTGAGTATATGGACATACTTCATCTCATCATAATACATTTATTTATAGGTGTATCCTTTTTATCTTTTTTTTCAGGAATCCTTTATTATGCAGCAAAAGGTTATGAATCCATGAGCTCTGATGAGTTGTCCATCGTTATTGGGGTTCTAGTAGAAGTCATTGAGAAGACAAATAATGGATGGTGGTTGGTCAGGTAAGGAGAGGTGCAAGCTAAACTCTAGAATATAATTTCCAGCATGTATCAATGGTATAAAAAGTTTCCATTTACAAACATTAAACTGGATCTCTTTCCAATAAAAAAAATACTCAAATCAGCTAACAGAACATAAACACTGTCTGCATATTGTAGGTAGCAAGGGTTTTGTTTTAATGTATGCCTGTAAGTCTTTTTTTGATATTAGACAGGGGGCTGCCAATAGTTTGTTTTTAATTTCTGGTCAGTGGCCATGATTTAAGTTCAAGTCAGATTCTATTTGGTTGAAGCTATCAAGAAGCCAGTCAGAATGCAATTTTTATTTCAAAATGTGTTCTAGTTGTTGAGAACTCTGCATAAGTACATTAAAACCGTTTAAAACACAGGAATAATAATGGTTACATTTTCTTTGTTGCATAAGAACCAGGCACACCTTTATAAGCCTTGGAGCCCATATCTAATTAAACTTAACATCTCGCCCATCCCTTTGCCTGGCAACTCCTAAACAGACACCTCTCCACATGTTCACCTCCTTTTACTTTCCGGTCCATCTCGGCCATTGCCCATTTCAACCCTTGGTTCTGTATAACCTGTGTATGTTCTATCTATAAATATATATATATATATATGATGTGATTTGTGTGGTCCATGTAAAATCTCCCATTGTTCTGTACCCATGCAACCATATTTGTCCTCTTGGTCATAGATTCCCTGTCAGCGTTCAAATAACCGGCTTGAGGCTTTTAGCATCTTTGGAGTGAAATAATGCTTGATGTTTTCGATCAAACCGAACCCAACTTAATCTGTTTGATTTTGTCCCCAGGTATAATGGAAAAGCTGGATATGTCCCATCAATGTACCTGAAACCATACAGTAACTACCAACAACTTCAAACTATGATCAATCACGGCAAATTAACTTCGACTCCAAACTTATTTAAAGCAAGTAGTTCCTTAGACTTGAACACATCAGATGAGAACTGGAGATCTGAAGAACCTGGAGTGAAGCCCAGCAAAAATAATGCCATGAAATTAGACAAAAGGAAATCTAGATCTCTGAGTGGCCTCTCTTCAAACATGCAACGTGAATTAGCCAATTCTCCTTCAATGTATGGAAAGATTTCAACAACCACTAGCACAGACTGGAAACCAAAACCTAATCAAGGAAAGGGCATCCAGGTTGAGGAACAAGAGACAATGCCAGAGATTGTGTATGGAAACTATATTATCACCACACCGAAGAAGGCTGTAACAGAGGACCTTACCAGCAGAATGCCTGATGTTCCTTCTACTGATCCTTGTCCAAAACCTCCTCGGGTTCCAAAACGGCCTAAGCCACATGAAATTCTACACAAATGCACCACTGTAACTAAGAATGCTCTGCGGGAGTCAGCTTAAAACAGACTATACCAGATGAACATATTGCCATCAAGAGACTGCCAAATATTTGTTTATTTGATATTTATTCTGATAGCTTCCTAGACCGTAACCAAGTGCAGCTCTTCAATAGCACATCCAGAGCCGCAACATGACTTTACTTCTGAGCTTGGCGGCAGAATATGAAATGTCTGGTGGCACTGTAGTAGACAGGTCCTTGTGTCAAGCGGTCAGAATATATCCAGTCCTATGCCATCAATCACCTTAAGCAGGGATAGGCAACCTTCGGTACTACAAATGTTGTGGACTACATCTCCCATGTTTTCCCAGCATTATGGCTGTATTATGGAGATGTGTCCACAACACCTGAAGTGCCGAAGGTTGCCCATCATTGACCTAAAGTGTATTTCCGAAGTTAATCAAGCTTGCTTCAGTGATGGTATTTAAGCAGTGATTCTGCTTATTGCGTAATGTGAAAAGTTTTATAATGTATGATGTATAATGTCACGGTCCTGTGCTCACCACACAGCATTTCATAAAATAATTATACAGTATATTTAATTTGCCTACCAATATATAAATATATTTATTATGCAATTCTAGAATGTCCTTTCTTTCTTATTTGTTTAATTGCAGTGGGCAATACACACAAGGTGGTTCCTAGGTCTAATGGTACTCTAGTACACACCAAATATGACTGAGAAAAACACGCTCGAACACAACACATGCAGCTCTGTGAAAAATTCCTACACAATGACCATTGCTATTAAAATATTGCTGTGAAGCTTTGTAATATTGTGACATTTCAACTTTACTTTAAGATGATTGCTGTGGAGTTCTTTCATACAGACTGCACATTTTTACAGCGGTGAGACATTGCACATTACAATGAGGCTTTGGGATACACTCATACACAGCACACATTACTGTGAATGTATTGCTGAGGAGCTCTCAGTTAGCCCATTCTATTCAATATACAGAGATTCAATACAACTCCAGGACATTCATTTTGCTCTCAGCTCATCAGGTACCATTTCATCTCCAGCTGTCCATCGCTTCTCCACCTTCCTCCGATCTCCATGTGTGACGTAGGAAAGAGGATATGAGATCATACATGCAATGCGAGTTGATAAGCACTATTGTACAGAAAGGTTTTCATACAAAGAATTGCATAGGACCCAATGATTACACGTACAGCCAGTAGCTACACTGATGCGAGAACACCCCATCACGAAAGATCCAATATACCCCGTGCTTGGGGACAACTTGACCTTTTTACACCTGTTGTATCTGCCACTGGCTATAGTAGTATTGGAGCAGATGAGATCATTTTAGAAAAATACCATACTTTTTCTACAAAGTATTTTATACTGTTATCATGCAACTATCTCTCTGTAACAGCAAGCGATGGGTTATGAAATAGCACTGGATGCAAAAGAGAGGCAACACCTGTTCAGCTGCCGGTGACTGCGTTTCCTGCAATGCACAAGGGAACTAGTATTCCACACGCCATGAAATTCCAGGCTCCCTCCTCCTACAAGAACACTGAACAATAAACCCCAATATCTTTTAAATATTACTATAGTATAAGAGATGGCGGTTTACTTGCCATCACATACCATATAATGGTTTATAGAAATTAGTGTTTTATAAGCAACTGTGCCTGCTTACTGCATCAACTGCCACAAAAACAAATTCAGTCTCAAATAGCTATATACTATTCAGGTTTTGTTTTCTTTTGGACATTTGCTACAATGTAACCCAGCACACAATAATGAGCTTGGCTAAAGCAAGACTTAAATCAATGGTGAAGTTGTTTATTTTAAATTTCTTTAGCAGAGTGCTTTACAAGACTAGTGATTTCACAATGCATCACAAGCAAACGACATTGAGCTAGATAATGGACATTGCAGAACACATCAGTCTCAGGCATTTGATAACAGCCTCTTACTTGGAGCTATAAGAATGTCTGATTTGCTAGAATAATATAACCTATACACTCTGATGGACAGCACATGAAAAGTGCTGTCTTGTAGTGCATAATATTTACATGTTGGTGGGAAACAATTCACTATTAGGCAGACCCTGAGGATTTGCCTTGATAGTGGAATTGAAGATTGCAGTGTATGGTCCCTATATAGTCCCCATCAGGAAGAAAAAACAAAATGTCCATTAAATCAAAAAGTATCTGCCGGGGGGCGGGGCCTGGCCGCCGAGCTGGGTGGACGTGGGGTGCCTCGGCTCCCTGACAAACCCGCAATAACCAGCTTCAAAATGCCCCTACTCGCCTGGAAAACCCTCAGCTGCTGTGAGAGGGCAAAGGGGACCCGACCACCAACCTTCGGGGCAAGTACCAGCCCCCACTCCGCTGGCGATGCGGTCTGGTGGGCAAGTGGGATTGCGGCCTGCTGTGAGGCCCTGGCGGGAGAAGCGGCCGATGATCTGTGCTTGGTCCGGCGGGACCTCCCGCCGCCTGCTAAGGGCCCCGTTACCCTCCCCCCCCGTGGGCCGGGGGGGTTATCCCAGACCCCACCGGGGACGCAGCGCTCGTTCAGGGCACACAGGCTGCAGGATGACTGACTGGGGACCGCATGGAAAAATCCAATATGGCTGCCGCGCTCATTGTGAGACGAAGTGAGGGGGAAGTACCTAAGCAACGGCAGACAGAATGAGTGCTCCTTCCACCCACAGGATACCAGCATGAGGGGTATACTCCACAAGCAAGCCCAGCTCAGCATAATAACCCTCACACCAACAGTGGCATCACCTCCCATTAATACCAGTGGATATAAGGGGACTCTCTCTGGACTCTGACTCTGCCTGAGTACAAGGGATCTACGAAAATGGGGGACAAGCTTCACTCCACTGCTAACTGTCAAGCCCCCCGCACACTAAAACATCCAGCTACAAGCACAGATCTAGCACAGCTGCAAGAGGGATCAAGCGGCTTCCAACCACATATGCCTACAGAGATAACAGACTATGGTGTACCTCTTAATCCAGCACCTCATCCACAATTTTAACGTGCGTCTTTTGCATCGGACTCTCTTCCTGCAGTTAGAAAGTAATCCAAATGTCTGAGCCTGCATGTGTGTCCGACGCTCTGCTGCCCCCTGGTGGTTAAACTTAATTAAGCTTAAAGAAATCTGTTCTTGATGATAACCTTAGCTTCTGTTTTAATGGCAAAAATATGCTCACTGTTTTGTTTCTCACATATATGCCTAGCACAAATGCCGATTTAGACAGGTTAAGCATCAACTATCTCGCTGTATTTTATTTAACTTCACGCTAACGATTTAAATGTTTAGCCAAGCTTGCTAAAAATATAAAATTGTGCAGACTCTCATGCCACTGTTTAACAATTGTACATACGCTGCTGTGGCGTCTGTTGATTCCTTGTACCCACCTGCACAGCAAAAATAAAGGAAAAAAAAAAAAAAATCTGCCAACTCATCCTCCATCATGATGACCCTTGGCATGAAACAGCAGCATTAATGGATATAATTGCACAGATGAAAAAAGTATTATAGTTTGGCTCTAGGCTTGCGGGCTAGTTGGGGACATGTAATTGCGGTTCTCCTTGGATACAAGAAAACAGGATTACCAAAGCCATAGAACATAAAAACAAACAAGTTTAATTTTGTGGGGGTGAAATCTATACAACAGATACCAGTTCAGTATCAAGCCAGACATTTAACAGTTTTTTCTTTTGGTTTTTTTATTATTGTAATGAACATGTCCCACGGATATGAAATGGTGAGCTTGGATGTAGGATGGAATGGTGAGCTTGGATGTAGGATGGAATGGTGAGCTTGGATGTAGGAAACAGAATCTAAGGTTCCCAAAACCAACCAAAAGCGTTTCAGTCATAGTGAACGAACCGATGTCCAGCACTCCTTATAAATCAATATCCCTTTATTTGCAAATCATATACAGCAAAGCATATGTCTGATTTATAAGGAGTGGTGGGATCATTCCTTTTTATTGGATTTACTACTGGTCTAGCAGCGGCTGGAGTCCTTGCACCCTTTGAATAAAGCGCTCTTTAGAGTGCTCTTCCCTATTTTACTAAAAAAGTGCAAAGCTGTAAAACTGGAGTAATCACAAATCCCATTGTTTCTTTGTGGTAACTGCAACACTTTTACAAACCTGCATTGCTTTCCAGATCACAAAACCTTGAGAAATCTCTCTCACCATAGGTGCAACCATTCCTAGAATTTATCAGTGGGTCACCTGTCTGAATCTGTAAGTGGAATGTTCCTGATGGAAAAATAGAGGACGGGGCTCTTAAAGTAAATATGGCTCCCATCGATAAAATATTATATATAAAAAAAAATTGAAACTGGCTCTTAGAATTGATGTCACGCCAAGTACAACGACACTTCATAAAATAATTTTAAAGGCACCATTAAGAAGGTGAACTTTTACAGCCACTCATTGTAGGAAATACAGAGCAAAACTTGAGATGGCGAGCCTTTTAATCCGCCATAGTGCAAGACTTTAACACAGGCTGGACGTCATTTATTTGCTATTGCTGGTGAAAGGCCCCCAAGTTATTATTACCATCCTTTGTTAGATAAAATTAGTTTTTAAAACCAAAAGTATATATCCGGATATCTCGACACAATATTCAGTAAAAGGACAAAGCACAGTAGTCCTGGTGGTCAGTGTGTACAGGTAGCCAGTGGATCACGTACATAATGAACGAGCTGTCCATACAAATCAGCATTTGATCCATATATGCAGTTGGGTTGCGCAGAGAATGGCTTCCTCTCCAGGATATGTCTGGTCAATAGAGTATGTTGTGAGCCTCAAGCCCTTATGTTGTGGTGTTCACTTGCTTTGCCGCAGTTTGATCAGCACTTGTAGGAAATGATACTGGACTCTTTTCTTCGTGCTCTGGTAAGTCTTTCAGTCTCATGTGTTGCCACATGAAATCCACAAACATGGAGGATTGCAGTAACCGTCCCATTCGCTGCAGGTGTCGCTCTGAGCAATAAAGAAGATTAGGTCAGTATAGTTGTTTACGTAGGAGAAACAGCACAGGTTTGAGCAATGCTCCTGCTTTTTAAAAGCTTGAGCTCAGCCATTTCTGAGTGTTCTACAGCAGGCGGATTTGCAGCAAATTCTGAGAATGGAATTTTGGGGGGATTGAAGCCAGAACTTATAGAACAGTCATCTCTAATATGGCTTCTGCTACCATGCTTTATAGGAAGGAACAAATTAAGAGTTATTCACTACAGTGAGAATTCGAAGTAAATTTAAGGTCAAAATAGCCAAACTGGAAAAATTCTCCAAGACATCTGTTTCTCAGTTTGGCTACTCTGGACTTTTGTATTATCAGTTTAGTAAATAACTCTGCAAATCTGTAAACAGTGAGAATTCGAAGTAAATTTAAGGTCAAAATAGCCAAACTGGAAAAATTCTCCAAGACATCTGTTTCTCAGTTTGGCTACTCTGGACTTTTGTATTCTCAGTTTAGTAAATAACTCCGCAAATCTGTAAACAAAGGGGTAAGGCAGTACATATTTATATTCAAATCTGACATTTGAGAGTAGAGAGCGTGTTCTACAGTTATGAGCAATACATCACAGTCCTCAATACCTGGAACTCATACAACTAAGAATGAAAAAAAGAAGAAAAAAAAAAACAAACACACACACTCTCTCTCTCCAGATCCCTAAACCTTATATTTTCATCTTTATTACACGGGTCAGCCTTTCCCACTGACCAGTGCTGTTCAACTCACCAGTGTAGGGTATGAGGGATTCAACGTTGCCTCGAATGCCGCTGTACTGCAGGAGTACATCCGGTGACTCATGGGTCAGAAGGACATTCAGCACCGACTGAGCCTCATGACAGTTGCGGGAGTTTGTGTTCCACACGCAGCAGTACTTGAGAATGGACTCTGCCAAAAGGGTGGGGGAGGAGTCAAATGTACGTGTGCAGATAGGACAAGAATATACAGAAAACATATAGAACGATTAACACTTATTTCACAATTTAAAATCTAGAGCATAAATAAGTTTACAGTATAAACACTGATCAGCCACAATCTTAAAACCTCCAGCCTGATATTGTGTAGACCCCCTCGTGCTGCCAAACCAGCGCTGATGCGTCGAGGCATAGACTCCACAAGACCTGTGAATGTGTCCTATGGTATCTGGCACCAATACATTAGCAGAAACCTTATTCCATTTCTCCATGGTCCAGTTCTGATGCTCATGCCCCCATTAAAGGCACTCTGACCAGTTTGTGGCTATGCAGCCCCATACTCGGCAAACTGCAGTGCACTGAGGCCAGCATTAAGGTTTTCAACAATTTGAGCTACAGCACCTCTTCTGTGTGATCGGACTAGACAGGCTAGCCTTCGTTCCCCACTTGCATCAATGAGCCTTGGGCAACCATGATCCAGACGCCAGCTCACCAGTTATTCCTTGTACCATTTTCAGTAGGTACACATCACTGCATACTAGAACCATTGCACAAGACTTGCCATTTTGGAGATTCTCAGATTCCCAGTCATCTAGCCATCACTATTTGGCCCTTGTCAAAGTCACTCACTCAGATCAAGAACGGTTTCTTCGGTGGTTGCCTAATATATCCCACCCACTGACAGGGGCCATTAAAACGATATAATTAATGTTATTAAGTGCTCTTATCAATGTATGCCAGGAGGTATTTTCTATGCCCATAAAGAAATATTTTTTCAATAAATTTTTTTGGGTGTGCCTTTCTATCCCTGCTATTAATTTACCATTACCAGTGACATGGAATTCCAACATTATGTATATACATCTTTGTACATATCTTGGAATGTGATTTCTACATCTGGATTTACAAGCCTGCAACGATTTTTATGTTTGGTCAGAGCCGCTCAGTGGGAGGCCAGTTGGACAATAAATGCAAAAAACAAACAGACCATAACCGATAAAAGTGGAAGCCTTGCTTAGGGCCAGGCTAGATCAGTAACTGAGGGTACTGTGCTACAAACAGAAAGTGGGTCACTGGAACTTTGCACAATGTATAAAGCAGTTGTGTAACCTCCCAGCAGGTATAACCTGTTCATCCTGTTATGTAAAGGACATTGCATACCTCTCTGATCTTGGCGCAATCTCAAAACGGTTTTCTCCAGGTCGTCTTTCCCTTGTGGCTCACGTAAGACAGCTTTAAAAAAGAAAAAGAAAAAAATATGTGCACACAGTATATCTCAGTCATGTCACTTTAAGTAGTGTGCAGGGAAATGACCTTGCAGCATTCCAGCCACAGCTTCCTCCCAAACCAGGGAGTTTATTAACGGAATGCTGAGTTGTGGGAAGATGCCAACATGAGAAATCAAGGCCAGAGCTGAGGTGTTTTTCCAACTTGGGAAATTCAGCCCACATTTTGCAACTTTATTAAATTATCCCACCATACATTCATAGATTACAAAATAAACCTTTAATGTAGGATGCCAAAAGTGTCTCATTTGAACAATTAGAAACAGATGCATTTAGTGGCCATTCTGCTCCTGCCCAAGTGAGGAAAATCTAAAAAGTATCAAACAAAATTCTATAAAATGTTAAGAATAAACAGTAATGAGCCACAGCTCTCTTTCTCTTGCACTGCCTTAGTGCAATCTACCATCACATTGTCAGACCCAGCATTATAACTCAAAGAAGAAATGGAGGCTGGAAGAGAGTGAAGCGATGACATATGTTATGAATGAATGTGAGAACATATGTCGTTCACAAAGCATAGAAGGTTGGAGGATAAACAATCTGAACAGATAACTACTTAAAGGGACTTTATAAAGCACTTTAGTTTGCTTAAATGATGTGTGTGTGTAGAGAGAGTCCTCTTTTTTTATTTTACAAAAAGTGCAAATTGCAATAGAGATTTACACTATTATAAATACACCTTGTTACACCCCTTGGCTGTCAATCAGCTAACAGGTCCTGTAACTTCCTGGTTGTTTAGTTCAGTGGATCTAAACTCAAGAGGCGGCAATTGCACAGACTTCTCAATGAGCTGCATTGGGAAGTCTGTGATTGGACAGTCACAAAAAGTCTGGGCGGGGTTGGGAGGAATCTGCAGCTTTTACAAGCTGTTTTTATATATACCCCCAATGAAAAAATGCATAATTAAATGCATGCATGTTTTTATTTGAGACACAGAAAATAAAGGGTCTTTTATTTTTTTCTCTCTTTTTTTGTGTTTGGGCAATGGGCAATGGGCAATGGGCAACCCAAAGTGAAAGAAGGCCAGAGCAGCCAAATTGAAAGCATAGCTGAGAATGTTTCCAGTTCGTCTATTTGACCTTAAAATAGAAACGGACTTCGAATTCTCACTTTAGTAATTAAGCCTATTAGAGAAGACAATGAAACGAAAGCATGAAATGGTAAGCACTCACCTTTTATGACTGTAAGTACTGTGTGCGGTTTATCTAAGGAGATGGCAAGACCCAGGGCTTTCAGAAATCTCTTCTCATGTAGAAGGTTTGAAAGCTCTTGCTCCCTAAAAACAACAAACATAAATGTGAGACCACAAACCAAATCAGTTTAAAGCAAGAGCAGAGAAGACACATTGCTCTGTGTACAAAATGGTAAAAGGGCTAAAAGGTGCACCTGTGCAAATAGTGTTGTGTGTCTTGTCAATCCACTATCCAACATTGCCGAGTATGTTGGTACCGCCAAGCACCATAATAACTACAGCAGCTTAGTGCTTATGACGCCAAGAGTGCCCCTGTGCACCATTTGTAAATCGCCAAACCATCTTTTGAACAGTCTCACTTAATGGAGGTCCTTCAGAAGCCGCTCCCTGCCTCCCCTATAAATACCAGAGTCGGAAGTTCCTAAGCAAAAATTCCACTCTCAGCCCATGAGAGAGCTAACGGAACTCTAGGATATTCTGTCTCTCCAGCATTAATATCTCAACATTTTTGATTGAATATATGTGTCTCTATGATTTATTTCTGGCTATATGGAGATTTTTCGGTTTTTTTCGATTTTTGAGAAAATTCTTTGTTTTTTTCCCCTCAAGAATTTGAGAATCCCATCAACATAAGTATATTAAGCACACAGGATCTACTTACTTCATAATCTCTTCCTCCTGCTTGGTCTGCTCCTCAGCCAGCTCGATTTCTGTGACGTCCTGCAAAGTAAGCAACCGTTAGATCTGCGGCTGAGTAAATCGCAATAACAGAGCGCAAAGCAGACATTGGGATGGATTAATTAGCGGTTCTCACCTTCCACAGCATAATAACCGAGTCTGCAGACCCAGTTACTATGGCATCATCTTGCCGGTTGCTGTGCAGGCCCCATACCTTATCCTCATGTGCGTCCAAAGTCTTAACGCACTCATTGGTTTTTATCGTCCAGAGTTTTAGCAGACCATCGGAGCCACTGCAGAAAAACACTGTTAACCACAAAATCCACACAGACCAAATAATGAGCTCTAGGAAACGGTTTGATAATTACCTTGTGAGTAACTGGGTGCCGCGGCTCACAAATATCACTTTCAGTACAGATGCATCGTGGCCCTCAAATGTCTGCAAAAAAGAAACGGTGCATGAACCCCAGACCAATTTTCTTGAGTTTTTTTTTTTTTTTTTTTTTTATGTAAGCTATCAGAGACAAATTCCATAATTGCTGTCAACTGTTTTATGAAAGTGCCCATTATATATCCACTTGTCACAAATAAGTAAACAACAGAAATTCTGATGTCACCAAGGGGGACGGAGCCAGCACCGGCAGACCTGCCAGTCACTGGAAGTAATGTGAGTTTTTCATGCTTTTAAAGGGGCTATGGTGGGGGGAGGGGGCAAGCCACCTAAATAGTGGGATTAACACTACTGGGTGGGGAATATATGTTTGTGTTCCTGACCCTATAGTGTTCCTTTAAAGGACCACTATAGTGCCAGGAAAACAAACTCGTTTTCCTGGAACTATAGTGTTAATAGGTGTCCCTCCACCCTCATGGGCCCCCTCCTGCCGGGCTCAACAGGGGTTAAACTCTTACCTTTCTTCAGTGCCGGAGCTGGGGACTTCTCCCTCTTCCGACGTCATCCGCCAAATACGCATGCGCGGCAAGAGCCGTGCGCGCATTCAATCAGTCCATGGGAAAGCATTTCTCAATGCTTTCCTATGGACGGCAGCGTCTTCTGAGAAGCGTGGAAGTGCCTCTATCGACTGTCAATGAGACAGCAACTAGAGGCTGGATTAACCCTAAAGTAAACATAGCAGTTTCTACAGCTGCAGTGTTAACCCTAGATGGACCTGGCACCCAGACCACTTCATTGAGCTGAAGTGGTCTGGGTACCTATAGTGGTCCTTTAATTATTCCCCTAATATCTTGCACCTGGCTATGATGAAATTGAATAGCCTGCAAAACCTCCGATGTTTATTTTAACGCACTTAGCTAGAAATTTATGGATTTGGCCTGATTTCAATCCAGTGATGTTTTCAATATTTAGCAGGATCGCAGGGTGTAAAATAGTCTGAATTTCTAATTGTGATTTTAAAAAAAAGTGTCTCACGATTCCAGACATAAAGAGTTACTAATTGGCGTAAATCTAAAACACCGTCGTTGAGACTGTGTTTTCTAGAATGTAGGAGCTTATTTTCAGCATATCAGGCCGTATTGAGAAATATACAACAATTTGGGCACAATTAATAAACACTAGCAAAACAGACAACGTTCAGAGGCTCCTACATAGACCTTAGCTTTTAATCCTGTCTTCTGGAAAGTCTAGACTTTCTGATAGCATTAATTATTAATATTGGCACCCTGCTCCCGCCTCCCCCTTTTTTAACATTTCTTTTCGGTTTACATTTTCTTGGATGAAATTATAATCGACCAATAAGGGTCTAAAAATGTCCACATATTGTTGAAAATTGCACTGAGTTTTCTATGCTGTTCCCTTTATCTCATAAACGTAGAGACCTGCATATCTTGCTGTATGTTATTTTATACATTTATTTCGTGACCTTCGTGATTTACTATATGTTATTTTATGCATTTGTTTTTTGACCTGCATGTCTCGATGTATGTTATTTTATGCATTTATTTTGTGACCTGCGTGATTCACTATATGTTATTTTATGTATTTGTTTTGTGATCTGCAAATCTTGCAGTATGTTATTTTATGCATTTTAAATCTTTGTGTCTCGCTGTATGTTACTTTATGCATTTATTTTCAAACTCACATGTCTCGTATGTTCTGCATTTGTTTGGAGACCTGCTTTGTGTTTTTCTTTTATGCTTTTATACACGCTCTCTCTTTAGAATTAAAGATTCACAAAAAAAAAATTTACCGTATTTTTCGCTCCATAAGACGCACTTTTTTCCCCTCAAAAGTGAGGGGAAATGTCTGTGCTTCTTATGGGGCGAATGTGAAGCTTTACTTACCTTTCTTGTAGCGTGGGCCAGCAGCACAGCGCGCATCGCGGTACAGGAACTTCAATTTCAGGTTCCGGCGGGACTGAAAGGAAGTGCGCACTCAGTGTGCACACTTCCTTTCGGTCCCGCCGGAAACCGGAACCTGAAATTTAAGTTCCAGTACCGTGGTGCGAGCTGTTAAGCCGGCCCACGCTACAAGACATGTAAGTAATTATGGGACAAGGATAGGGGGGACGACACTATGGGACAAGGGGAGGGGACACTATGGGACAAGGGGACGACACTATGGGACAAGGGGAGGGGGGACGACACTATGGGACAAGGGGAGTGGGGACACTATGGGACAAGGGGAGTGGGGACACTATGGGATGAGAACACTATTGGACAAGGGGAGGAGGGGTTAAAGAACACTATGGGACAGTGGAGGAGGGGTTAACAATCACTATGGGACAGAGGAAAGGGGGGTTAAAAATCACCATGGGACAGGGGAGGGGGATTTAAAGATAACTATGGGACAGGGGACGGGGATTTAAAGATAACTATGGGACAGGGGAGGGGGGTTAAAGATCATTATGGGACAGGAGAGGGGAATGGGTGGTAAGGAGCACTATGGGACAGGGGAGAAAAAAAAAAAAATATTCTGAACAAACTGTCCCATAGTAAGAAACACTATGGAACAGTTTGTTCAGAATATTTTTTTTTCTGGGTTTCCTCCTCTAAAAACTAGGTGCGTCTTATGGTGATGTGCATCTTATGGAGCGAAAAATACAGTAAATGCATCAACAGCTCATCTAATTATTCTGCAACCAAAAAAAAAAAAAAAAGAAAGTTACTGGTGCTATATTGTATTGCACCCTAACATTAAGATATGGCAGCTTACTTACAAAGTTTGCCAGCTGTATAAATGCAAAACGTATTACACCACATATGCCTTTATTCTGACTCTATACTGAACGCGATAAAATGTGAACTTACCTTCAAACAGCTAAAATCCTGGAGGCCCCACAGTTTAAGGGATCCGTCTGCTGAGGATGTGGCCAGAACTTGGTCAGCAGGTGAAAACTGCACACACCAGATACCTCTCTTGTGTCCTTTGAAGACACCCAGGAGGGAGAAGTCAGTGGCTGACCACAGCTTGGCGGTCCGGTCCTGAGATCCTGAAGCTACCAGCTTGTCATTTGGTGATATCGCAATGCTGTTAATGTCCTGATAAAGAAAGCAGAGGAGAGGTGTAATCAGACCTCACATACTGCAATAAAACCTGAATTCTACCGACTCTCTGTGGAATTCTACATGGATATCAAGACAGACTTCAGTTACAGCTTTCTGCAAAAAACAGGTTATCTACAAAAGACAAAAATGTCTGCCGCCCTCACTGTAGCATATTACACAATAAACAACATGTTTAAGCACAAACCCACCTTAGACAGATTCCAAAGAGCAGATTTATACTAAGCAGGTTGCGAGACCCACATGGAAAGAAACCACTGGCTTAAAAGGCAATTGTCACTTTCCAGAACTTTTAATACTATGTTTACTTATCCGTATACTTAATAAACATAGGAATAAAACATAACATTATATGTAGAAAGCCACCGCTCTTTAACCTGCAACTTTTCACTGCCATCATTGTTAGAAGCTGCGTCCTCTGCACTTAGTCAGCATAGAGAAAGCTTACAGAGAAAAGGAGAAATTAAACAATGTATGCCCTCACTGAGCTGGATTGTGATGATATTTGCTAAATCTTTAAAGGGACACTTTAAGCACCCAGACCACTTCATGTCATTGAAGTGGTCTGGATGCAGTGTCCCTGTTTTAGAGAAACTGCAAGGATTACATTGCAAGACTAAGACTGCCTCCTGAATCCTAACAGACTTTTAGTCACCTGACGTCCTCACGCTCTGCATGCGCATTATGCTCCTCCGCCGGATAACGTCTTGAGGTGGCGAGTGCCAACCCAGCGCAGAGGGCCAACGGCGCTGGAAGCAGGTGAGTAAACAGAGTTTTTTAATCCTTTCTGTGCCGGGGAGAAGGGTGTGGGGGGGCAGAGGGAACTATAGTGTAAGGAATCCAACTTTGTATTCCTTACACTATAGAATCCCTTTAAAACGGCCTTAGTTAAATTAACACATTAATTATCAAAGTTTTATTCAATTATGTAATACCCAGAAAAGTGAATATTGCCCTTTATGGACACCATGTGTTTCAGTCTGGGTATCTTTAGATTCTCACCTTGTCGTGAGCTTTCTCGGTAAAACTGGCAAGCAACACTTCAGGCCCAGAGAGATCGGCATCCATTTTCTTAGACAAAATGGATTCTGGGAGTTTCCACAGCTTCATAGTGAAATCTTGACTGCCACTTACTATGAAGGACTGCTTCAACCTGCAGAGGGAAAATACTGAGCTTAGTATGTATAGAGGACCACAGCTGTTAGTTCTGATTCTACAGAGCTATCAAGGTGTGGACTTTTTACCTGGAACATGAGATTGCACCCACTCCGTTTGTGTGACCACTGCCCTGTGCCACACACGACACCGTTCCGGTCACCTTATCCATTTGCCAAATTCTAACGGTCCTGTCCTGTAACATAGTTAAAGAAAATAATTTAGCCCCTTCAGTTCGACCATCAGCAATGTAAAGTCTCAGAGGTGAGTAACTCGCTCCATACATAAACTATAGACACATGTACTCATGTACGTGAAAGGAAAGAAAAATAAAAGGTTGCATTAAATAATTTAAAAGCCGCCAAATGGATGTTGACCGTATAAAAATGACACGTACCTTGGCGCAGCTAGCAAACATGAGGGCTTTCTTAAAAATGTCCAGGGCGAGAACCGTCTCTGAAACACAGAAATCATCAAGGTTTTAGTGTACTGTCTCTTTGGACTTCAAATACTGGCACAGGTATGCGAGTCTCCTTCACAAAGCTCTATTTTAAAAGCAACTTTTCGAAACAGAGAGAAGCAGCGTTCTGGGTACTCTATTTTAAAATGATTTCTCCTGCTCTGTCACCCCTATTACCTCTAATAACACAGTCCCCCTTAAACTCCCATGAATTTCCCCTGCCTCTCATATCCAATCCCATTAATTCCAAGTATATACAGCCCATTTTTGGTCTATTTTTGTGTTTGTATCCCTACTGAATGCCATAACCACTTTTGTTGTCTCTAGACTTAGTATACCATACCATGATCTGTCATTTACTGTTCTCCTGCATTGGCTTTTACGTTTCAGTTTTTATTTTGACACTCCTTTTATATTATTTATTATTACTTTTGGCCTTAGTACGGTTTTTCTTAAAATTCAATAAAGTTGGTTTAAAATAAGTCGCTGCTTATCCACTTAAATAAAAAATTACTTGATACTAGGTTTAAGTGCAGGAACAGTAAAACATTCAGTTTTTAAGTAAGTGATTTATGATCTTATTGGGCAGATTTCTTTGACATACATTGCACAAATGTGGAATAAAAGTAGAAACAGTGACACCTCATGGGGGAAGGCAGTAATGAAATCAAGACAATGTAATAAGTGGTAAAAATACTAGGGAGTATTTGGGATTTGTTTTTGTTTTTAAATTCGTAACTTTTCGTGCATAGTTACAGTCAATACACAAAGCAAGCATACACGATATCAAGAGAATACATTCAGGTGGTTTGTACACAGAAAACAAACTTGACAGGCATGTATGACAACTATAGACAGTTGAAACACTTTTTTCTGGTAACTAAGGACAGGTGAGGTTGAAAACCCAGAATTAGCTCTACGTGGGTTGTGTGAGAGGGGTTTAACCGTGTGCCCGGGATACTCCCTGCTGGAGTTTGACAGGATTCGTGGGTGTTCCAGTGAGGGCGAGTTCGAATGCATAGTGTGAGTTATGTGGCTTACTGAAACATGTGGGAGTTCAGGATGCCAACACTGTTTTTGCCTTATGGCTATGGAGTCTTCTAATCATGTGTCAATATGGAGGGTGGAGAGCTGTAAGCCCCACATCAAGAATTAGAGAATAGGCAAGAGCCATCTCACCCAATGAAGCTTGTGATTTGTGGTGATGGTGGTTTAGATTGCCGCAGCTTCATGTTGCAGTGTTTCCCGCTTATTGCTCTAGGTCATAGGTCATTACAGTGAATGTGAACTTGGTAAGAAGGTTGTAAAGCATAAGGAGTGGTTTTCAACAGCAATAAACACCAAACAAAGAAAAGAGGAAATAAATTCCAATCATAACATGTTTTTGCAATCAGGTCATCTAGAGCGGTATTGTGTGGGCAGTGCAGTCCCCAGGTTATTCAGACGGGTTGGATCTTTGGCATCTCCACCAGTCCACAGGGGTGGCGCCGTCTGATTCTCTTGTCTCTTCATTGTCCGCTTGTGACGGTGGCTGTGGTAAAGGCGGTCACAGTGCCTCGAAAAAAGCAGAAGCCTCTGATATGGCTGTAAGAGTGGGCAGTCCCTTCACGGTGCAGTAAGAGAGCCAGTGTGCCCCCCATCTGTAGGTTATTCCTGCTTGTCTCAATGCGATTGTCACCAGTCCGAAGGTCTTGCGCCGTAGTAGAGTGGCTCTGGTGAGATCTTTGAAGAATAGCAATTGAGAGATCTCAAAGGTCAAAGGTGTCTTGCCTTTCAGGGCCATGATTTGGATCTTATCGTGCACATTGACACAGCGCAGTATGACATCTCTCGTCATTGCGGCCCGAGTCCGTGCAGTGCCAGTTACGTGGTATATTCCGTCTAGGACAATTTTCTTGGCTGTGGCAGAAGTGTAGAGAGCAGGCGCCTGATATAGTGTGGCAGCTCTTCGGTCGAGACCGTGGTGGGTATCCCCCGTATTTTGATGTGTGTTCTGCGTGGTCTGTCCTCCATTAACAGTATTTGAGCAGCCAGCACGTATTGTTCAGCTTGGAGGTGCATCACAGAGTCCCTAAGGTTGGTCAATGTGTTTTGTACGCTTGTCACAGTGTCCTCTTTCTTTTTAACACTGTCAGTGACTTGTTGTATGTCCACTTTAACCAGGGCGACGACTGCTGCCATCAGCTTTTGTATGTCAGCAAGTAAGATTTTTAGGTTGCGTTTGGTTGTTGGGGCTGTGTGATCTGGAGACCTTTCAGGTAAGGCTGAGGGGTCTCAGGGGCGCCAGGCTCCCAGCTCTCCAGGCCTGGGGCTGTAATGGCGTCTGGTAGGCGTCCCGTCTCCGCAAGCGCCCTTTGTGACGATATCCCTACCAGGTGTGATGGCTGTGGCTTTATGCGTGCAGCGTCTCATGTTCGGCATGTCAGCCAGGGTGCCAGGCAGATGTAACTACGCAGCGGTTCGCGCCTCTCCCGGTACGCAGAGTTGGGCCTTGAGGCCTAGTAGTGGTGATGCCTGGTAGGTCACTGTATTGCGCCTCCATCCAGGCTGCTTCGGCACCTGAAAGAAAGGCATCAATCTGTTCCTCTAGCACTCAGGGTGAAGTTGGAGCCGGTCGTGTAGCTTGATGGATGCGGGTTAGAGAGATATTATGCTGCATTGTACAACCTGTGAGGGAGCTAGCAGAGATGGCCTCCGCTCAGGATGGTTGTCAAGCTGCACCCCCACATGTTTTGCATTTTTACAATTTTTGCTTTAACTCATTCATTAATTCATTTGCTTATAACAACCAGTTAAGAACCACACACTACAGTTTGTAGTTACTCACTAAAAGAGCCTGTTGAGATTTTATTTCAGTGATGGGATTGGTATACGAACTGCTCATGAAAAGTGCTGAAAGGGAACACTTTGTTTGCAGCTGTGTTATTAACCAGCAAAACCTGGTGGCACTTGGTGAGAGTAAACCAAAGGGAAAGTAGCAAAGCTTACCTGTGTGCCCATGCAGTATCTGGCAGTTAGATGTTGCCAGCTCAAACACTTTTATTTGGGGGCTGTTGGTAGCCAGCACTATGTGAGAATCAGAAGGACCCAAGAATTTCACGTCCAGGACCTCGTCGTTGTAGCCTACAAACTGGACACAGAGAGTACGTAAATTGCAAGTATGGTGGGAGGGGTTTGGGATACATTGGGGTTCCTATGAATCTGGAGCCTGACCTGCTTTTTCAGCTCTAAATTCTGGAGATCATACATCTGGATGTTGTGTTCAACGGTAACTGTGATGACTTGCCACTGATCAGGGAGGAGAAGGCAGTGCGTCAGGCTGTGTTCATTGGCCTCTTCGTCTGAGACTTTGGTTGTGGAATGAGGCAACGTCTGGCTGTGCACACACTTCCCAGAGGAGGCATTCCACACCCTCAGTATACCTGTGAAGAGAAACTCAGCAAGTTAGCAAACTACCCAACTCTACAAATAAAGTTGGAAATTAAAGAGACACTCTACAGTTTATTGTAGGAGTTAAGGTGGAAAGAGTCTCTGGGTGACATCTACCTATTTTCACAGGAGGTGCTTGGAGTGTTCCTTTAAAGCGACACTGTCACCCCCCCCTGAAAAATTTGCATTTCATAAATATAGAATCTATATAAAATACATACATTGACTGTGTTGGAATTTCACTGAAATTTTTTACTACTTTGTCTCAGTACATTTCCTCCACTTGACCCTTCTAGATACTGGGTGGAGCTACTAGCATTAAGAAATGTCACAAGTGATGGCTGCAGGGATTCAGCTCTGTCTGTGGAGGATCCTGTGGTTTTGTAGAGCCCTTCATAAGACCTCAATGCTGTACTCTCGCGCATGCACGAGAGTACAGCTGTGACGTCCTCTAATGGCAGCTGAAGCGCCAGGAGCAGTAGAGGATCTGCTGGAAGAGAATGGCAGTGCCCGCGAGGGACAGATTCAGGTGAATTAAAGTCACCTTTGCCTGCCCCACCTGGCCAACAGATGCCCAGCTGTGATGTCACTGTTGGAGATCTTTACGAATCATGCCCCCGACGGTGATAGTGCTGCTTTAATAAGACATTAGCCATAACAAGAAAAAACAAACACACACCTTGCTTCAAACAGACTAACGATCACAATAATTACCCCAGTTACATCCTACTTTTATACATCAATCATGTCTAGTAGCAAAACTGTCCATATACTTTGTTTAGAGCTTAACGGTGTACACTAACCTTTACTGCCAGCCGTAAGGAAAAGGACCGACTCTGTGTTCGTTTCTCGTCCTATTATGCCAGGAGTGTTAGGGAGAAGGACAACAGCTTCAACGCTCTATGCAAGAAAAAAGGAAACAGTATAAATATGATGTGAGTACTTCCTCCACAACACGTTGGTTCATCCGTAGTTGCACATGTCAGTGGCCTCACCTCGTATACTGGCACGGTCCTCTTCGTGCTTTTGGTATTCAGATCCCATACAGCACAAATTTTATCACGACCTGAGCTGTAAGTCATGTAAAAAAAAAATCTGGTCATGAAAGAGTACACCGTGACGTAGAAATCCCTGTTTACCAAATGCTGTAATTTCACTGACTAATTTACAATTTCTCTCTCCATACATGGAGAGAAAATGCTTTTGTGTTTGGCCAACGCATATGCTTAACAGACACGTACAGGCTCCATCAATCTTAGTCCATTAGCAAACACATTCACATTCCATCTGGATCCCATGTGTGAATGCATCATATGGATCTGTACTATCGTCTGTGTTAATATTTGGCTGAGTTTAACTAAGCCCGCAGATGACTCAAACATGCTAGTTGGTCTGACTTAGTTTAGAGTTTTCTCTCCATGTATAAATAACCATTCTACACCATTACATGTCTTGGTCTTTTACAATTTTTGCTCCAACTCATTCATTACCTTAAAACAGCTAATAGCACTCCTATTTTATAAAAGCTAGAAGAATAGCAAATGTGGGTGTAATTTTTATCCTTATTCTCAACATTTTGCAATTTGGACTAAAAACCCCACACACTCACAACAAGAGTATGACCTGCTATCTAAAGAATGTAAGAGAAATAAAAATATAATAAGGATTCCGAAAACCTCGATAAAAGGCAAAAAATGTTGCCAAGCCTTGGGCGATGGGATTACTTAGTTTCTATTGCTAATTATAGTCATTACTTATATAACAGCAATACATTCTGCAGTGATTACAGCAACGTTCTACACTGGGATGTGGAACACTATAAGCTGGCAGGTACTAACTGTACAGTAAGAAAAGAACTAATCTTATCAGATTGGGTAGATATTTTTAAAAATGGTCTGAATGATTTTTGTTTTTAAGGGCCGGGGAGGAGTATGGGGGAACAACAAATTACAGAATATTCAACAATATAAGCGTTAAAGGAGCACTCCAATTACTATAACCACTACAAACCAGATAAGGTGTTTGGAGTCGTTTAATATGTGGGAGCAGCTTGTTGATTTAAGGAGATATCGAATTGTCAGTTTGGAATTATTAACTATATTTCCTAATTGAAAAGGGCTTCAAACTGGAATTTTTGCCTTTCTTTTATCAGCTGCAGAACTCCGGTTCTGATTTTTTTTACTTATTATTATTATTATATTCTGCTTTTCTAATGTATAATCTTTATAATGTAAAAATAGGACATTTAAACTCCATAGTTCCCCTTTAGAGATATTAAAGGGTTGTGTGCCAATACTATGCGAATGTGAGCATTAAAACAAAGTAGCTGTGGCATTTCTGATGGGATTTCTACATCCTGGATTCCACCCTACAAACACGTTTTTGTTAGCTGAGGATGGAGGGTGGGCTATTCTGTCTACATGTAATTAAATAACCAGTATAGCTGCTTATAAAAATACTCCTTCGTTAAGTCGATCAACAAATAGGTCTATACAGAGCCTAGTTAAAGCCAAGAGCATGTTTCACCTGATCATAGTGTCTCCATCGGGTGAAAAGCAGAGGGAGGTCACAGCACTGAAATGTGTTTCCAGAATGCTCAAGCACTTGCTGGATTTTAGGTCCCAAATCCGTATCTTATAATCCATGGAGGACGAGAAGAGCTGAAGTCGAGACATGTCCGGGTGAAACTGGACCAGACTGCGGAGATGGCAAATAGGGGACAGTTGTTAGAGAAGAATTTGAAAACATTTACACACAAAAAAAGGCAGAAACAAGAATGTTTTGAACCACATACGTGCACACTTACACCAACGTGCACACATGCTTATTTACTAAATGGTGAATTGTTATAGACGCGAAACAGAACTTCAAATTTGAAGCCAAAATATCAAAAAAATATAGAAAACAAAATTTTCACCCTATGATTTACAGTTTGTTTAGAAATTCAGTAGCTGACTGGTTAGTAAATAAAATTATAGCCCCTCAGCTGTTGTATAAGAACAAGCTCCCAAGCTCCTACACTGCTCTAGAACAGGCAAAGCATTATTGGAGTTTGTAGTTCTAAACAGCAGAGGGATGAGGAGAAATTATGGGCACCAATGGTCCTCGTGGCCCACCAACAGTCCAGGATTCATGTATTTCCCTGTTTTATTCCAGTGGGGATATTGACAAAATCTGGACTGTTGGTGAGTCTTGAGAAACGGTTTTGGAAACACTGCCTTATGTACATTCATTTAAAAAGATAATAAAGTGAAAATCTGAAGTCTCTTACTGCACTACCCCCGAGGATCCTTTCAAGTTGTGCGTACAGTACTGCTTGATGACGTCCCAGATCTTAATTGTGCTGTCGCAGCCTCCTGCAAAATTGAGAGAGGCAATTTATAGAGTTACAGGTCAGAATCCAGAACATTAGAATGCGAGAGAGAGCTTGTCGCCACAGACAGAAGTTGGCCTCACTCAACCCGGAGGCAAAAATCAAGAACAAAAAACAAACTGTCAAGTCTACTCACTGAACAATGAGTTGTTGAATGTAAAATCGAATTTAAAATTTTGAGAGTTATTTACTAATGTGAGAATTAAAGATGAATTAAAAATGAATTTCAAATTTAAGGCCAGAGTAGCTGAATGGAAAGCATTGCCGACTGAGAATTTTTCTGGTTTGGCCATTTGATCTTTAATAGCCAATTTGTAAAAAGTTTCTAACATGGCTATAGTCCCAGATCAGCTAGTTTTAGCAATTCCAATTTTAAATTACTACAAGTCAATATTTAGTGAATATATCAATGTATGGCAAAATTAAAGTAGAAGCTGTGAAATAAAATAAAAAATAAAATGTGTATCAAGAAAAGTTAGTTTTTAGTTTGATGTAGGTATTTGTTTTTCCATAAAAACTGTTGCTACATATAAGACTTGATTTATAGATTGAAGGTTATTACACTTTAAAACCATTTGTGATTTGGTTTTGGTCACACAAGTCTGATCCAAGACGCCTTGCAGACTGCTTTTTAATACAGAGGGACAGTTTACCAGGCCTGATGGAATGGAGATATTTGTACCACAACCATCAGACTGGCCATGAGTCAAATGTTTGAGTGTTTCAGGGCTAATGCTAAATCGATCCATATTTGGCATTTGTTGTCAGCAGGCATAGCATGCAGGCAACTTATGACAGATAGCCCCAAACTCTATCCCCCTCCTCCCTCCTTCCCCGTGGTTCCTAAATCATCACCTATCCATGCAGTGAGGGTGAGTGATGTAACCGGAGAAAGATGGGGACATTCCAGCAATTGTAACTCTAACCAAAAACAGTGTTTTATTAACATTGTTTTATCATTGGAATAAACCTCTAATCTGGTAGTATAAAACCAAGCTATATTCACTCACCTGTGGCAAGTAGTGTGGATGTCGAATCAAAGGTCATGCTGGCTACTGGGGCTGTGTGGATGGCTTTCCACGTACGAGAACACTTGCCGTCTTTCCATTCCCACTGCTTTAGTAAAAGGGCACGGCTGCCGGTTACCAGAATCTACATTGAAAGGAAATATGTCACTGCAGGGCTTTTTAGGAAGGAGAGAGCATCTTACCTGCTACATTGGTTGCATTAACATCTTGTTGGCTACAGTATAACCAGATTAAGAAATATCAGCTGGTACCTTGAGAATGGTGGTTCCTGACCCAGTCATCAAGACAAACCAACGGTCTGAAACTAGGAAATGCCAAAATCCTGAACCACAGTTATACTAGAGGTTGGGAATCACTGCTCTAAAGAAAGCATCAAATATGTTTACGGAAATTACTGGGCCATGTGATGTACAAAATAACCTCTCAGATTTAATTACACTAAGCTCAACCAGGCTAGTGTAAGGCAATGCAGAGGATACAAGGAAGTTAAAAGCAAAGACCGCAGGGAAATATTGAATTACCATAAGGAAACTCGAGTTTACACAAAGATTTCCAGATGTGAAGCTTTCTGGTAGAGACAAAGAATGAAAGTGCTCCAGAAGGCTTTAAAAGAAACCCATTATTGGCACAAGAAAAAAAAGAAAGAAATAAAACAACATTTTAAAAAGTTAAGCACAAAGCTAGTGTTTTAATACACATAACCAGAATGCTGCCCCTCACATTCTGAAAATAATACTGTTTATATAGGTTTAAGTGTCAATTGCTAAAGGTTGCTTTATAGAGTTATGCCCATATAGTGCATGCAGCAGTCACATGCAAAACAGGGATTCTTCTCCCAGAAGTCGAGCGGCAGAATGTGCACGCACAGTTTCCAGCTCGGTCAATAGAAAAACACAGCCTGGTTTAATGATAGCATTAGTGTGGCAGCTGTCAGTTTATAATGCAGTTCCAATCAGCTCATGTGACGATTGGAGCGGTGGTACAGGATAAGTTACTTTTCTCATAAACCATTGCTGGAAAGAGGATAAGATTAGTCACTGAAAACCAGGGTGAGAGGCTCCAAATTGGAGAATCTCATCATGGTATGGGAACAGTCTGACTGTAACTGCTGCCACTAAGCAGAGCCCCGAAGGACACTTAAAGTTCGCAACTTTTCCAACATCTACTGAATAAAATAACCCTAGCAGCCAGAAAGGCTCTGGCCCAGACCTGGCTACAGCCTAACACTCCTCCAATGCCTGCAGTACTTAATAAAATTAAAGAATGCCACCTTATGGATAAACTCACAGCCCAAATACGGGGCTCCACCAAAACATTTACTAAGACATGGAAACCCTGGGAAAACTACATCGACCAACCCTGATATAGAGATTGACAAGGAACACACTACCCAAACAAAAGACCAAGACACCCCCACCTTTTCACTAGGAGGCCAGACTCACCGGTTCCCCGGCCCCATGTTACGTTACCAACGTTAAACGTGTTTCATAGTGTTTATTTCTCCTAGATAAAACCAATGACAACGAACAACTGCAAAACTATGTTTTTTTCTGATTATGAAGCCAATCAATTGCTCTGCACCACATATGGGCTTTTGCACAAGCCACACTGTATAAAATGCATACCCTTTTGTCATTGCAAAAATAAAGAATCATAAAAAAAAAAAATTATAAGTTCGGAACTTTTTTCTTTTTACATTATTTGTGAATACAGTAAAAAATATGGGCTAAATTGTTATCCCATAAACTGCAGACAATTAATCTGTGTTGTCCAAAGAAACCCCTAATCACACAAACACCACACTCCATATGAAAGAGGAGGGCTATTTTCTTCTAAACGAGGGGTCCTACACCCCCATAGGAAAAGCAATCACATGTCTACTAGGCGACATATATGGTGCTCTGCACCCTAAAAGTGACCTTAGAGCCCCCTAATAGGCACTAAGAATAGAGTACGTGGCTCCTCTTTTGTAAAGAAAGCAGTATTACTAGTCTTTCAAATAAGCGATCTTGTGTCTGTATAGGAGGATTTGTCTGAGAAATTATTTTATGAGGTTTTTTTATTCGTTTCATTCTTTTAAAAAAATTATTATTTTACTATTGTAAGGTAGTTTGTACAGGGGTTGGACCATGAATATTTTAATCTAACAAATGTTCTCACCTACCCATGAAATCATAATTTTGTGTAATTTTAAATTTATGTAATATTAACATTTTTATTTACAATTAATTGTATTTCTAGGTGGTACACAAATTAACAAAATATAATGCATGCATTTTTTTATAATAATAAATGTACCTCATCATCTGGACTTAGTGCAAATGATGTAATGTCTTCTTGGTCGTCCTACAAATAGGAAACATAAGTATGATATTAGCAATTCATTAAGCTGATCTCGAGTTTCATAACTTTATTGCGGAACATTCCTTCCTCACAAGCGTTGTACCTGTTCGATCGTGTAACTAACAGCTCCAGTCGCAATGTCCAGGATGTTGAGTTTATTTCCACAGATGCAAAACAAATAGGTTCCATCTTTATTGACCTGATAAAAAAAAAAAAATATTCCATTATAAAAGAATTGTGTTTAATAAATTCAAAATACATAAAAAATATAAGCATTTGTTCATTGAAAAAATGTATCACTGATTTCCAAAATTCTTTGAGTGCGTTATCAATATTTACATGGAAAATTGCACATGTTTTAGAAACTCGTAGTTCTTTTGTCCATCTCTAAACTGTACCACAAATCATTTGGATATATTCATACAAATTTAAACCCTGTGCTCAAGCTCTTACTACATCTGGGCAGCAGCAATTACTATAGTATACATCAGCTCCGATACATACAATAAAAAAACCAAAGGAAAAAAGGTATCTGTGCACTATCCCAAATCCATGGGCACATTTAAATAATTGGAGTATTTTTAGTATCACTCCACTGGCCATTCAAGTATAAGCCCACCTGCAACGTCAAGGGGAGGGAAAGAGGAGCAGAGGGATTTTCTAAACCTCTACACACCTATTTACCCTTAATAGGGAACACATGGCTATGGAACACAAAAACAAAATATACAAATTTAAGCCCTGTGCTCAAACTCCCACTACTCCTGGACAGCAACAATGACTATAGTACACATCAGCCCCAGTACGTGCAAATAAAAGCCAGAAAAAAAAATAAACTTTTTTTTCTTTGATATATTTGTTAACTGCTTAAATATTGGTACAAACTTACCTGGATTTTTCCTCCTTTGTAAAAAGCATCAATTTTTCGGGTTACAGCATAGCTAAAAAGAAATAAATAAAAAATGGATAACAGAAGTGATAAGAGACCAATAAAGCACTGTAATATAACACATTACATTAGAATGTGAATTACAGGAGTATACACTAAAATGTGAATTGTTGGAAATTCTAAGCGACACATTTTCTCTGAAAATTTAACTTTAATCACATACAGGTGGCTCTTGCAGGGTCTAGCAAGCTATTAACATAGCAGGGAGTAGAAAATCTAAATTAAACTTGCAATAAAGGAAAGATAAACATTAGATGACTTTACAGGAAGTGTTTAGGAAGGCTGTGCAAGTCACATGCAGAGAGGTGTGACTAGGGTTTATAAACAAAGTGATTTAACTCCTAAATGGCCTAGAATTGAGCAGTGAGACTGCAGGGGCATAATCTATACAGCAAAACTGCTTCATTAACCCCTTAAGGACACATGACGTGTGACATGTCATGATTCCCTTTTATTCCAGAAGCTTGGTCCTTAAGGGGTTAAGCTAAAGTTGTTTTGGGGACTATAGCGTATTGTAGTTGTTCTGGTGTGTATAGCATGATCTTGCAAGCTTTTTTAATGTATACACTGTCCTTACAGGGAAAAGGAAGGCAGTCACTCAGATAGCCACAAGCGGTGCTTCCTGGGTTGCAGCACTGCTGTTTAACGTTTCCACGCTCTGCATGGAGGTGGTGAACATTCCTCACAGAGATGCGTTAAATCAATGCATCTCTATGAGGAGATGCTGACTGGTGCAGTGTGACATTTCCCAAACATGGTCAATAACTTCACAATGCTTTCCTAAGGGAAAGCATTAAATTGACAAATATGATTATCTCTCCCAGGAAGCGGAGCAGGGAGAAGTCAGCCACTACGAGTCCGGTGCGGTGCTGGAATAAAAGTGAGTTTTACGCATTTTAAAGGCAGGAGAGGGGAGCCAGCCACTTAAATATCAATTTTAAAACTCTAGTGTCAGGAACTTTCTGGGGCCTTTTTATATTTTGCAAAGACCCTCGATGGTCAGCCTTTTATGGCTGATGGTTTGACAGTGGTGGCCCTTCCTTTTTGTCATGTGTAGGAGAAATACATAACACAAAACAAGTCTTTTCTTTGTCTTATGATTTTTTTGACTACATTGGAATTTCAGTGATTTTCCAACAGACTGTACGAGCATTTTATCTTCATGAATTTATTTTTTTTTAAAACACTTTTTAAAATATTAAATCTTTTAAAAAGTTTATTTAAAAATATTAAATCAAGACCAATATTACTCAACTAGAAATTCCACACCAAAAAGGGGAAAGACGAATGCTATTGGTCAGCATTCACGTTGCTAGCTGAAAACCCTTTATATGAGAAATTGGATCTGACAGTGAGTGAATTCATCATGCCACCTAATATTTGGGTCTAGCAATCACTGAATGGCACAGCTATGAGGAGGGCATGACAGCTGACAGATTGAGTGCTTAGCTGGCAAACGTTGCCAATTACATTTAAATATGTAGACATTGTATAACACTAGCACGGTCCCAATTCTTTCTTAAATTGCTACATTTGATCACAAGCTGGTGCTGGGCAGGTAATATGTCAAACAGTTCAAAATTGTTGGGGGGGAGAAGGAAGGGGGGTACAGTGCAAAGGCAAACTGTAGTAGTTATAGTACTTGGAGTGATCCTTTAATTCTATGTAATTCACAATTTAGTGAATAACCCATTCAGGTAGCACTTTTCATGTACTGCCCATCAGCATAAACAAATGACCAATGGATGTGTGTCTTTGAGAGCCACAGGTAGGGTAATGTCATTTATAGTACATGCCTCCCCCAGTAACATGGCATTCAGAGCACTGAGTGAACAGGAGTACATTGAGAAAGTTAAGGTTTTAATTGTATGGGGAAAGCCCAGGAAACCCAGAAAGTTAATTTTCTTACTTGGTTTTAAACTGCACACCGGCCGTCGCCATGTTTATCTTTAACCCGTCAGGGTCTCTGTGCCAGTCACACGCGGAGAGCAACAAACCATGTGTGTCCTGCAGCTTCTTCTCACTTCCGGCCACCGCATTTGACGTCACACACTAGAAGCGATGCCACCATGCCGCCATCTTACTACACCCTACTCTGTATACATTGTATTGTACTGGGTCATTTACAGTTATCAGCCTGGGGGCAGAAATTGTAAAATATGTGTGCTAATAAAACAAACACTATCCTTCACCTGCCCTGTGAAATAGCTATAGAAAAACCCAATGGCAGTCCTCCTAGCTCCTAATCACTAATGACAAGATAAATGCCATCAATTTATAGCCATTTTATTTTTATTTATGCCATAGCAATGATTTTTTTAAAATTATTCTTCCTGATAACTTTATTATTATTATTATTATTATTATTATTAAACGTCACCCAGGTTTTTTCTCAGTCAGAATTGCCTGATGTACTAAAATCTTAATCAACACTGACAGAACCAATATTTTGAATTGGAAAAATAATACAGACATTAACCATGTTCCCACCTGCATACTTGTTCTGCTTAAAGGATCACTATAGTGTCGGGAAAATATAGCGGTTTTCCTGATACTATAGTGCCCTGAGGGTGCCCCCACCCTCAGGGTCCCCCTCCCGTGGCGCAGCTTACCTTATTCCAACACCGGGCTCCCTTGGCGCTGGTGACCTCTCCTCCCCTGCCGACGTCAGTGGAGCCGAATGTGCATGCGCGCTTTCCTATGGACGCTCTGCATGATGGAGGTATAAAATGCACTAGAGGCTGTCTTAAAGGACCACTATAATGCCAGGAAAACATACTCGTCTTCCTGGCACTATAGTGCCCTGAGGGTGCCCCCACCCTCAGGAACCCCCTCCCGCCGGGCTGGATAAGGAGGAAAGGAGTTAAACTTACCTTTATTCCAGCGCCGGGCGGGGAGCTCTACTCCGATCCTCCTCTTCGGCTGAATGCGCATTCAGCCAGTCTCATAGGAAAGCATTCATAATGCTTTCCTATGGACGCTGGCGTCTTCTCACTGTGATTTTCACAGTGAGAAGCACGCAAATGCCTCTTGCGGCTGTCAATGAGACAGCCACTAGAGGCTTTAGAGGCTGGATTAACCCTATTATAAACACAGCAGTTTCTCTGAAACTGCTTTGTTTATAAAAAAAAAAAAGGGTTATTCCTAGAGGGACCTGGCACCCAGACCACTTCATTAAGCTGAAGTGGTCTGGGTGCCTAGAGTGGTCCTTTAACCCTGCAATGTAAACATAGCAGTTTCTCTGAAACTGCTATGTTTCCATCTGAAGGGTTAAAACCTGGGGGACCTGGCACCCATACCACTTTATTGAGCTGAAGTGGTCTGGGTGACTATAGTGTCGCTTTAATGATTTTTTGTTTAGTACCAGGCTATAACTAATTTATTTTTTACTTTTGTACATATTTTACTTCTCTCATATATATAGGAAATTATAATTCGTATGTATATTTAATTTTTTATGTGTTTTATTCGACAATTCATAAGTTATATGCCATTATTGTTAGCTGTTATTCTATATTACACAAAACATTAATAAATATATTAGAAAAGAAAAAGAAACATACCAATAATACACACACACACACCCCTCCTTTCTTTCTTTCTTTTTTTTTTTTTAAAGTCATTGTGTCATGTAAGCTCACGGGCTATCTACCTATGCACTTTGTATAAAAGAGCTTAAATGGCAAGATTTCAACTTGCGGGCAGGGCCCTCTCTACCTTTTGTATTTGTGTGTGTATATTGTATGTTCTCCACTAATTGTACAGCGCTGCAGAATCTGTTGGTGCTTTATAAATACCAGTAATAAATAAATGTTGAGTGTGTGTATATATATGTGTGTGTGTGTGTGTATATATATATATATATATATATATATATATATATATATACACACACACATACACCACATGGCACAACTAGAAAACGCATAAACTGGAGCATGTGAGTTTACTACCTAGAATATTTATCCTTATAATTGAAAATTATTATTTTCTGTCATCCTTTGTCTTTTTATGTGCATTTGAGACTCCTGTATAAGTTAAAGACGATTGAATAAGAAGACATAAAAGTGGTTGATGGGTAGCTGATACAACCCATAGGCATTTTATTTCAGAGCCCAATCGTGGCTCTATTCTTGTGTGTGCGTCCTTAGGATCTACCACATTGTGATTTACAATGTACAGCTACACTATGTTTTTAATGTTTGTGAGCATTTTTGAGATTGTACTGACACATATTAAAGACACTCTACATGGAACACTGAACATTTTTTTGAGCAGTAATTATATTATTGGTGTTTTGGTATCAATTCTGGTTTGAGTTTTCTGACGTAAGATTTATTGGATTTTTTTTCTTCTTTTTTGAAAATTATTATTTTTGCGCACAATCTTGTGTTTACACAACCAACACATCTCTTTGATTTCATCAGTTGCGCTAACTGAAAAATAAAAAGTGAACACCATACAGGATTTTGAAGAAGTTACTAAAATAAGATTAATACGCTAGTCTTTTTAGTTCAAATCTTTTTTATTAATTATAAATAAAGTCATCATTACTGTACAATCTGGATATCATATTTCAATTTTATATCTTTATAGCCTCCAATAATTGAAACCACAGAACTACCAAACCTACTAATAGTAAAAAAACTGAAAAAAAGAAAAACAAAAGTCCAAAATATGCAAAACCATGATTTGAAGCTCTTTTTTGTCCGAAGATCTCCAGTTATTTTATGTACACAGCAGCTGGACGATTCACAAAATTTGCCCTAGAAATTGGTTTTGCAAATTTGGGATTCAAGTGAGTCTTGGCAGTGAAAGTGTCACCCATGCAAAGTGTGGAGTCAAGGGTAGCTTCAGGTAGGTATACAAATTTGAAGGAGCACTAAAGTTACCCACACCACTTCATTAAAACAAAGTGGTCTAGGTTCAGTGGTTCGTAGTTTTAACCTTCCAAGGTAAAACATTGCCATTTTGCAAAAACAGCAATGTTTACATAGATTGGTTAAATGTGGCTCTAATGGCTGGCATACTGACAGCCACTAAAGACCGCTCTGCTAGAATGTCCGAGTAAAACTCAGTCACGTGACATTTCAGCATATAGTATTGGGCGGTATTGAGTAGTTTTGGGTGTGTGTGGCACTTGCTGCGCATGCGCTTCAGGTCCTCAATGCTTCACTGTAAGTAGCATTGTATTGGACCAGCAATGAGGAGGTTGCATCAAATCAATGACGGCACTGGAGACGGACTGGTCTTCAGTGCAGAGGGAGTTTCATCGCTGGGAAAAGGCAAGTAAAATCCTTTTTAAATATATTTTTAAAACAAATCGGGGGTTGGCCAACTAACGTAATTATGGACTAGGGCACTATGGCGTTAGTACTGTAGGTTTGTATTTCTAATGTTCCTTTAATGTAGTTATTGGCCTGTCATATTCACCAGCAAAGGTCCTGGGTTTGTTCCCTTATTACCCACAGGACACTTGAGAAATGTTCATAATAAGTGCAGCAAGATCACATCAACACCAATCTTGACATGGACAACCCGTTTTCACTGTGCTATCCCTTGTGGCCCATTACCTGTCGTGCATAACTCAAAACATTGTGCCGTATGGGGTATATATGTTTCTCTAACAACCACGCAAATGTTGCCAAATCTCAAACATAGGGTAATTCACTAAAACCTGACATTGTGTAGAAATGGGAAGGAAACTGCAAATTGTAGGCCAAAATAGCCCATCTGGATTTTTTATTTTGACCTAAAATTTTGAATGCCCTTCTCATTTCTAAACACATCCCAGTTAAGTAAATAACCCTGACAGTAGCTAGAATGCACCTAGTGCAATCACCAAACTTGTCATTTTTATTAAAAATAAAAAAATAACATAGCGATAACATTGAATTCATGCATGTGCCCATGATTTGGCAAGCACAATGTATAGGCAAAATTGTATTCTCTTTAAAATGGCACCCTATAAGTTTTACTTGGCTGGTGCGTTAGATGTTCCTAGGCGTTTAACTCTTCTGAATGAGTTACTGGCTGTTCAGTATCCAGGCTCTCAGTGAGTAGCTGTATCTGCCTGCTCATTTGGGTGGAAAGCGTTTCTATGTGACGTGCTTTCTGATGTAACTTGTTGAGCTGCGTAGCATAGTTCTCTTTCAACTCCATGTAACAATTGTGCTCATCTCGGTTGGATGGATTAAGCAGCGTTCCACATCCCATATGACACATCTCCCTCCAGAATTCACAGAGCTGGCTATGTTCTGAAAAGTCCCTCCTCAGAACCTCAGTGTTGCAACCTTCGTTCGCGCACTCTACCAAACCAAACGCGCAGGATTCTGCATGCTCTTTGCTCCTCAGTAAAGGGAAATGTGCAGGGCAGCCATTCTGCTCATTGGGACACTGGCAAAACAGAAACAGTAAATAATCATTGCGACATATTGTACCACAAGACATCAGATGCCCTAGACCAGCGTTACATTACTTTTCTTGTTAGGGACAGAAATTATATACGTGGAATGAGCTTGGTGACCCATTCATTGACTGGACAATTAGCTCAGTCACCCATTCTTCTATAGCAGGGATAGGCAACCTTTGGCACTCCAGATGTTGTGGACTACATCCAACATAATGCGCTTACACCCATAATGCTGGCAAAGCATCATGGAAGTTGTAGTCCAAACAACTGGAGAGCTAAAGGTTGCCTATGTCTGTTCTATAGCAATATAATAACCATTTAAAGAGAGACTATAGCCACCAAAGTAACTTTATTTTAGTAAAGAAGTTTTTTGTGTATAGATCATGCCCCTGTATTCTCACTTCTCAATTTTCTGCCATTTAGTGGTTAAATCCCTTTTGTTTCTGTTTGTGCAGCCCTAGTCACACCTCCCCTGGCTGTGACTGACAGAGCCTGTATGGAATAAAAATGGTTTCATTTTTAATGACATGTAATTTACTTTAAAAGTTTTGATCCCTTGTCCAGTAAATTTAACTTTAATTACATACAGGAAGGTCCTGCAGGTTCTAGCTAGCAAGTGTAAACATTAGATGTCTCTTGACAGGAAGTGTTTGGAAGGCTGTGTAAGTCACATGCAGGGAGGCATGCCTAGGCATGCGCTTCAAGTTCTCTGTCTGATGTAGTGGGTGCTCCTTTACCTTGACTTGCAGGCGGTTGATTTTCCTCTTCAGTTTGTGCATCAGGACAAATAATTTACCCCTCACCTCGGTTCTGCAACATGGGCATGTTTGCTGCCTAAGGAAATGAGATTTAAAGTCAGCATTTCATGCTTTGGCAAAATAATAGGAGAGTTTTCATAAAAAACCTCAATGTTATATAGTACGGACAGAAGTATGCACTAAAGTAGATTGTCCAAAATTATCTGAGTTTTAAACATAAGGCTAAAATAATCAAACTGGAAACATCCTCAAAGTCAGCTATTTTATTAATTCCAGCTATTTTGGATTTCCCTTTGAATTCACAATTTATTTCAGACAATTCACACTTTTATTAATAACTATATATCTTAATTACATATAACATGTATAGCTTGGAGGAAAGACGAGACAGGGGGGATATGATAGAAACATTTAAATACATAAAGGGAATCAACACAGTAAAGGAGGAGACTATATTTAAAAGAAGAAAAACTACCACAACAAGAGGACATAGTCTTAAATTAGAGGGCAAAGGTTTAAAAATAATATCAGGAAGTATTACTTTACTGAGAGGGTAGTGGATGCATGGAATAGCCTTCCAGCTGAAGTGGTAGAGGTTAACACAGTAAAGGAGTTTAAGCATGCGTGGGATAGGCATAAGACTATCCTAACTATAAGATAAGACTAGGGACTAATGAAAGTATTTAGAAAACTGGGCAGACTAGATGGGCCGAATGGTTCTTATCTGCCGATGGGCCGAATGGTTCTTATCTGCCGTCACATTCTATGTTTCTTTAAGAGTTTATCGCCAAACAGTGAATTGTTGTGAACTGGAAAACTACATTTCAAGCTTAAATAGCCCAGCTATGACTGCAAGTGTACTTGGAGAATAAGTCCAGCTGTTTGAATATTTTTGGCCTAAATTTTGAAATTCAACTTTTGATACAATAGATTTAACTGTTTAGTTACTAAACCCTGAAAATGGTAGTAAAGCCTGAAACTAAAACTTGGTTGAATTCTGGCAACAAACTTCAACAAAAGTGCTTCTAATATGCAGACCAGGCTTAATTTTAACATAACTGACTATAGGCCAAGACACGAACAGCTAGTCATAACAGGCACAATATTTCTCTCATGTCTTAAATGAAAGTATTAAAGATAAATTAAAGTGTTTTACTCTCCCTTATTAATGAATGGAAATGCTGCTGTGAGGCTAAGCAACTAATTAGGTGAAAATGTGTAAGTTTTTTTTTTTTTAAATGCCCATTTTGCTTGCTATAAACAACATGGCAAGACATGATTAGTCTGTTCTAATAACACTTTTGACATCACCCATTGGTTTTGCTTGGGCCATCAGATCTTGGAGTCCCTAAAAGGCAAGTTTGCCTAATATGTCTTCTAGGGCTGTCATTGGGTAACAACATCAGTGAATACATTTGTAATTCTTAAAAGTGGAAATTGTTTCCCAAATCCTTGTGTCTAAAGGTTTGTAGTAATTTTGGGACAACCTCAGCACCTTATCACCGTTAAATTTCACCAGCTGCCACTGGAACAAGTTAATGTCTGAATAACCTACCTTTTAAGCCATTGTAAGATACATTTGCGGCAGAAGATGTGGCTGCAGGAAATCATTACGGGGCATTTCAATACACCACGGCAGATAGAGCACAAAAGATCGTGGTCCGGACACTCTGTGAAAATCTCAAGGTCGTAACCTCCCCCCTGGGAACAAAACCAAAGCCTGAGATTAGTGTGATTTGGTTATTATTATGAATGGAACATTTTGGGATGATTTTTTGTTAAAGGGACACTATAGTCACCAGTACAACTACAGCTTATTGTATTTGTTCTGGTGAGTAGAATCATTACCTTTAGGCTTTCTGAAGTAAACACTGTATTGTCAGAGAAAAAGTGGTGTTTACATTACACTAGAGATACCTCAACTAGCCACTCCTCAGATGGCTGCTAGAGGTGCTTCCTGGGGCAGTGCTGCACAGTGTGATTACCATTCAGTGTCTCCATCCTCTGCATAGATACACTGAACCTTCCTCATAGAGATGCATTGATTCAATGCATCTCTATGAGGAGATGCTGATTGGCCAGAGCTGTGTTTAACTTATGCTGGCTGTGCCTTTGATTTACCGCCTTGACAAGCTCAGCCAATACAATGTGAAAGCATTGTGATTGGCTCAGAGCATCTCTTCTGATGATGTCAGCCAAGCAGGCAGATCAGAGGGCAGAGGCAGCAGCTGCAGACTTGAACACAAGTAAGATTTTACTACATTTAGGGAGGGCCATGTGGTCAGGAATACATGTTTTTATGCCTAGAAATTATACCTTCATATTTAAATCTATTTGGGCAAAAATTAAATTTGAAAGATTTTGTTAATTTCCAAAACTCATTTCCAAGATGCCCATTACTCCCTACGAAGAACGAATGAAGGTGTCACCCACAAAGTACTGCTTTAGGGAGTTATCTGCTAAACTGCTGAAAGTTTAAAAATAAGAAAAGCCCTTGCTGATACCTTACATTGGGAAAGATGTACAAACGAGTCACTATTAGAGGAATTAGCATGGATTCTGTATGTTTTGTCTGATGATTGTAAAATATTCATGTTTCTCAGATACAGCAATGTTTACATTTAGCCAAAAACAAATCTCCAATGACTGTCAGTGTCTATTGGCAGATTGCAGTAATTGCTATGCATGCTCACAATGCAAAACAAATGTGAAAAACATATTTTTGGACAGAGAGCATCAGAACAGATGATGCTACAGAGGAGACTTACTCATCGCTGGAATGCAGGTACATTTAATGGCTTTCTTAAATCTTTATTTTTAGAATAAAGGGTGTAATAAAGTTAAACTAAAAAAAAAAATGGACTTTCAGTACACTTAAAACAAAATATATTTATTTATTTTAATTCCAATGACTGCCCCACATTTAGAACTTTTCTCTTACCACGGATTTTCTGTTAAGGGAACACTATAGTCACCTAAACAACTTTAGCTTAATTAAGCAGTTTTAGTTTATAGATCACGCCTCTTAGGTTTCACTGCTCAAGTCACTGCCATTTGGGAGCTAAATCACTTTGTTTCTGTTTATGCAGCCCTTGTCACACCTCCCCTGACTCTGATTGACACAGCCTGCATTAAAAAAAACTGGTTTCACTTTCAAACAGATGTAATTTACCTTAAATAATTGTATCTCAATCTCTAAATTGAACTTTAATAACATACAGGAGGCTCTTGCAGGGTCTAGCAAGCTATTAACATAGCAGGGGATAAGAAAATCTTAATTAAACAGAACTTGCAATAAAGGAAGGATACATTTAGATTACTCTTTACAGGAAGTGTTTAGGAAGGCTGTGCAAGTCACATGCAGGGAGGTGTGACTAGGGTTCATAAACAAAGTGATTTAACTACTAAATGGCAGAGAATTGGCAGTGAGACTGCAGGGACATTATCTATACACCACAACTGCTTCATTAAGCTAAAGTTGTTTTGGTGACTATTGTGTCCCTTTAATTCTAAAACATTAAAGGCTGCCACTATATTAATACAGCATGGCTCCTAACGCAATAGCAGGCATAGGCAACCTTCGGGATTCCAGATGTTTTGGATTACTCCTCCAATAATGCATTGCCAGAATTATGGGTGTAAGAGCATTATGGGGGATGTAGTCCACATCATCTGGAGTGCCAAAGGTTGTCTATCCCTGCAATAGAAAGAGGGTCACTAGGGTGATGGTTCACTGGGGGACCCGAGCCCAATTACAGAAAGAACCATCTGTTATATTACTGCAAAAAAAATAACTGGTTATGTGCACATATCACCTGTCAAAGCAGTTTGTGAACTTTCAGAGTCTGGCGGATCTATTTGTGACATTTTTTACCAGCAGAAATTACAAAAACACTGTGACTTTAATCGGTCTCAAAAAGTACATTAACAGCCCTCAAAATTCTTTCAGGCAGCCCATGGCTACATAACCCAGTGGTACATTTCCAGATTTAAGAGTAATGTCTGAATGTCCTCTATTACTGAAGACCTGGCCAGCGCCAGGCCCATATGTAATGTTTGAGGGGCTGGGGCGCAGTGTGTGCCTGTGCTGTGTTCTGGTAAGTCTTGTTACTAATGTTATAGCATTCAGTAGTCATGGGCCAGAACATCGGCTGATCAGTTACACAGCGCAAGGAAATGGCTTCCATCTTGAGATTGTCTATGCTAGGAGACTGGACTTGCATCATATGAGTCTGGGAGTAGGGCTCCTAGCCCTCATTTGAGAAGACAAGTGGCTCACCGGTAAGAGGCGCTCAAGAAGTTTACGGATACCAACATGCCAGTTTTGCCCAATATGTTTCCAAACTGTTTAAATCAATTGCCACGTTTTGCCGCACTTGCGCTCATCTATCACCCTAAGGGTTAATGTAAAGGCGAACTACAGGGAACATGAACATTCTAAATCAGGAATGTCAAATCTTGGTTCTATAGTTTGATGGAATACAACCCCCTTAACTCTTGGCCAGCCATAGTTGTTTTTTAAAACACTGAATATCTCACACGTTACACAGAGCATCAAGCACTCACCATCTTCTCTTTATCCACTGTCATCCAGTACTGAACTGTTTCTAGATCCAAACACACAGAATCGCCTGTACACAGGTCATGTGCCACTGTATCCACTGACCAATTACACAGTCTGTTCTATGGCATTCTAGCTTGTCAGCAGCTATTGTTATTCCCTTTACTGTGACTGCAGGCTGTATATACAGCAATACCAAACGGATATTTAGGAAGTTTTTCCATGAAAACCTGTGCCAATTAACTATTTCAACTCCAAAGAATATATATATAATGGGCAGCTGACTCTGTACCAATAACATACATCTTATGGTCCCTTGCCGAAACCTAAAGCCAGTTTCCTCAGGATATTCCAGATTGTGTTTTACATTCTAGATATATATAAAAAAAAAAAAAAAAGACATAAATGTGATCGCAAGACCATGTGATATGTATGGATGCCAGAAAATTACACCATTTAGGGTTATTAGTGAGAGGGTGAGTTGTGAGGAATTTAAGATTTAAAGGGTTACTCCAACCACCATGACCACTTCAGTGATATTATGTAGTCATGGTGGAAGGAGTCTGGATGTGCAGTGTTTTCAGCTTTTAACACTGCACATTCAGAGATATTTTTAATTGTATGAATTTTGCTAATGAAATAAACGTAATAAATGTCTGGGCCCACATAGATCAAATGTACAGGATTTATTGGAGAGAAACTTTTTGGCTCACAACAAGTGCACACGTAGACCCCAACACAATAACTAATTTAATTAAAAATGAAATCAGGCATCCGGTGTCTGTTAAGTGATCTTCCTTATTGGCGTCCTGCTTCAATCTCCAATTCCATGTTAAAGAAGTCACAAGGAACAGTAATGATATTTTACCAGAAATGCCATTTATGTGAACCTTGTAAGTTAACCAGATTTCTCCTCCCCCCAAATACATTTTACAGTATCACACTATGTAGTTTCTCTCCTTTTAGGGAGTCTGGATATACCGTTAGAGTGGATACATTTTTAGAGCATGGATACGTTGAACCATAGTCTGCATTTTATTCCATGAATAGATGGTGCTGGGAACCTGAAAAACGAATATTTTGCCCATTTTACATTTATTGTGGTACTAACGTGAACTGATGCCATAAGAGTTTATCCACTAAACTCTTACATAATCTCTAGGTTATTTTATTAAAACCGCTATTTTGCCCTGTTTTTCACATTTGGATTTAATGCCTAAAAATTCAGTGAATAACCCTGAATTTACTGTTATTTTTATTTTGGGCAAGAACATATCAAAAACTGTAAACATGACTTTACTATAATTCACTTTCGGTTAACAAAATCACTTTAGTGAATAGCCATGAAAGTCTATCAAGGCCTGAAAATCTTTATCTGTAAATATAATTGGTGATTGAGGTTGACAAGTAAATTGCAAATATTGGGCCAAAACAGGCTTAAAAAAAAAAAATTAAACTGTTAAAGAAACACTGACTTCCCCAGTCATGAAAGTGTTAAAAAAAAAAAAACCCTTTCTCCTACCTGATGGATCTCCTCTTCCAGTGACATCACACCCATGGTCAGTGAGCACAGTTCACTCATTAGAGCTTCCTATAGCAAAGTATTAAATCGATTCTCTCTTACGTGGGAATTTGAAGACGCTGGCTGTCCTCATGCAAAGCGTGAGGACATCCAACGTAGTTTCACAGAGTTAAACTCCATGCAAAAGCAGGAAGTACTTCTAGTGGCCGTTTGGTAGACTAGAGGCAGTCTTAACACTACAATGTAAACACTGCATTGCTAAGGGACAAGTACCCTGCAACCAGACCACTTTAACAAGATGAAACAGTTTGGATGACTTAAGTGCCCGACTCCATTGGAATACATCAGTGTTAAATTAAGAGGAAATCAGGAATCCACACTTTACAAAACTTAAAGCAAATATTCAGAAAATGTGTACACATGTTCCGGCAGACATTTAAACCCTATCCACTCTGGGCAGTCAGCCAGCACACGTTGTCACTTACCTGGAGAATGTCCATATATTCAAATATGGAAGAGGTAATTAAAATAATTTATAAATAGACAGAGCAAATCACAAAAAGTAATAACAAGAAAAAAATACAATTAGCAAGATACTTTTTAATGCAGAAAACTTTATTTAGTGCACAAGATACAGTTTAGCAATGTTGTCTTGAAGTGAAGATCCAAAAAAAATATAAAACACCCCCACAAACAAAACATTTGCTGTAATATCCCACAATGCACTAGAAGTGCTATATATAACCTAAAGTGCAAAAAAAAAGCTTCTCAAAGCTTTGTGAATAAATACATAAATAAAAAAACAAGGGATATTTCTGATTTTTGCAGTAGAGAAAAAATGTAAATAAAAATGTTCAGATATTTAGATTCTCAATTCTCTTTAGGTGCAGAAAGAGCTGTGGAAAAATAAATGAGCTTTTTCCCATAAAATATGTTCACATATGCTGCAAAGAAATCAGTGATCTATCCATTGTAGTCCAAGTTGATGCATAATTATTAAATAAAATAAAGCCACTTACAAAAAAAAACCAAAAAAACCCACAAATGGAATCTATAAACTTTCATTCTGTTGTGTGTGAAGCATTGGATTGGCTGAAATAATCAACATTGATGATCTCAGCCAGGGGAATGGGATAGCAGCACATAAACCAGTGTGACAAGAGCTCAAAGTTAAATATGTCAATTTTATTTTTAATAAATAATAATAAAAAAATTAAATATATATATATATATATAAATGAAAACGACATGTATATTCCTAACATAGCCATAGCGTTCATTTAAAAGAACAACTAGAGTCCCTTATAATAAAACCCAGCTATGGACAATGATCGTGGTAGAAACTAGATCGATCCCTTCTGCAATCTTGAGATTAAATGCCAAACTATATACTGAAAGACACTCGAGGCATTATAAACACTTTACCACAATTAAGTGGTTATGGTGTGTGGAGCTGTCCCACTTTTCAATGTTAAGCCATTTTTGAATGGCTTGACATTGAATGAAGGTCCACACCCACAAAGATCAGAAACAGCACTTTGGTACACTGTGGCATTCAAATGATGCCCAGTTGGTATCACTCCTCCCAATGAGCGCTATTATACCACCACCAGCAGCATGTGCTATTGACACGTGCCATTTTTCTAATCTCCCTCTATTCAGTTTTGGTGATCACGTGCCTACTTTAGCCTTATCTTTCTGTTTTTTTGGAATGAGTGGAACCTTGGCATGGCCTTCTCTTACTGTAGCCCATCTGTTTCAAGGTTCGACGTGTTGTGCATTCAAAAATACGTTTCTGCACTCTGTTGTAAAGAATGGTTATTTGAGAATTTGTCGCTGCTCTATTTCCTTGAATAAGGCTGTCCACTCTCGTTAACCAGCTGTTTTCGCCCACATGCCCGACGCTTGCTAGACGTTTTCCGTTTACTGCACCATTCCCTGAAAACTCTAGAGACTGCAGTGAGTGAAAATCCCAGGCGGTCAGCGGTTTCAGAGACAGGGCGACAGTGACGAATTTGCCAACCTTGGTGTTCTCTGGCAAATGCCAAACATCCTGCACGGTGTTGGGCTGTAAGCACAGCCCCCACCTGTTTACGTCGGGCCCTCATACCACCCTCATGGAGTCTGTTTCTGATTGTTTGAGCAGACACATGCACATTTGTGGTCTGCTGGAGGTCATTTTGCAAGGCTCTAGCAGTGCTCCTCCTATTCCTCCTTGCACAAAGGCTGAGGTAGCGGTCCTGCTGCTGGGTTGTGGCCCTCCTCCATGTCTCCTGATGTACTGGCCTGTCTCCTGGTAGCGCCTCCATGCTCTGGACACTACGCTGACAGACAGCAAACCTTCTTGCCACAGCTCGCATTGATGTGCCATCCTGGATGAGCTGCACTACCTGAGCCACTTGTGTGGGTTGTAGACTCCGTCTCATGCTACCACTAGAGCGAAAGCACGGCCAACATTCAAAATTGACCAAAATATCAACCATGAAGCATAGGCACTGAGAAGTGGTCTGTGGTCACCACCTGCAGAACCACTCCTTTATTGGGGGTGTCTTGCTAATTGCCTATAATTTCCACCTGTTGTCTATCCCATTTGCACAACCACATGTGAAATTGATTGTCACTCGGTGTTGCTTCCTAAGTGGACAGTTTGATTTCACAGAAGTGTGATTGACTTGGAGTTACATTGTGGTGTTTAAGTGTTCCCTTTATTTTACGTGTTCCCTTTATTTTACGTTGAAGTGGACCACTGGTTTGCGTCCTCTGTTGTCCGATTGTCAACCTTACTCGGTAAAATAGATGTATAACTCATGCATGAGGAGAGAAATAATGACACTGACACGTATAGTTCAGTTGCAAAGTTTCTTCTGTTTACTGGTAAATCGGGCGTGGCTTTTATAGCCAAAATCACGTCATAAAGTAATACGTATACATTTATATAACATGTTTTGCAAGCATTTCATTGGGTAAGCTTTGTTGCTATGCTTCTTGTTTTTCTTCCCTCGGGGATGTACACATTCTTTATCATGAGGGTGTTGTCTCCGAGAGGTATTGCCATTTTGTTATGCTCAGCGAGTTTTCGTAGCTGTCAGCCATCTTAAAGCATAGAGATAAAATGATTAGGTTTTGACATGACATGTAGACAAGTATAATTTTTATAGCATCCAATCTTTGGTGTCAATAACAAGAGATAGAAAAGGGAATTTTCAGACCCTACGCACCTCTCCATCACAGTCCCCCCTTGAAATGACCTTTTTTATCTCTTCCCTGTCCTAAAACACCTGGCCCTTCCTGCTTGGAACTCTTTTACATACCGTAGGGGTTGGGCCCGTGGCTTATCCATGGGTCGCCCCGAATATGTCACAGTTAGGGCAGTCAAGTGTACCTTTCCCTTGTCATAACAAACTATTGATGGTCATCTCTTGAGGTACCAGCGACTGGAGTGGTGTGTATGGTTCTGTATCTTGGTAGGGTTCGGTGAGTTGGTTTAAGAATATGGGTGACGTTCCCTGAGTGGCTTTAAGGATATACTTCCTAATGCAAGGGATGACGCAGCAAGCCAGAAGCATTATGATCATGAGGATTACACATATAATGACACCAAGTTGTGCTGCAATCTTTTTCCAGCCGTTTAACCAGCTGAACCACTGGTCCCACCCATGGTCAACACCTGAGTTCCTTTTTAGTTCTTCCGAAAGGTCCTTCAATTTCTCAATGGCCAAGGTCACTTTACCGTTTGGGCCCGTGTTATCGGGTATGAAGGTACAGCAAGTGCTGGTGTCAGGGAGCATTTTGCACACCCCTCCCTTTTCTGCTAACATGTCTAGTGCCATCCTATTCTGGAAGGTCATCTGGGAAGTGGCTTCTAGTTGTTCTGCCACACAATGGAGGGCATCTCTAGTGTAATTTATGAATCTCTGTTGGTTGTAATATATGTAGTTAATCCAGTCAACATTCTTGTTGATTGTAATTATGAGGAACAATGACTCGAAGCCCGCTGCTACTTGGTCTCTGGCTTTGAACTCATTAGGGACCGCCCTTGGCACTCCAATTGAGTCGATATAAACATGGGGGTCAAAGCTTCCCTTGGCTGCCTCTCTCTTAGTACGGGTCTGTTGGGCGTGTGTGGGGGGGCTGTGGCTGTTGGTCAGTCCCCATTATGTACAAAAAGCAAGTAAAAAGTAGGCACTCGTAATAAAATCGTCTAAAATATAACAAAACAACCTATTGATATTATAAAGCTGCACCAAAAACAAGTGTAAAACTCCTCCAAACACTTTAGTGAATATACTTAAAAATAATAAGGTGCGCTGTGTCTTTAAGACCCAATAATAATATAAAGTGCAACAAGTGCAAACTATCTAATAAAATGCAAAGTAATACAAAGTGCACTTAAAATGTGGAATATAAAAATATTATACATACATATGTCCTCTCAAATGAAGATATACATAGAAAGAAGAGAGACACAAAAAAGACCAATAGTGTGAAACCGTATAAAAAATAAAATATGGATAATAAATGCCAAATATTGCACTCACAAAAGTAGAGCAGAATAAGCCTGCTCTAACTTAAACAGCTTCTTCAAATACAGGACTGCACAGACGAAAAATATTCCAAAATATTTATTGCCCAGCACAGCACTAATATGTCACCTTCCTCCACATTCAGTATTCAGTTACAGAGCATTCGGTAGTATGCAGCATAAGGGTGTCGACTAGTCCCTTTGTAGGTTCGCCGCGGTTATTACCGTCTGTTTCCTCAAACTTCCAGGGGGAGGGACTTCCTCAAGTGCGTGACGTAAGGTGCGTAACTTGCGTGATGACGCGTTTCGCCGTATTCACGGCTTCATCAGATCTGCCCATCCATGTCCTTTACGTTCTTATATACCCATCTCAATGGGTGTGTTCAGGTGACTGTCATGTAAAGTCCATTATCTTATTGCTGGTATCAATCAAATCAATTAAATACATACAAACAATATTACTTTATTCAAAAAACATCATAATTCAAATTATTGCATTATTTAAAAACATATATATACATTCAAACACATCGTTTCCCAAAGAAACTTATTTCAAGAGACATATTTAAAGAGACATGCTTAAAAGCATCACTTCCCTAAGAGACTTATTTAAAGAGACATACTTAAAAATACATATTTAAAAACGTGCTAACATGGGGCCTGGCATTCTTGGGAATAGAGATAGTGAAAAAATCACGGAGAGGGGGAAATCATATTGAGGAAACAGACGGTCAACAGACGGTAATAACGGCGGCGAACCTACAAAGGGACTAGTCGACACCCTTATGCTGCATACTACCGAATGCTCTGTAACTGAATACTGAATGTGGAGGAAGGTGACATATTGGTGCTGTGCAATAAATATTTTTCGTCTGTGCAGTCCTGTATTTGAAGAAGCTGTTTAAGTTAGAGCAGGCTTATTCTGCTCTACTTTTGTGAGTGCAATATTTGGCATTTATTATCCATATTTTATTTTTTATACGGTTTCACACTATTGGTCTTTTTGTGTCTCTCTTCTTTCTATGTATATCTTCATTTGAGAGGACATATGTATGTATAATATTTTTATATTCCACATTTTAAGTGCACTTTGTATCACTTTGCACTTTATTATATAGTTTGCACTTTATATTATTATTGGGTCTTAAAGACACAGCGCACCTTATTATTTTTAAGTATAGTCCCCATTATGTGTAAGGGCATAACGACCGCTGCCAAAGCACACTCTCCATACCAATCAGCGGGGAGTTTGCTTCTCAACCTCATGTCGCCACATATCCAATATATATCGCCCAGAGACCGGGTTTGGTTTTTTACCTTGTCACATCCCAGTGAAGAGTATGTACCACAGTATCCCATGGTAAGGTTGCCCACTTCTACCCCCCTTTTTTCATAGCATCCATAACATGTGTAATTTCCTGGATATATTGTGACACCCTCTTTTAGCTTAGTTATTCTTACTAGGATGGGGTATTCTTTTTTCCAGTTCTCACACTGGGTCTGGTTCGTGGTTGTGTTTGTGTATAGGCTTAAGAAGCAGGATTCCTCGCTGGAGGGCAAGAAGTGTGGTCTTGCCCCCCCACATACGTAGCAGTTGGTTTTGTTGTGTTTATTGGCATTATATCTCATCCATTCCAACCACAGGTTGGTATCTGAGAAACCTGTCTCAGCAGCTATGGTGTCTTCGAATGTGGGATCAGCTATGGCCATCATGGTTTTATTTATTGTTTTATTTATTTATAAAATATTTTACCAGGAAAGATACATTGAGATTTCTCTGGTTTTTTTTAAGTATGTCCTGGGTCCACAAATCACTGCATTGTTACATTAGGTACAACAAAATACAAAAACAATTTTAATACACAATATATACAAAATTTAACATAGAACAGGCAGGAAATATATAATCAACCATAACACATGCATTCTGTTTTGAGGTATGTAGAGAGGGATCTCTTAAATGACTTTAGGCTTAGGGAAGATTTTAAATTGCGCAGGAGGTCGTTCCACAATTGCAGCACTATGTAGGAGGAGGATCGGGCCGCTTTCTTTTGTGTACTTATCTTCCCTTAGCTGGTTGGGTAGTGGTGTTAGGTGCTACCCATTCACTGGAATTGTACATGTCCTTAAGGTGGAATTTACCCTTTGCTCCATTTGAGCCCCCCGCCACCCATATGGACATTATATATGTACCAGCATCGGAGGGACTAGGGTTCTCAATGGTTAGTGTGTGTTTCATTTGGCCTGAACCTCCTTCGTTCAGGCACGTCTTGTTTGTTCTTAACAAGGTCATTCTACTTATCAGGGAATTTCCATTTTTATCTTTCTTATCCAAGGCACTTTGTGGTCTGTATCCCCAATCTGGTCCTGTATTCCATCCCACCGCTCCCCAGTAACTGCACTCGTGTCCCCAGTATTCGTCTGTAACACAAATATAAGTTGATCTAGACCTAGGCGTGTCTCTATATAAGTTACATTGCCAGGGGACGTGTGGGCAAGTTACTATGTCACAATAGTCAAAGGTGTAGGTAGCCACATGTGTGTTGGAAGAATTATACCAGAAGGTTACCACATTATCATCATCTTTGGTTATTGAAACATGTAGCGCTATTGTTAACCTTATAGCAAAAAGGATATATATCGGGTGAACCATGGTCTCTTATTGTACTGTTTCTGCCGGATCTTGAGTCTTTTTGCAGCGAGAGGCGTGTATCCAACTGCTCTTTCCCGTCAGTTTTACAGATGTCGGGGTAGTAAGCAGCACCTGGTATGGCCCTTCGAATCTGGGTTCTAGAGAGTGCTTTCTCACAAACTTCTTTACCAGGACCCAGTCTCCAGGGCATAAGCTATGAGACCCTGTGTTGGCTTCTGGATCTGGAATGGAGGAAAATACTTGTGCATGGATTTTGGTCAATTGTTTGGACAATGCAATTACATAATTCACCAACATATCTGCGCTCAGTTGTAGTTATTTCACGTGTTCCCCTTATTTCACGTGTTCCCCTTATTTCACGTGTTCCCCTTATTTCACGTGTTCCCCTTATTTCACGTGTTCCCCTTATTTCACGTGTTCCCCTTATTTCACGTGTTCCCCTTATTTCACGTGTTCCCCTTATTTCACGTGTTCCCCTTATTTCACTTGTTCCCCTTATTTCACGTGTTCCCCTTATTTCACTTGTTCCCCTTATTTCACGTGTTCCCCTTATTTCTCGCGGTTCCCTTTATTTCACGTTTCCCCTTATTTCACTTGTTCCCCTTATTTCACGTGTTCCCCTTCTTTCACGTGTTCCCCTTATTTCACGTGTTCCCCTTATTTCACGTGTTCCCCTTATTTCACGTGTTCCCCTTATTTCACGTGTTCCCCTTATTTCACGTGTTCCCCTTATTTCACGTGTTCCCCTTATTTCACGTGTTCCCCTTATTTCACGTGTTCCCCTTATTTCACGTGTTCCCCTTATTTCACGTGTTCCCTTTATTTTTTTGAGTATCCATATTTAACACTTCACGGCCAGGATTTGTTGCTCCAAAACAAGAGCACATACAGTTGAGCAGTTCAGATGTAGTAACTTGTTAGCAATGTGTGAGGTTGAAATACCTTAACTCAACAATTAGTAAGGGGTCCACATATTTTTGGCCATATACGCTATATATGAAGGCACATCAGGGTTGTGCCTTGTGTTTTAAATAGCGATGTCTTCAACAACCATCTTTGGCAATTCCTCAGGTCAGCAAAGGTTTGTAGACGGCAGTATCAAACCTGTAAACAAAATTAGAGAGTTAAAAGTTGTCCATCAAAATCAGTAAGCTAGCTAATCTATAGAACTATAATTCTAGAATTAGAACGGATGCCATAGGCTAACAAGATTGGTTTGAAATGTGCATAACTGCCGGCAACCTGGAGAGTGTATTAATAATTATACGTTACAATAAGGACACAAAAAAAAAAAGTCAACATGTTGTTGGATGATAAGTGAAAAGTGTTGACCAGTAAGTAGCCTTCATTATTCAAGAGATCAATGCCAAAGGATTGGATTCCATTAAAGGACTTATCCATTACAACATACTACACCACAGCACTTTTCATGCAACGTCCATCAGCAGGTTTATAGTGTGCCAAGGAAGACATTGTGGAAATCCGAATCAATAACTCTATAAAGGCCTGCATGATATTAAATGAGCGAGATTATAGTTTGTAATATGGTCCTTAAAGACCCAATATTTACGATGGCAAAGAATATCAATGTTCATTCAGGCGTTAAAAGGATAACACCACAGAGAAGGTACATCTGCAGGACATCGCGGTGTAGGAGCATGGGTTTCATTACGTCCACATTTTAATTAAAGGTGGGTAATAAGCTTAATGCTCCAGATCAATATAGGCACAGGTATCTCACCAAAGGCTACTGAGAACGCCAAAGGTAATTTTCAGTCTGTGCCCAGTCTAGAAAACACTAGATGTTGGCATGTTTTGATATAAAATCTACTTTAAAAAAAATATATATATATCTCAATGCAAAACCAAAATCAAATATTTATGTTTTATGTCACCCTGGTAAATAAAATGTATCCCATTCTAGGTTCGCTGCTAAACTTGGAATTTTAGATAACTAAATGGTTAACGGAAAAGCGGAGACTAAAATGGCAGATTTTGACTTTCAGCCTAATTTGGTTATTTCAAACGCCATTTTGTGATACAGATTTTATTCTATACTCTCTGACTTACCCTATTCCATTATTATCTGCCCCTCTATAACCCCCTGACTTACCCATTTCCATTATCTGCCCCTCTATAACCCCTGTCTTACCCATTTCCGTTATCTGCCCCTCTATAACCCCTGAATTACCCCATTCCCGTTATCTGCCCCTCTATAACCCCCTGAATTACCCCATTCCGTTATCTGCCCCTCTATAACCCCCTGAATTACCCCATTCCGTTATCTGCCCCTCTATAACCCCCTGAATTACCCCATTCCGTTGTTATCTGCCCCTCTATAACCCCCTGAATTACCCCATTCCGTTATTATCTGCCCCTCTATAACCCCCTGAATTACCCCATTCCGTTATTATCTGCCCCTCTATAACCCCCTGAATTACCCCATTCCGTTATTATCTGCCCCTCTATAACCCCCTGAATTACCCCATTCCGTTATTATCTGCCCCTCTATAACCCCCTTAATTACCCCCTTCCGTTATTATTTGCCCCTCTATTACCCCTGAATTACCCCATTCCCGTTGTTATCACGCCCCTCTATAACCCCTGAATTACCCCATTCGTTATTATCTGCGCCCTCTATATGCCCCTGAATTACCCCATTCCGTTATTATCTGCCCCTCTATAACCTGAATTACCCCATTCGGTTATTATCTGCCCTCCTATAACCCCTGAATTACCCATTCAGTTATCTGCCCCTCTATAACCCCTGAATTACCCCATTCGGTTATTATCCTGCCTCTATAACCCCTGATTACCCCATTCCGGTTATTATCTGCCCTCTACAACCCCCTGAATTACCCCATTCCGTTGTTATCTGCCCTCTATAACCCCTGAATTACCCCATTCGTTGTTATCTGCCCCTCTATAACCCCCTGAATTACCCCATTCCGTTATTATCTGCCCCTCTATAACCCCCTGAATTACCCCATTCCGTTATTATCTGCCCCTCTATAACCCCCTGAATTACCCCATTCCGTTATTATCTGCCCCTCTATAACCCCCTGAATTACCCCATTCAGTTATCTGCCCCTCTATAACCCCCTGAATTACCCCATTCAGTTATTATCTGCCCCTCTATAAGCCCCTGAATTACCCCATTCAGTTATTATCTGCCCCTCTATAACCCCCTGAATTACCCCATTCAGTTATTATCTGCCCCTCTATAACCCCCTTTATTTTACGCGTTCCCTTTATTTTACGCGTTCCCTTTATTGTTTTAAGTATCCATATTTAACACTTCACGGCCAGGATTTGTTGCTCCAAAACAAGAGCACATACAGTTGAGCAGTTCAGATGTAGTAACTTGTTAGCAATGTGTGAGGTTGAAATACCTTAACTCAACAATTAGTAGGGGTCCACATATTTTTGGCCATACACGCTATATATGAAGGCACATCAGGGTTGTGCTTTGTGTTTTAAATAGCGATGTCGTCAACAACCATCTTTGGCAATTCCTCAGGTCAGCAAAGGTTTGTAGACGGCAGTATCAAACCTGTAAACAAAATTAGAGAGTTAAAAGTTGTCCATCAAAATCAGTAAGCTAGCTAATCTATAGAACTATAATTCTAGAATTAGAACGGATGCCATAGGCTAACAAGATTGGTTTGAAATGTGCATAACTGCCGGCAACCTGGAGAGTGTATTAATAATTATCCGTTACAATAAGGACACAAAAAAAAAAAGTCAACATGCTGTTGGATGATAAGTGAAAAGTGTTGACCAGTAAGTAGCCTTCATTATTCAAGAGATCAATGCCAAAGGATTGGATTCCATTAAAGGACTTATCCATTACAACATACTACACCACAGCACTTTTCATGCAACGTCCATCAGCAGGTTTATAGTGTGCCAAGGAAGACATTGTGGAAATCCGAATCAATAACTCTATAAAGGCCTGCATGATATTAAATGAGCGAGATTATAGTTTGTAATATGGTCCTTAAAGACCCAATATTTACGATGGCAAAGAATATCAATGTTCATTCAGGCGTTAAAAGGATAACACCACAGAGAAGGTACATCTGCAGGACATCGCGGTGTAGGAGCATGGGTTTCATTACGTCCACATTTTAATTAAAGGTGGGTAATAAGCTTAATGCTCCAGATCAATATAGGCACAGGTATCTCACCAAAGGCTACTGAGAACGCCAAAGGTAATTTTCAGTCTGTGCCCAGTCTAGAAAACACTAGATGTTGGCATGTTTTGATATAAAATCTACTTTAAAAAAAAAATATATATATATCAATGCAAAACCAAAATCAAATATTTATGTTTTATGTCACCCTGGTAAATAAAATGCATCCCATTCTAGGTTCGCTGCTAAACTTGGAATTTTAGATAACTAAATGGTTAACGGAAAAGCGGAGACTAAAATGGCAGATTTTGACTTTCAGCCTAATTTGGTTATTTCAAACGCCATTTTGTGATACAGATTTTATTCTATACTCTCTGACTTACCCTATTCCATTATTATCTGCCCCTCTATACCCCCTGAATTACCCCATTCCATTATTATCTGCCCCTCTATACCCCCTGACTTACCCCATTCCATTATTATCTGCCCCTCTATACCCCCTGACTTACCCCATTCAGTTATTATCTGCCTCTATACCCCCTGACTTACCCCATTCAGTTATCTGCCTCTATACCCCCTGACTTACCCCATTCAGTTATTATCTGCCTCTATACCCCCTGACTTACCCCATTCAGTTATCTGCCTCTATACCCCCTGACTTACCCCATTCAGTTATTATCTTCCCCTCTATACCCCCTGACTTACCCCATTCAGTTATTATCTGCCTCTATACCCCCTGACTTACCCCATTCAGTTATTATCTGCCTCTATACCCCCTGACTTACCCCATTCAGTTATTATCTGCCTCTATACCCTCTGACTTACCCCATTCAGTTATCTGCCCCTCTATACCCCCTGCCTTACCCCATTCAGTTATCTGCCCCTCTATACCCCCTGACTTACCCCATTCAGTTATCTGCCCCTCTATACCCCCTGACTTACCCCATTCAGTTATCTGCCCCTCTATACCCCCTGACTTACCCCATTCAGTTATTATCTGCCCCTCTATACCCCCTGACTTACCCCATTCAGTTATTATCTTCCCCTCTATACCCCCTGACCTACCCCATTCAGTTATTATCTGCCTCTATACCCCCTGACTTACCCCCTTCAGTTATTATCTGCCCCTCTACATCCCCCCTCCCACTCCCCCTGTGTCACTCACCCCATGCTGTAACTCCCGCTCCCCGGTCCGGGCAGTAAGGCGCGATCTCTCCCGCTGCCCGCTCTATATAGGCCACGCCCCCCGCCCCGGAAGCTGCCTCGCTCGCGGCCCACGTGGTGACCCAGAGCCCTCTCTGTCTATGGCGCGCGGCCCACGCTGGTTCCGGGGTCACAGGATCTCGCGAGATCTCCCGGGTATATCAGGCCGCTTCCGCCCTCCTTCGGCCTTCTATTCTACTGAAAGCACGTAAGTGATGGCGGCCGGCTGGAGGGGGGCCTGGGGACAATCCGCCAACATCCTCGCCATCCTCGCTCTATCACACCGCCCGGGGGTCGGCATGGGGGGCTGGGGGGTCTCAGGGTTATAGCGGCTGGATATTGGGGGGTCTCTGGGTTATAGCGGCTGGATATTGGGGGGTCTCTGGGTTATAGCGGCTGGATATTGGTGGGTCTCTGGGTTATAGCGGCTGGCTATTGGGGGTCTCTGGGTTATAGCGGCTGGATATTGGGGGGTCTCTGGGTTACAGCGGCTGGCTATTGGGGGGTCTCTGGGTTACAGCGGCTGGCTATTGGGGGGTCTCTGGGTTACAGCGGCTGGATATTGGGGGGGGGCTCTCTATACTGACAGTCCTGCACTGCCCAGGCTATTCACTATACTGCGATATGGGGGACATAGACAGCGAGGTTTATAACGGATGCTGATGGCTGACTTGAAGGATTTCTGGGCCCCAAACTCTCTCATTGTACCCCCAGCAGGTCATACAGAAGGGACCCCTATTGTAATGTGATCCTGCAGGATGATGGGCATGGTGTGCCCCCTGGGTAAATACTACTAAATAAAGCTTCACCCAATGCTGCATTAAATGCAATGACTTATGGGGTGCCCCCTGGTAAATACTATTAAATAAAGCTTCACCTAATGCTGCATTAAATGCAATGGTTTATGGTGTCCCCTGGTAAATAAAGCGTATTCTATTCTAGAACCACATAGAGCATCACATTCTGATTCCTAGACTGCCACTCTAAACATTCACTAAACTGTAACTTCCTCCTTCATTGAGCGGAAGTGATCTGGGTGCCTATAGTGGTCCTTTAACTTACAGAATTGACTGCTGCATTAGGGTGTCACATAGCCCATTTGGATGACTGGAACAGCAATAAACAAATCAATTATTCCCTTTAGCATTTAAATAGGTAATACAATAATGGCTGTTTTTAAGCGTCTCAACAAGGAGGAAGTTACATTTTAGTGAATGTTTAGAGTGGCAGTCTAGGAATCAGAATGTGATGCTCTATATGGTTCTGGAATAGAATACGCTTTATTTACCAGGGGACACCATAAACCATTGCATTTAATGCAGCATTAGGTGAAGCTTTACCAGGGGACACACCATAAACCATTGCATTTAATGCAGCATTGGGTGAAGCTTTATTTAGTAGTATTTACCCAGTGGGCACACCATGCCCATCATCCTGCAGGATCACATTACAATAGGGTTCCCTTCTGTATGACCTGCTGGGGGTACATTGAGAGAGTTTGGGGCCCAGAAATCCTCCAAGTCAGCCATCAGCCTCCGTTATAAACCTCGCTGTCTATGCCCCCCATATCGCAGTATAGTGAATAACCCGGGCAGTGCAGGACTATCAGTATAGAGAGCCCCCCCAATATCCAGCCGTTATGAAGTGGTCTGGGTGCCAGGTCTATCTAGTGTTAACCCTTTCTGCTGAAACTATGTTTACAAATGGGATATTCCAGCCTCTAGTGGCTCTCATTGACAGCCGCTAGAGGCGTTTCTCACTGTAATTTTCACAGTGAGAAGACGCCAGCATCCATAGGAAAACTTTGAGAATGCTTTCCTATGGACTGACTGAATGCACGTGCCGCGCATGCAAATTCAGCCGATGACGTCGGAAGGAGGAGAGTCCCCAGCGCCGAGGAAGCCCGGCGCTGGAGAAAGGGAAGTTTTTAACTCCTTCCTCCAACCTCATCCTGGCGGGAGTGGGACCCTGAGGTTGGTGGCACCCTCAGGGCACCATAGTGCCAGGAAAAAGTTTGTTTTTCTGGCACTATAGTGGTCCTTTAATATTTTAAAGTGCCAACATGTTCTGCAGCTCAGTCCATTTGGGGTGCATTGATAACACAATTTACATAACAGTACAAAAGGAAAAGTACCACAACAGTGAGCTTGGGGTTAAATAAACCTTGTTTTTATTCTTTAATTTTTAAAGCTTTGATTTTATTTAAAAATGTCTTACCTGTTTGTTTCTCTTTACTTTATAGCAAATGGCGGACAACGCCGGTGAAAACAGGGGAGGCTTCCGCGGAGGCTTTGGCAGTGGTGGCCGAGGCCGTGGTCGCGGAAGAGGCAGGGGCCGTGGTAGAGGCCGCGGAGCTCGGGGTAAAGCAGATGACAAGGAAGTAAGTATTGTTCGTAACACAAAGTAGGATATCTGCCTTCCTAATCTTGTGGACCATTGAAATCTTAAAGTACTTTTATTTTTTTTGAATCGCATATCTGCATTAGAACTGGTGCCACTAAAAACAAAAAAATAGATCATGTATACAGGCAAATTAGCCCTAGGACTCCTCCAATATATGTACAACTAAAGTGTATTTAAAAAAAACACTTAACTTTCAGTAGGTCTTCTGTGATTTATCCCTATCATATGTCCCATGTGCTTCTCATACAAAAGAGTATGCAAGCAAACTACCAGCATGCAATTAACTTGCATACAGAATTGAGTTGGACATGAAACTTGAATCCTTAAAATAGAGCTGTCCATTTTGGAGGTCTTGGTATATTATCTGACAACAGATCTGGTGGCTGCAGGGTGCTGGGAGTTGAGTTTTACTTTCCTCAGGCTTCCCGATGCAGCTGTATTTGGCCCCTGGCGCTTCAGCTGCCAAGAGCCTAGTCAGTGCTGTGCTCTTGAACATGCGCAGGAAAACATGGAGGTCTAGACAGGATCCTCCATAGACCTAGTCTGAATCCCACAGCCATCATTTGTGATGGATCCTGGCTTTGGACAAAAATTGGAAGAGGAGCTCCTACTTTGGTCAACATCAGGCATTACCGCAAAGCTTTCCGTACTGTCTTATGATCACTTTGAATTGTTGGCATTTCAGTGACATTCCAATGAAGTCTTAATCAGTATTTTATAAAGATTATATCTTTATTAGATATTGGCAAGTGACAGGTCCATTTTAAGTAGAATTTGGAGTCTGGTATAAACAGGTGCATACAAACTAGGCATTGTTTGACGCTGTAAGTAAATGACACTGCAAAAATTCAGACAACATGGACTGTCACTTCTGAGAATATTTATTTTATTCCCCAAGGTGACACTGCCCCTTACATGGTGATGTCCAGAAATGAAGGGCTACATATCTGAACTCTAATTCCTTGTTGCTGTCTTTCATTACTAGCAACATAATATACCACGCAACATGACACTATTGTTCCCTTGCTTGTTAGACTACTACAGTGTCTTGTAAAAGGCCCCATAAGACTGGGATCTTCCACATAACTATTGATCGCATAAAACATGTATGTAAACATCTAAACCACTTTACAGTCTAGCAAATCTTGCTGTGCGGGATTAATCTGAAAACAAATGGCCAACATTTATTTATGTGGACACACGGTCATCTCTAACCTTCCTGGTTATCATGGAGGTAAAACCATTTATGTAAATATCTCTTGTTTTTACAGTGGGTTCCAGTCACCAAGCTCGGTCGTCTGGTAAAGGACATGAAAATCAAGTCCCTTGAAGAAATCTACCTGTTCTCCCTTCCCATCAAGGTTAGTTTTAAGCTTGCTCATCAAGTAAAGTGGGGGAGGGGGGTCATTCCACAGCTTGAGAGGTGCAGAAAAGGGGTTGACAATAAAGCAAAATTTGCTTTATAATGCTATAACAAAGTGTACACGTTGTACTGAAGGTGGGTTTCTGGAGTGCCCCTTTAACTTGCTTACAGCAAACCTTTGCAGTCAGAAGCTGATAGGTGAGGTATAACGTGCATAGAAAGCTATTGCGGCTTTAGGAACGACTAACACACTTCCTGCTTTAGTGATGGCTCACTGCAGACGCTGCAAATCCTAGATTGCGTTTAAAACTGCGCAAAATGGGGGGTCAATAAAATCGGACCATAGCTTTGAAAAGGTCTCATACTTGCAAACAAACACAATTGGTGCCAGAGAGCTCCAGACTCTAACAAATTTAATGACGAGCGCTGCAGAATAACTTGGGGCTATACAAATACCAATAATAAACATGGTTATAGTGCCTACAGTGCCCCCTTAAGTGATCTTTACAAATATGGCTGCATCAAATTTTATCCAAAATTCTTGTTTTTTGATAGTTATGTATTTAGATAAATATTCTTATAAAGCATTATAAATACAAAAGTTTTATGGACGTAGAATGGGTTAAAGATTGCTGGATAAGTATAGCTTTGCTGTTATTATGGAGGCTAGAACTCTGCTTCAGGAAAGCGTTCACCCATTTGCTTTTTTCAAAGTTCACCCATTTGCTTTTTTCATCATCCATAGGAGTCTGAAATCATCGACTTCTTCCTGGCCTCCTCTCTCAAGGATGAGGTTCTTAAAATTATGCCTGTGCAGAAGCAGACACGTGCCGGTCAGCGAACCAGGTTCAAGGTATGGATCACATGCAAAAAACATGGGCTTCTCTCCTGTATTTAGTCTAGTACAGTTTGAAGAATTTTTGTATATTCTTTTAATCGTTGCCTTAAATATTTCTCTTTAGGCTTTTGTTGCCATTGGAGACTACAATGGACATGTCGGTCTTGGTGTGAAATGTTCCAAAGAAGTTGCCACTGCTATCCGTGGAGCCATCATCCTGGCCAAACTTTCCATCGTACCAGTCCGTAGAGGCTATTGGGGTAACAAGATCGGCAAACCCCACACCGTACCCTGCAAGGTGTGTATGTGGAAACAATGACAAGCTAATGGCTGCGTGGCCACTTACCAAATCCCTAGTTTGGGCAAAAGCTAGGCACTATAAAATAAAATGCACATTAAATCTCAGCTGTTCTGGCAATCTCTAGCCTGCACAATAGACTTTACTTCCCAGCTTTCTTGGAAACTTGTAAACCATGAAACCAGTCCTCTAAGCTGTCTAATCTCTCAGCTCTGCTCAGTTACACCTATATATGTGGTGTGGTTGTCTTTACGTGAGAGAGAAAGTAACGCATTTCTAATGCACGGCAGGTTGACCATTTACTCCGGTCATCCTGTTCCTTTTTGAGGTGCTACATAAAGAATGTTTCATTCTAGAACAGTGGTTCCCAAACTAGCTCGCATTGCCCAGCAACAGTACATAATTTATGCAATTTACTTTTCTATTCCAGTGGGGGTGGTTACAAAACCTGGACTAGTTAGGAAACCATTGTTCTGGAACATGTGGGAATCCCAGCTTAAAGGAACTGGACTTATTGTGCAAGCGAAAAATTCTTCAGTCAGTGCCTAGTCACTGTAGCATTATAGACAATTGGAATATGAATAAAACATCCAATTGACCCTTCTGTTAATATTCTACAGTTATTAAATGTTTCCTGATATTTAACAAATTGCTTGTGTTTAATGGCTTATATTGTCTGTCTTCCAGGTGACTGGTCGCTGTGGCTCTGTGTTGGTGCGTCTGATCCCAGCCCCCAGAGGTACTGGCATTGTGTCTGCCCCCGTTCCCAAGAAACTGCTGATGATGGCTGGTATTGACGACTGTTATACATCAGCAAGGGGCTGCACTGCCACCCTTGGCAACTTTGGTAAGTGGTCTTACCCTGGATCTAAATGTGCAATCCAGTGTAGAGATAATACAGCCATTGACTGCACTTGCAGTTCTTTAATGTTATCTCTTGGAACGTAAAGCTTTTAGTTTACACCTAACTGTATTGGCTGAAACAGATAATTCTATCATTCTCTCAGCTCTGCTCAGTTACACTCTTCCTACATAGTGTACCTGTCTTTACATGGGAGAGAAAGCAGTATGAGCTTACAATGCACGACAGGCTAGCCCTGTTCTGTGGCCACCTTGTTCCTGTTTGAAGCTCTACAAGGTTTCCACATCCCAGTATAGTAAAGGGGATTATAAGAGGCAAGATATTAAACTTACCAATTTTCTCCTTCAGCTAAAGCCACTTTTGATGCCATCTCAAAGACTTACAGCTACCTGACTCCTGACCTCTGGAAGGAGACTGTGTTCACAAAGTCCCCATACCAGGTAATTTCAATCCACTGAAGCATTTTGAGTTTACCTTAACCATCTCTATGGTCACAGCATTTCTGCATGTCAATTGCACACATGTGGCTTCATGTTTCCAGTATAAAAAAATACAGAACAGCAGAATATATAAAAAGGTATTTAAAGAGATTTTAAGACTTCAAAGGGGAATTTCATTTGAGTACTCTAACTAAAGCTGTATTAGTATTGATCTAGAACAGGCTTCCCCAAACTCCAGCCCTCCAGATGTTGCTGAACTACAACTCCCATGCTTGTCACCCTATCTAGTTCATTCATAGAATCATGGGAGTTGTAGTTCAGAGCCTGCTGTATAATATGGATTTAGGATTTGTTTTGTACAAGACCTTCCTGATTCAGTGTTTGTGTGGGCAACACTGAAAATACTATGGGAAAACAGGCCCCATGTTTGAGTGGAATTACACTGGCGTATAATGTAAGAATGAGCAGTTTGTGAAGTGACTTACAATAACTGAATTGCTCAAAGAACATCTTCAGATATACTAACTTTTTTAGTTAAAGTAATAATTGGTAGTGCAAGTCTTGTTATACAGAACTTCTAACTTTTTTTCTTCCCTTCTGTCTGTATAGGAGTATACTGACCATCTTGCAAAGACTCACAGCAGAGTGTCTGTGCAGAGGACCCAGGCTGCCGCTGTACCTGCCACCTCCTAAGGAAAACTTCTCAATTTGAAAATAAAACGAACCTTGTTTTGACAATAAATTGTCTGTTTCTTTAACTTGCAGTACATCAAATTGTGAAAATCTTTCTTTAATGTGGTGGGAACTGAGGACCTAAACAGGCACCAGGGCATTATACCATTATTAATACAGACTTGTATTCCTAATGTTCCTGTAATGAGTTTTATGAATTTGTCAAACTGCCACCTCACTTGGAAAAGTGGCACTGCCTCTATGAAATACTTATTTTGAATGAGTTGATATTTCACTGAAGTAAAGATATACTGAGACAATGTAGGGGACCAGGATGTCACTAGTGACCAGCAGAGAATTGATTCTTTGGAAGATCTCATGGGATCTTTCTTGGAACTCAGTGCTGTACATGCAAGAGTACAGCAGTAACATTTGGCACTGAAGCACTAAGGGTGGAAGAGTACTGGCCAAAAGATGGTTGCGCCTGTAAGCGGCAGGTTCAGGTATGTAGAACTCACTTTTTTCTGCCCCCAGTGGCAATGTCACTGTCAGGGGGTCTTTGCAAAGTCCCTAGACAAGGACCATGCTGCTTTAACTCCTGGAATACTTTTGGCATTTGTGATGTTAAGCATTAATTGAAGAGACTAGTGTGTCAAAAATGTGATCTATAATAGTTAAAACTGATTTAGAGCAGAGGAATGCCACTAGGTGTTAAGCATGCATTGCAAACTTGCTGGATGGTACAGATAAGTTGTTTGGGTGCCATTAGTGTCCCTTTTTAAAATACTTCAATGAATGTAGGTTATGAAAAGGAAAAATACATTAAAGGACCACTCTAGACACCCAGACCACTTCAGCTTAATGAAGTGGTCTGGGTGCCAGGTCCCCCCTTTTTTTTTTTTTTTTTTTTAACATAGAACTTTCAGAGAAACTCCTATGTTTATAATAGGATTAATCCAGTGAGAACACGCAAGCGTCCATTATGAATGCTTTCCTATGAGACCAGCTGAAAGTGTGCGCAGCTCTTGCCGTAGGTGCGCATTTAGCCGAAAGGGCGGAGAGCTCCCTGCTCGGCGCTGGAAAAGTAAGTTTTAACCCTTTCCTCTCCCTAGAGCCAGGCGGGAGGGGGATCCTGAGGGTGGGGGCACCCTCAGGGCACTATAGTGGTCCTTTAAGTCTCCATTTGTGGTTTTCATTTGTTTTCTATTATGATGTTGACCCCTGTTTTAAAGTATTATGAAGCTAATGCATTAATTGAAGGGACACTCACTCTAGGTACCTTCAATGACCTCTTCAGCTCATTGAAGTGTTCTGGTTGCAATAGCCCTACTCTGGTTGCAATAATTACCTCTGAGGGTTAATTCCACCTCTACTGGCTGTCTACTAGAGGGACTTCCTGAATTGAAATAGACCTTGTGGTCTGTTATCTGATGCTGGACATCCTCACACTGTGCATTAAATAGTGCTTACCCATGGGGAAATCCAAATGCAAACACTGCCATTGCTGCACACATGTATTACGTCTCCCCCGACAGCTGTCGTCTGAATAGGAGCATGACCCAGCACTGAAGGACATTGGTGCTGGATTCAGGTAAGTGACGTCAGCCCTGCAGGAGGGCACTGTAAAATCCCAAGTGCGAGATGTCTTATATTTAATAACAGGTGCTATTCTGGCATTGTGCTATATAAGCAGCAGTCAAACCTAACACAAAGTAGATAAAAAGGTGTATAGTAACATTAAAACTGTCCAAGCATGCAGCTTGTTGGGGTTCCACATCTGGATGAGGAAAACCTATTTACAAGTCACAAAGAAAACTGATAGTCCATGTCAGCAACAAAACCATATTAAATGTGGCCCCCATTTTAATTAAATGGACTATATCATGAATCTCAAATTTTGACCTTTTAAAGTACACTCCAGTCCCTAAAATCAATCTAGAAGTTATTTTGGGGGCATAGATGCCACTACAACCTTGCAATTACAAAATAGCAATTTCTGGGAAATGCTTTGTTTCTTTTACAATTCCTAGTGATCATAAACTGTAAGACAGACACTAGTTTCTACCAAAACAATTCCATTCAATTATTGGATCTCTTGCAGACATTAGAAGCTGTGTGCATCCAAGGCTTCTCATACAGAAGTGTAATTTGCTAATCTCTGATAGGCCATGTACTTAAAGGACTACTATAGGCAACCAGATCACTGCAGGTTAATGAAGTGGTCTGGGTGCCTGGTCCATCTAAGGTTAACCCTGCAGCTTTAAACATGGCAGTTTCAGAGAAACTGCTATGTTTACAATAGGGTTAATCCGGCCTCTAGAAGCGCTTCTCACTGTGAAAATACGCTGATATCGGAAGAGGGAGAAGAGTTCCCCAGCGCTGAGAGAGTCTGGCGCTGGAGAAAGGTAAGTGATTAAACCCTCCCTCCCCCTTCAGACCGGCAGGGACCTATTAACACTACAGTGGTCATTTAATGCTTTTCTATGAAAAGCATCTAATTGGACAAATGTCATCATGATGGAAGACTTCAAAAGGTGGAGGATTGGGCTGCGCTGAAGAGACTGTCACAGCACTCACAGGTAGGTGTAAGAGCTTTATATTTAAGACATATGAATTTTACTATAGCTTCAAGGGACCCTGTAGGCACCCAGACCACTTGAGCGTTTTGAAGTGGTCTGGGTGCAGTGTCCCTTTTGCACCTAGTGCTGCAATGTAAAACATTGCACTTTCAGAGAACTGTGATTTTTACATGGCAGCTCTAAGTCTCCTCTCAGTGGCCAGACAGCCACTGGGGGCGCTTCCAGAATCAAAACTGACCTTTGGTCCGTTATCTTACGCTGGACATCCTCACGCTTTGCATGAGGACATTCAGCGTCAGATTTTTTTCCCATAGGAATAATAATGCTTTCCTATGGGAAAATGTGAGTGCGGCCATTGCCGTGTGGGCGAAGCCTGACCGCTAGATTTAGGTTAGTGGCTGAGGGGGGGGAGGGGAGAAGACTTTTTAAACTGGTCAGAAAAACGGCTGCAATAATTACCTTGCAGGGTTAACTCCTGGACACTTCCCTGCAAGGTGAATTATAGCACCTCCAGCGGACGCTCAATTCCCCATAGGAAAGCATTTAAAAGCATGCGCATTAGGTTTCCCCAGCGGGCGGGATCAGTCTCGCCCACCGGCCGACGCAATTTAGAGGAGGAGCGGCGGAAAAAGCGACGTGGGAAGTCACTGAAGGGGTTTTCACCCCTTCAGCAACAGGGGATTGGAGTGTGAGGGGACCTGCACTGGAGAGTCCCTTTAATAAATATGTACAGCTTTCCTGTTGGCAGTGGCACAACATAAGGTACTCTTTAAAACATGTGAATATAAAGTATAGATAAAAATATACTGCAAAGTACATTAACCCCTTAAGGACACATGACATGATTCCCTTTTATTCCAGAAGTTTGGTCCTTAAGGGGTTAAAGGAACTCTCTAAACACCATAACCACTACACTGTGCTTATCTAGGTGCTAGGAGTGCCCTGGGAACATCCCATGGTGGGATGTCAAACTGTTTTCGCACCACTTACCTGGACTGCATTAGTGTCACATCCCTTGCATGTGGTCTTACCCCTGCAGGAGAAGCCAGATTGCTCTTAAGCAGGGGTTCCCAGCCCAGTCTTCAAGTACCCCCTACCAGTTCAGGATTTAGGGATTACCCTGTCGTGGAGGTGGTTTTTTTTGTTCTAAAAACCACCTTAAACAACTGGTCAATCCCTAAATTCTGGACTGTTAGGGGGTACTTGAGGACTGGGTTGGGAACCACTGCTCTAAAGAACAAAGCAGGATCCTACAGAACGGCCATCATCAGCGGAGAGCGACAACTGAGATCTCTTTTAATGAACCAGTCGTGTATCAGGTATGCTTTGCTCTACATAGACCTACGGCTTCTCCTGCTAAATAAGATGTGACACAGGCACCCAGAAGAACCCGGGTTGAGTCAAACTGTACTAAAAAAAAATTAGTTTGATATTTTATTGTGGGGAACCATAAACATCACAGTGGCCTGCAGTGGTTATGATGATTGGAATGTTCCTTTAATTTTGTATAACGCAATGTGTAGATTTACTAGTCACCAGTCCAGCAAATGTAAAATTACGAGCACCTTTAACCGAACTCTCAAATTTACCATGGCCTGATAATTGGCAGATCAATCATTAACAGATAAAAATTAATGACAAAAAACATAATTTTAAATAATGATTCAATGTATAATATTTATTGTTGAGGTTTACAGTTTCCACATGCATTCTGAAAGACAAAAAACAAAGTGAAAATGTACAAGAACTTTGTCAATCACAGTCTGCTTGGCTCCGTTTAGGAGAATTCAGACTCTTTCTCTGCCGCCGACGCTTTCCTTTCTGCGATCATCCTGTGCTTCTGCTTCATCAGACATTTTCTAGCATTGCCATAAGCGCCAAGGTCTTGATCTAAAAAAAAAAAAAAAAAAGATATAAAAACCATTACCTACACATACAAAATCCTCACCTGAAAGATGGAATTTATCAAATCCATTTAACCCCATATTGCAAATGTGACACTCCCCCACCTGGCATGCCAGCTTTGCTCCCTCAGTCTGTACACAGCTAATCTGGATAATTAAAAGGGTGAGACACTAATCAACTTAAGGCAACTATAATAGTGAATTTCAGACAGTCATTTCCAAATGCTGAAATAATAAATTAAAATAAAATTAGAATCTAAAGTTCAATTAATTAAAATAAAATGGTTAGTATAGAAGATCAAATACTGCTAGTATGTCATCCACCCCACCCCCATTTTAATTTTTTTATTTTAAATACTATCCAAAAGTCCTTCCATCAGTTGTGCTATTTAAATAGAAATCTGATTTCCATAAGAAGGATATTTTATATTGTTCATATATTCTTTATTACTTGAACTATGGTTCATCTTCACAATTTCATATATGCATGTATTACAATATAATATATGCTCTCATTTAAAAATAATCAAATAATATTTGACACTATGCTGAGCAAGGGGCTGATTTGTCAAAACAATATCTTCAGATAGGTCTATATTAAGTTTTATTGTATAATATTACTGCACACGCTGGTATATTATAAACAAAACACAAAACCCCAAAAGACTTGGCATTATTCAGAATCACCAGTTGCACCCACAAGACATTCTAGCGCACACAGAAATAAAAGCAACAAGCCTTACATCTGGACTGGTAACCTTTGGCTGCTTCTGTAAACTGAGCCACCTCGTTGGCACAGTTCTGGATATAGCTGTGACCTTCCCTCTGCTGGCAAGCTCTCATTCTTTCCTGAAGGATCTTCACAATCTCTTGATCAACTTTGCTAAAATTAAGGAACGGTTAAAAGTTAATTAATACACCGCAAGAATGTTTTATTCCTCGAGTTGAACAGAAATTCAAATATGGTAACGGTTGATGGAGTAAGCATTTTCCAGCCTAATCATATTTGTAAAACTCTCCTTTCCTGGAAAGTCCAGTCACAATAAATGGTTATTCTAAGCACCATAAAGTTACAATATACAATCTAACATATCTTTTTGTAATTCAGTACTTTAATATCTGTGTTCTGTTTGCACACTAGGCTATGGAAATGCTATTGAATACACAAGGGCCCATTGTAACCAGCGTTTGCCAATAACCTAGAGGAATAAAACGTTAATACGGTATGCAGAATTAAATTCTGTTAAATGCACACACTACATCCAAAGGGAAAACAAAGTGCTTGGAGGGACACTCCGCTATCTCTCCCTCCATGCATGAACAAGTTAAAACACCCTCCCCTCCCCCCCTCACCTTAATTCCAATGCTGAGGTCCCCGGCGCTGGATCGCTCTCCTCCTCCAGCAACGTTACACCGATGGAGGAACATAATGCGCGTGTGCGGCAGGCATCACATATGGATTAGACCATAACCATAGAAAACCACTGACAGAGGACAGGGACACTGCACCCAGACCACTTCAATGGAATGAAGTGGACTGGGAGCCTATTGTATGTATGTATGTCTCCCATACACTGTGTGTATATAATAGAATGTCTCTCATACACTCTGTGTGCATTTTTCTTCATTGGGGTATAGCTAAACGAAGATTTCAAAAACTGCAGATCTCTTGTCTGCTGCCTTTGCAAACCCTCCCCTTCCAACCCCGCCCAGACATTCTGTGCCCGTCCAATCACAGACTTCCCAATGCAGTTCAATCAGAAATCTTTGCAAGGCAATTGCTGCCTCGATTCTATCTCCACTGAGCTGAACAACCAAAAGCTAACAGGACTGGTTGTCTGATTGAAAGCCAGGGGGGAGCAACAATGTTATTTTCAAAAAGTGCCAATTTTGAATTAAAAGCTGCACTTTTGTTTTCTCCAATTGAAAAAAACAAAAAAAAAACCCCACACACATTCTTCATGCATAAAACACTTCTTAGGCGTCTGGAGTATCTCCTTAATTTCAGCCCATACACTCCTTTACACCTCATAAATAAAATCCCTATTTATAAGATAGAAACACAGCCAATGAAACTGAAGGGCTTTATGTGTGTGGAGTGTCCCTTTAAGAAATAAAGAAAAGTGGGAAAGAGGAGACCAGAAAGAAAAGTGAAGGTAAGGATAGACACTCACTGATCTCTCTTCCACTGCATCTCTGCCTCAAAAAAACATAAATAGTCCCCAACTTGGCATTCCGTCAGGTCAGGCACACGGCGATACTGTCTATGGTAGTAATAATACTTGTTCTTTGAGCGCTGACGATCAACCCAGTCTGAAAAACAGAATGTATGCTAGACAAATCAGAATCCATTCAGTTACCTGCCATTTGAAATGCAAATACATATTTCACCCCATCACATTTTTCCTATATACACACCATTATACATTAGACATGTGCAATCCATTTCGGGCAGAATATGAATTCGGACGAATTTCAGGCAATTCGGACATTCGGATACTTCCGAATAGCCGAAGTGCCGAATTACCAAGGTCCTGAAATTACTGAAGTTCCGAAGCACAGTATTGCCTAAGTACTAATATACTTACCCAGTGGAAGAAGAAGAATGTTACATTGTATACAATTTTAAATAAAAAGTATACAAACGTAGCCAGGATTCAGCTGTAAGCATGAGCAACATTTACAACAATCAAGTAACACACATTCATATAAAATGCAAGTTACTTGGCCAGTCAATGTAATGACAGGAATGAATAAGTAGATAACTGTCTAATTCCCACGGTATTAGGGAGCTATCTACTAAAAGGCTGAAAGATCTAAATTGGTCTTTCAGACAAATTTACTAATACTAAGTAAAGATTAACTATAATGTCTCCCATACACTGCGTGTGTGTAGAATAAAATGTCTCCCATACACTGCGTGTGTGTAGAATAAAATGTCTCCCATACACTGCGTGTGTGTAGAATAAAATGTCTCCCATACACTGCGTGTGTGTAGAATAAAATGTCTCCCATACACTGCGTGTGTATAGAATAAAATGTCTCCCATACACTGCGTGTGTATAGAATAAAATGTCTCCCATACACTGCGTGTGTATAGAATAAAATGTCTCCCATACACTGCGTGTGTATAGAATAAAATGTCTCCCATACACTGCGTGTGTATAGAATAAAATGTCTCCCATACACACTGCGTGTGTATAGAATAAAATGTCTCCCATACACTGCGTGTGTATAGAATAGAATGTCTCCCATACACTGTGTGTGTATAGAATAGAATGTCTCCCATACACTGTGTGTGTATAGAATAGAATGTCTCCCATACACTGTGTGTGTATAGAATAGAATGTCTCCCATACACTGTGTGTGTGTAGAATAGAATGTCTCCCATACACTGTGTGTGTGTAGAATAGAATGTCTCCCATACACTGTGTGTGTGTAGAATAGAATGTCTCCCATACACTGTGTGTGTATAGAATAGAATGTCTCCCATACACTGTGTGTGTGTAGAATAGAATGTCTCCCATACACTGTGTGTGTATAGAATAGAATGTCTCCCATACACTGTGTGTGTATAGAATAGAATGTCTCCCATACACTGTGTGTGTGTGTATAATAGAATGTCTCCCATACACTGTGTGTGTGTATATAATAGAATGTCTCCCATACACTGTGTGTGTGTATAATATAATGTCTCCCATACACTGTGTGTGTGTGTATATAATAGAATGTCTCCCATGCACTGTGTGTGTATATAATAGAATGTCTCCCATACACTGTGTGTGTATATAATAGAATGTCTCCCATACACGGAGTGTGTGTATATAATAGAATGTCTCCCATACACGGAGTGTGTGTATATAATAGAATGTCTCCCATACACGGAGTGTGTGTATATAATAGAATGTCTCCCATACACTGTGTGTATATAATAGAATGTTTCCCATACACTATGTGTGTATATAATAGAATGTCTCCCATACACTGTGTGTGTGTATATATAATAGAATGTCTCCCATACACTGTGTGTGTGTGTATATAATAGAATGTCTCCCATACACTGTGTGTGTGTGTATATAATAGAATGTCTCCCATACACTGTGTGTATAAAATAGAATGTCTCCCATACACTGTGTGTGTGTGTATATAATAGAATGTCTCCCATACACTGTGTGTGTATAGAATAGAATGTCTCCCATACACTGTGTGTGTATAGAATAGAATGTCTCCCATACACTGTGTGTGTATAGAATAGAATGTCTCCCATACACTGTGTGTGTATAGAATAGAATGTCTCCCATACACTGTGTGTGTATAGAATAGAATGTCTCCCATACACTGTGTGTGTATAGAATAGAATGTCTCCCATACACTGTGTGTGTATAGAATGTCTCCCATACACTGTGTGTGTATAGAATGTCTCCCATACACTGTGTGTGTATAGAATAGAATGTCTCCCATACACTGTGTGTGTATAGAATAGAATGTCTCCCATACACTGTGTGTGTGTATAGAATAGAATGTCTCCCATACACTGTGTGTGTGTATAGAATAGAATGTCTCCCATACACTGTGTGTGTGTATAGAATAGAATGTCTCCCATACACTGTGTGTGTGTATAGAATAGAATGTCTCCCATACACTGTGTGTGTATAGAATAGAATGTCTCCCATACACTGTGTGTGTGTATAGAATAGAATGTCTCCCATACACTGTGTGTGTGTAGAATAGAATGTCTCCCATACACTGTGTGTGTATAGAATAGAATGTCTCCCATACACTGTGTGTGTATAGAATAGAATGTCTCCCATACACTGTGTGTGTGTATAGAATGTCTCCCATACACTGTGTGTGTGTATATAATAGAATGTCTCCCATACACTGTGTGTGTGTATATAAGAATGTCTCCCATACACTGTGTGTGTGTATAATATAATGTCTCCCATACACTGTGTGTGTGTGTGTATAATATAATGTCTCCCATACACTGTGTGTGTGTGTGTATATAATAGAATGTCTCCCATGCACTGTGTGTGTATATAATAGAATGTCTCCCATACACTGTGTGTGTATATAATAGAATGTCTCCCATACACGGTGTGTGTGTATATAATAGAATGTCTCCCATACACTGTGTGTGTATATAATAGAATGTCTCCCATACACTGTGTGTGTGTATATAATAGAATGTCTCCCATACACTGTGTGTGTATAGAATAGAATGTCTCCCATACACTGTGTGTGTATAGAATAGAATGTCTCCCATACACTGTGTGTGTATAGAATAGAATGTCTCCCATACACTGTGTGTGTATAGAATAGAATGTCTCCCATACACTGTGTGTGTATAGAATAGAATGTCTCCCATACACTGTGTGTGTATAGAATAGAATGTCTCCCATACACTGTGTGTGTATAGAATAGAATGTCTCCCATACACTGTGTGTGTATAGAATAGAATGTCTCCCATACACTGTGTGTGTATAGAATAGAATGTCTCCCATACACTGTGTGTGTATAGAATAGAATGTCTCCCATACACTGTGTGTGTGTAGAATAGAATGTCTCCCATACACTGTGTGTGTGTAGAATAGAATGTCTCCCTTACTACTGTGTGTGTGTATAGAGAATAAATGTCTCCCATACACTGTGTGTGTGTATGAAATAGAATGGTCTCCCTTACACTGTGTGTGTGTATAGAATAGAATGTCTCCCTTTTACTTTATTGTGTAGTAGTATAAAATAGAATGTCCTCCCATACACTGTGTGGTAGTGTGCCAGAATAAAGGGAATATCTCCCATACCACTTTCTGTGTGTGTATAGAATAGAATGTCTCCCATACACTGTGTGTGTGTATAGAATGTCTCCCATACACTGTGTGTGTGTATATAATAGAATGTCTCCCATACACTGTGTGTGTGTATATAAGAATGTCTCCCATACACTGTGTGTGTGTATAATATAATGTCTCCCATACACTGTGTGTGTGTGTGTATAATATAATGTCTCCCATACACTGTGTGTGTGTGTGTATATAATAGAATGTCTCCCATGCACTGTGTGTGTATATAATAGAATGTCTCCCATACACTGTGTGTGTATATAATAGAATGTCTCCCATACACGGAGTGTGTGTATATAATAGAATGTCTCCCATACACTGTGTGTGTATAGAATAGAATGTCTCCCATACACTGTGTGTGTATAGAATAGAATGTCTCCCATACACGGAGTGTGTGTATATAATAGAATGTCTCCCATACACTGTGTGTATATAATAGAATGTTTCCCATACACTATGTGTGTATATAATAGAATGTCTCCCATACACTGTGTGTGTGTATATATAATAGAATGTCTCCCATACACTGTGTGTGTGTGTATATAATAGAATGTCTCCCATACACTGTGTGTGTGTGTATATAATAGAATGTCTCCCATACACTGTGTGTATAAAATAGAATGTCTCCCATACACTGTGTGTGT